CAAGCGTTGGTCGCTGTCTCAGAGAAGCAGCGTCCCACCGAGACCCGGCTTTCATTCTCTTGTCTGTCTTTTCTAAGCCTTTCAGCCGCCCCCATTCAGGTTCACTCTTGGCCATGCTGGTGCGGCACAGGGTTCATATAATCAGTTGACCTCATATAATCAATTAAATAGCTTGCCATCTTTTTCTGTTCCCTAGAGCAATTTGCATAAGATTATCTAAAACTAGTTAAAATTAATATTAAAAATATTTTTTATCTTCCTGAAAAAAAATATAGGTGGCTGAAGCCATCCCTTTCTCCATCTTCCAGTGTGAAAGCTAAAACTGATACAACCATCTTGCAACCATGAGGGAAATGTCAAGAGAATCCCAGAAATTGTGGTTCTGTTCTTAAGCTGTTGAATCAAAAAGAGTAACTGCCTACCTGCAGACTGGTTACATGACCAAACAGACCTTCATTTGTTTAAGCCAGGGGTCCTCAAACTACAGCCCGCGGGCCACATGCAAATACAAATATTGTATTTGTTCCCGTTTTGTTTTTTTACTTCAAAATAAGATATGTGCAGTGTGCATAGGAATTTGTTCATAGTTTTTTTTAAACTATAGTCTGGCCCTCCAACGGTCTGAGGGACAGTGAACTGGCCCCGTTTAAAAAGTTTGAGGACCCCTGGTTTAAGCCATTGCAATGGAGTATTTTTTACTTGCGGCCAAATGCATTTCTAACTGTAGTTATTAAAAGACACCTTTGTAGTCCTCTGTCTCTTTAATCTTCACAGTTAGCTTTACTGATCTTACAATGTAATCACTCTATTTCCCCTCATCCTCTTGTGTATTATATCGAACTAGTTTCAGATCCATCCTTCACAATCTTCACTAAACGAGTTTACCAGGGGTGGGCAAACTTTTTGACTTGAGGGCCACAATGGGTTCTTACACTGGACCGGAGGGCCGGAACAAAAGCATGGATGGAGTGTTTGTGTGAACTAATATAAATTCAAAGTAAACATCATTACATAAAAGGGTATGGTCTTTTTTTTTTTTTTTTTTTAGTTTTATTCATTTCAAACTGGCCGGATCCGGCCCGCAGGCCGTAGTTTGCCCACGGCTGGTTTAGGCTCTCTCATCCCCTGCCTGGACTATTTTAACAGTCTCCTAACTAGTATCCCAGCTTCCAGTCAGAAATCCACCATGCTTCAGAATTTCTAAAATCTTATCAAGATATTCTTAAAAATCTTAAATGGCTCTTCTACAGGATGAAACACACTCTTACCATAGGTATTCTTGGTTTGTTTGTTTTTCACCTTCCTGTTTATTTTTAAATATATTTTTATTGATTTCAGAGAGGAAGAGAGAAGGAGAGACAGAAACATCAATGATGTGAGAGAATCATTGATTGGCTGCCTCCTGCACGCCCCACACTGAGGATGGAGCCCGCAGCCCTGGCAACGTGCCCAGACCAGGAATCAAACCCTGACCTCCTGGTTCATAGGTCGAGGCTCAACCACTGAATGAGGCTGGCCAGGCCCACCATCCTATTTAGACTTTGAATCTCCAGGGTCTAGTCTGGCACAAAGCAGGTTCTCAAATATTTGTTAAGTGACTGAATATTTTGCATGGCTTCTCTGTTGTTTAATATTAAAACACTTAAACATTTCATCAGACTAAGCAGAGTGACAGCATATTGGACACTCAATGAAGACTTGTTGAATGAATGTAGTTTCTAAATCCTACTGGACAATCCTTTATCAGTAGTGTCCCAAATACTCACATCTTGGTGTGCATCCCGTTGATCTAGCAGCCTACCCTGCAGGAGGAGGCTCTTCAGGAATCTACGCGTGTGCTTTCAGCGGATAATGAGTCGTGTAGGTTCTGCAGATAGGGCTTGTGCCAGGAGTGAAGCTACGAACGTAGGCGGGGCTGTGTGGGCATTTCTGACAATGTCGGATCCATAAATAACTTGCATCAAACGCGAGAACAAACTGTGCCAAGTTCATCAAACCAGCGCGGGCCACAGCCTTCGGCTGCTACTAAGGCTGGGCTTTGCATGGCAGAGCTGAAGGCGCTCCTTGGAACTTGCTGGGGACGGGGAGCGGGGCAGGTAGCGGTGCGCATTGCGGCACAAAACCATCTGGAACAGCGGTCCTCAACCTGTGGATCGCGACCCCTTTGGGAATCCAACGACCCTTTCACAGGGGTCGCCTAAGACCATCGGAAAACACATATATAATTACATACTGTTTTTGTGATTAATCACTATGCTTTACTTATGTTTAATTTGTAACAATGACATTGGGGGTCACCGCAACATGAGGAACTGTATTAAAGGGTCACGGCATTAGGAAGGTTGAGAACCACTGGTCTGGAAGCTTCGCACGCAGACAGCCCCCCCCACCCCCCACCCCCGCACCCCGACGGTTCCCTCTCCGGCTGCGCGGACTGGTACCGGTACCTTTGGTTTGAGACCGGGACACGAAGCCGATCTGGAGGACACCGGGAACACGAACGCGCTCTGGGCAGTGGAGGGCGTGTTTGGCGAGAAGGGGCTGAAGGGACAAAGCCCGCTAAACAGCCGCCCGCCTCCCCCATGGTCCCCGGGTCTGGTGGAGTCTGGTTCTCGGTCCCGACCCACCCTGCAAGTTCCCACAAGTCAACGGCTGAAAACGGCCCACGGCGTACACTCCGCCGCCTCGCTCCCCGGATTTCCCAGCAGCAAGACCCTCGGGCCTCTCCTTCCACGCGCGTAACCGCCAGACGCCCGCCGCCGGAACCCCAGTCGAACCAGCCCCGTGCGCCCGGGGGCGGGGGCCGCCAACCCTCCGCGCACGCGCCCTCCGCTGACCTTTCCCGGGAAACCCCTTCCCGGCGCTTCCCCGGCGCCGCGCGCCGCCCCCGCCCTTCCTGCTGCTTCCGCTTCCCTCTTCGCGCCTGCGCGGAGCGGGTTGTTTTGGCTTTCCGGTAGGATCCAGCCCGGGGACGGGAGGGGGAGCCGGGGGCGGGGGGCTCGGGAACCCGGGAAACTGCGAAACGGCCGCCTGAGCTGCTGGCGCGCGCGCTGCGAGGAGGAAACCCCGGCGAGGCTGGCCCGCGGCCCGGCCCGCGCGTTCCCGGGCGGCGACGGGGGCCGCCAAGGGTGAGAGCGCCGCAGGGGCGGGGCGGGGCGGCGGGCCGGGCGTCTGGCGGCCCCGGCTGACGAGGCGGCGCGGGCGGGCGGCGCGGCTCCCGGGGGAGGAGCCTGGCGGCGGTCGGGCCCCAGGAGCGCGCGGCGGCGGCCGCAGAGGACGCGGGTGTCCGCGCAGCACGGGCCGACCGAGCGAGGCCGCGGGAGGGAGCCGAAGGCAGAGGCGGCGGCGGCCCCAGCCTTCCTCGGCGGGAGGCGCAGGCCAGACCCCGGCCGCCGGAGGGCCACGCCCCCGCCCCGCCGCGCCCTAGGGGCCCGGGGACTCCGGAGCCGCCGGCCACCCCGGATCCCTGCTGTCGCGACCGAGGGACGCGGGTGAGCAGGCGTCGCCGGCGCCAGGAGAGGGGGGCGGGCGGGGGCCCGCCGCGGCCTCTGGCGGGACCGGGGGCGGAGGGCTGTGGCGGGACGGGGTTGGCCCTTTGTGGCTGGGCGGGCGGGGGGCGGCGGCGGCGGCATCTTTCAAACCCGAGACGTTTCCGCCGCGGCGGGGGAGGGGCGAGGGGCCGACGCCGCCCTCCGCTCCCCGAGGCGGCCCCTCTGCGGCGGGGCCGGGGCCGGGGCGCGGGCGCGGCTGCGGGGGCGTTTCCGGCCCGGCCCTCGCGGCTTTTCGCCGAAAGAAAGCCGCTTCCCTGGGCGCCGGCGACGAGCTCCCGGGCGGCGGGCCGGGGGAGGGCCAGACCCGCCGTGCGGGCGTCCGTGCTCGGGGCGGCGGCGGTGGCCACCAGCCGCCCGGACGAACAGAGGTCCCCTTGTGAGCCGCTAGCGATTGTTCAGGGAGAAAGCAGGCGCTGCCCTTTGAGACGGGGAGTCGTGTACGTGTTTACTTTAGGCCGAAATGGGTAACTCGCTGGAACTCGACCACCGACCGCCCTCTCGCGCTGGATTGAGAAACCGTGGAGTGGAAGGCGACCCACTCGTGGATGAGTAGTTGTTTCGAGTTCGTTTCTTTGTATTTGCTGGCTGAGCAGTCCAAGGGGCCTTTATAGCTGGCCCAAGGGGAGGAACGTACGCCCCGGGGGCGCAGGTCTCTGGAATTGTCCGCCGCCGCGGTGGCCCCTCCGAGTGGAACAGCAACAATCCGGAGGGAAACGCGGCGCGTGCAGGGTCTGCGGGTGGGAAGTGGCTGCATCACTGGGCCGCGGAGGAGCGCAGGCTGCAGGGCGGGTCACGTGCTGCCTGTACAGGAGGACTCTGTCTGTCCGTCCGTCCGTCTGTTTGGCTCCCGAGCGCCCTGGTATCCGGAAATACAACCCCCTCCTCGGCGGGGTCTCACCAAAAGTGCCTTTCCTCCTAATTAGCAGGGTGCCGGTTTGTGTGTTTCTTTCCTCTGAGTGGTGATCGTGTTTTAGGTAACCTTTCGTAAGGGCTTTTTTCCCCCCCTGACGTTGTTTCAGGACTTTGTCTCTGACCTAAAAAGTCCATTGAAAAGTAAAACCGGGCCATCCTTGTCCAGTCTCGATGATGTGGAATTTTGTTTTTCTTTCCATCCGCCTGCTACCTAGTGTGAAGCTGGCTTCTTCACTTTGACCTTTTGTTGGTCTAGTGCTTTTTGAAGGCCTTTTCGGTGGGGCCCTGAGGTCCTCCAGAGGTGGTCGCTGGTCCGTACGCCAGGACTCGCGCCGCGCTGTGGGGCATGCGTCAGAGCCCACACTTGCACACACGCTGCTGTTTCCTCCGCACAGTTCTGTAGGAAGAGTTGTGCATGATGTAACTCTTCTACCCTTTGGCTCTCATCGGAAGCATTAGCACAAAATGTGAGCATTAGTTATTTACAGGTGGGAGTAAAGGTGTCATAGGACTTAAGTCTACACTCTTCCATAGGTTTTCTTTCTCTCGGTTAATGGAAATAATGAGGTGTTTCATACCATCCAAACATTGAACAATGCATGTGTTTAAGGTGGATGGTCAGTTCCTGGAAACTGGAATGCAGCTTTATTTCACACATTTAGAAAAGAGTTGTTTTTCTCCTTGCCCGCATTGCTAAGACCAGGAAAAAAAGATTGATCCTGCTGTCATTCATAAAGTACATGAATGAAAATGCCAAAGTCCTTTATTATATCTCAGTCTTATCATTTTCAGTTTTGTGGCATTTGAATAGAGCAACTAATATTTGAATAACTCAATATTTGAACTGACAGATTGATTTCAAATAACTTTTAAAAGTATGTGAAGGTTACTCCTGGTTCCCTTGCCAGGTATTTGCAGTACCTAGATTCCTTTGGTGTTGGAAGAAGGGATTATTAAAAGAGATTTGGAGAAAACATAATCATTTTATGAGAGGTGCTGTAAATTTTTTTCCCTTTCTCTATACCCACACCTCTGACACGTGGTTGCATGCAGTAGCTTCCATGGTAGGCAGAACATTCTATTCCTCAGTTTGCCCTTTATTTTTTAAAGAAACTGAGAAACATCAGTTGTAATCATTAAGTGGCTATGCCCCTAATGACCTCATGAGTATGTTTGTATAGCTGGGAAATACTTTCTTCTGCTATTGTGATTGAAAAGATCATTGATTTGGTGGAAAATGAAATCCCACTAAAAAAGTTAGGGTCAGTTTCGCTTTAGCGAAATTTAGCTAAAGCTTTCTTTAGTCACCATGCAGAACTGAGAGGAAAAAAGTAATATCAAAAATAAAAAGACCTACCACCCATAATTATTGTGTCATAGATGGCGCCTCCTTTATGTTCTTGTTTAATTTTTTAAAAGTATAATTTATTCAACTTGTGGCCTGAATTTACTTAGGAGTTCTGAGCATAGTTTACTTGATGGAGCCATGTAGTCTTTCCAGTGTGGTTGGAAAGGAGGAACATGGGAATAGACCTAAGCTCTGAATTTGATTAGAGTAGGGGACACTGTACTGAAATTTATCAAACTTGGTAAGTGTGTTTGTTTCTTAATTGGTGTTCGTCACAGCTCCAAAAAACTCTGTGTAGTGGTTGACAATTCAAAGACTAAGTCTTCCGAGCATTCTCAACTGTGAGGGTTGTTTTGATAACTTGAAAGCAAACTATTTCTGGCACCAGTCTTTTGTTCTCCCTCAAGAGAGGCCTGTCTCCTCATTGAAGTGAGGAAAGGCTTGTTTTATGACTGGTGCCTCCCTGGCCCTCATTTCCTTTTTCTGTACTGGCACCAGCCTTCTCAGGATTAGTCTTTGTTGAATTAGTTTGTTTCATTTGTACCATCAAAAATACTCCCTAAAAACTTTGAGCGAACTTCTCTTATCTAAAATACCGTTCACCCAGGGTGAAATGAGAACTGTGTTTAAGTGCCAAGACCCTGTAATTGGGACCCCTAAACCTGGTACTGGTGTGGAGATTCAGGAGTTGGGAAAAGGCTACAAAAAGCTTCACCAGTGATGCATAAAAACAAAACAAAACCCAATTGTATATATTTATATAGTAGTGCTGTGTGTCAGTCACTCCTCCAGCCTCTTTATAAAACTCATTTAATCCTTAATTCATTGAGAAGAGCTTATTTTTATCCCTCATTTTACATCACAGAAAGTAAATAACTTTAAAAAGGTCACACAACCAATAAGTTGCCAATTGGGCTTTCAACTCATGTAATTTGGCTTCACAGTTTTTGCTCTTAATTTTTTGGCAATATTTAACATCCAGAAAGCCTTGGATTCTTTCCAATAGAAGTTTTCAGTCTTCCGGGTTGACAGTGGTAGCAATGGAAGATGCAGCACCACCTAGGTTAGTAATACACAACTTGGAGGTGCTTCTGTACAGGTGATGGCCTGTAGCCCATTGTGGGCCCTTCTCTCTATCACTGTGTTTGTTGTCCCTGCCTTGTAATTTCTGTGCAGTCCTCGTTTGCACCCTTCTCATTTTTTTATCCTTCCTTTCTTTTAACATACACAGCTCAGTTATGATTATTTAAGGGAGAAAAACCAGCTGCAGTAATTTTCCCTAAGAGGTGTTTCAGGTTTTTAAGTAGAATTATATATTACTATGGATTGCTGACTGATTTAATCCTAATGATCATTTAATAACAGAATGTTTGGTTTGAAATTATTTTGTGTAGTGAAATTCACTCATTAGAACCTTGGAAGCTTAGACAAAGTATATTAGAACCTAAATTTTATGTCAAAGTACATTATACTTTATTAGTTCCTGAATTTCATTATATTATGTTTGTATGACTCCTATTTCTTATTTCTTATTCTTACTCTAGTTGACATTTTAAAACCCTTTATTAGAGGTTTTAAAAAAGGGATATCTTATTCATACTAAATACAAAAAGTATTTAACATATAGTAGGTGGGGAAAGCAGTTGTGTGATTAGGTGTGAGATGTTAAAATATTTCAGTTGAAAAGAAAAGTGAACTATATACAGGTTAAAGAATTATATTCAACTTTGAGGCACTTAAGTTTTGTGGCTTTTTCCTTGTTTTTGCAATCTGAAGGGAAAACATAAGAAAAACAGTTTTTTTTGCTTTTAAGTAATTTTATTTTTTCTACTTTTTGTTACTTTAATTTCCCATAGTACCTTGGCAATGCTGAAAATGAAAATAAAAATACAAGGATGTATTTAATATAATATGTATGAGCATGTATCACACCATTTGAGGGGGCAGTTCAGACAATAGGAACAAACCTAAGGAATGGACAGGATATCCAGATAACTCTTGTCACTGATTTTTAATATTTAATCAAGAAACAGTCTGACAGCAGAGATTGGTATATGTGGCCTACAGCCCGTAGATAAAGTTTTAGTGAAATAATCATGTCCATTTGTTTAAATATTGTCTATTGCTTTTTGCAGGCTATAATAACAGAGTTAAGTATTTGGGACAGATACTTTGTGGCTTACAAAGCCTAAAATACTTTGTCTTTGTAATGAGAACAGAATAGTACTCCTTTTGAAAGTTTTTTTTAAATTAGATAATCATTTGCATATATTAATAAATTCAATAGGTGTTCAATAAATTTTTCCTTCCTCTGCAGTGTGAACCACTGTTAGCAGTGGGGCCAGGTGCCAGCTACCTCCTTTGCTCATACAATTTGTCTTATGGTAAAGAATAAACTTTCTTATCTGTCAAAAGTTTGGAAATGAAAGATCAAAATAGCTAGATTTCAAGATAAATGTTTCTTATACCCAACTTGGCTTGCTTATTATTTACCTGTTCACTTCTTTTGGCTATTTAGTTTGTCTAGTTTTATTTTAAAACACCCTTTTTTAAGGGACAGTCATGGTTTTGGCTGTAGTCTATACTAAGAATAAATGCACTTGGTGTGTTGGCACTGTAGTGGTTGGCCACTCAGCCTGCTTACTTATAGTTCAATGACCAACACTTACTAGAGAACTCAATAAACATTTATAAAGATAGATTTCAGTAGCCATTAATTTATAATAGAAGATTAAGTAAACAATTTCCTTGATACCTGAAAATTACTTTGAAGATGCTAACGTCTACAGATAATAGGATGTAGCACTTATTTTGAAGCGAATTTTAATATAATTCAGTGATATGACAGTATATTTATTAAAAGGAAAATTTGTATAATGTGTCAGATCATTAATAGTTAAGTAATATAGTACAAACTGTGAAATGTTTTAGAGCATTTAGGCCAGTGGTTCTCAACCTTCCTAATGCCGCGACCCTTTAATACAGTTCCTCGTGTTGCGGTGACCCCCAATTTCATTGTTACAAATTGAACGTAGTTAAAGCATAGTGATTAATCACAAAAACAATATGTAATTATATATGTGTTTTCCGATGGTCTTAGGTGACCCCTGTGAAAGGGTTGTTCGACTCCCAAAGGGGTCGCGACCCACAGTTTGAGAACCGCTGATTTAGGCTATCAATTTCTGTTGTTTTTTAGGAAAGAAGGAATCTTGTTATAGAAAATGTTCATGTTACAGGCATTTGAAGGCTGTTGGTTGGTCATCTTAAACTTAACTTTTCACATTTTTTAGTTAATACATTTTGAAGTCTATGTTCCCAGTAAGTCATTTAGATATCACATTAAGTAAACCTTTATTTACCTAATGTGACATCTAAATGATTTGCTTTTTTCTGTCTATTTTAATATTAAGGTATACTGAATAAAAATTATCTTAGGATGAAATTGACCCTAAATTACGGAAGTAGCGGTGTATAAATCAGTGATAATGAGGATTACATAAAGTTGGCGAACTGATGCTCTAAAAGCAGTCTTCAATTATTTTAATAGTTTCATATGTAATTTTAAAAAAAATCTAAACATAAATTAAATGCGACCCAAAAATGTCATTGCAAAAAAAATCAGGTCATAGCAGGAGGTTAAAGAAATTACTGGAGTGAGCCTGTATAGCTAGCCTGCAAGGAATTCCGGGGGCTGGCAGTACAAATCCATCCTGGCCTTGGCGGCCAGTTCCTACCACCTGGTTTAAATGTGGATGGAGATGATTTTGGGCCCTGCAGCTAGTGTTAGAACTTTCAGTTTATTAATGCATGCATTTCTGTAAGATAAATTCCTAGAGATAGAATTGAGTATTAAGCATTTATAATGCAAAATATTATACTTATGTAATATTTCACTTGCAATTCCGAAATTCAGAAAGCTCTTAAAACCAAGTTTTAATAAAGCTTTGCCTATGAAACCTGACCTGAAGTAACATGAGGCTATATATAGTATTATTTTTCACACTGTTCCTGTTTCCTGCAGTAAGGATAGTAATGTTTGATTATGGGGTGCTGCCCCATACTCTTTGAGAGAGCCTTGTAATACATGATACATGCACCACATTACTCTATAAAATCTGAAAATTCTAAATTCCAGAGCATATCTATCCCCAAGAGTTTTGAATAAGGCCTTGTAGGTATGTACCAACTTAGTCCTCTATAAGAAAGCTCATTTTCCACATTCTCACTAACACTAGGCTTTGCTGTATTAATATGTGAAAATAGCCAGTGATTTTAGGTTTTATTGGCCTTAGAGTTTGTAGTAAATAGTAGAACTTAGATTTATAGTGCAACTCCCAGATCTGGAATAGCAAAGTCATTACTTAACTGACCCAAAGTCACATTCTACCTTTGCATCTGTTTGAGTTACTTCCATAGTTAACTTGGCTGGGAATTTACACCAAGTTAGCAGTTTCTGTAATAGTATATATAGTTGGGCAGGAAGTACAATGTGATCTCTTTGACACATGAATGGTATTTCATGAGTGTTAGTGGATCCAACCATGCTCATATTTTAGGTGTTGTGTCAGCCACTTGACTTTCTGATTATGGGAACTAAGAGTCATCTAATTAGTTCTAAATTAGCTATTACTAGCTTTCTGTGTGGGTTTCCTCTCTTTTCCTTATTTGTAATTTCTTTGTAATACTGCAGTAATAAATATTATTTCAAGAAAGAGGCCCAGGGCACAGATTTGTGCACGTTGAAAGGAAATTAATTAGAAGAAATATTTTAGAGGCTGGAGAAGGACCGCAGGAGGTTGGCTCCAGGGCAGGTCTAGCCCAGTCCCGATCAGCCAGACCCCAGCAGCAAGCTAATCTACCGGTCAGAGCGTCTGTCCCCTGGTGGTCAGTGCATGTCATAGCGACTGGTTGAACAGTTGAATGTGGTCGGACACTTAGCATGTTGGGCTTTTATTATACTAGAGGCCCGGTGCATGAAATTCATGCATGGGGGTGGTCTCCTCAGCCCGGCCTGCACCCTCTTGCAATCCGGCACCCCTCAGGGAATGTCCGACTGCCAGTTTAGGCCAGATCCTGCAGGCACCCAGGACCACAGGCGGCTTCCCTCTCCCCAGCCTGGCCGCAGGCACCGGGGACCGCGGGTTGCTTCCCTGCCTCTGGCCCAGCCGCAGGCACCCAGGACATGGGCGGCTTCCGCCAGGCCTGGCTTAGGAAGGATGTCCAGAAGACGTCTGGTCTATCCGGTCTAATTAAAGTTAAATTTTAATTCAGTGGGAGTTTTCTTTTTATAAATGGTGTATAATGTGGTTAAAATGTGGGTTTTTGTGGATAGCCATTGATTCCAACATTGTTGAAATAAGCCACTCTTCCTAATTTGAAATAAGTCATGAGGACAAAATTGCCCTCCTTTCTTGTGCATTCTTCCAGATGAATCCTCCGCAAATAGGATTTAGATAGGATTTGTATTAAATTTACACATTGATTTACTTATATAATATGGAGTCTTTCGTTTAAGAAAACATCTATTTTATCGTGTTTTTGGTTTTCCCCCCAGTAAAATTGTGTGCTCTTATAAAAAATTGAAGGAATAAAATTAATTTTAAAAAGATTTATAGGAAGGAAGCACTGTATGAAGATTAATATTACATAAACTTCCCTTGTAGAATTGAACTGCAGGCTTAAAAAATGTAGTTTATGTCTTGCAAATAAGTTGAGTCTATCATATAGTTTAATAATGTAAATTAAATACAAAGTTTTTATGAATGTGTTTAAAGTATATCCCCAAAATGAGAATCTCTGAGAAAAAGGGTATTTTTTTCTCTTAAGTTATGGTCATGTATTGCCACTAAACAAATAACTAGAAGATCTGGCTTTGTGATTCAAATTCTTTTTTTTTTCTTCCAAATTCTTTTTTAAAAACTTTAAAAATGTATACTTATTATTGCCTCTTGTTTTCTAGAATGTTTATATTTTGTATTGAAGGTAAAATTACAGATGTTAATTTTCTTCAGTCTATTTTTAATTTTAAATGTGATAGACTTTTAAAAAACATTCCTTTCCTCATGTTTCATTTTTATGGTAATATAAAGTGTACTGGCCTAAATACTGTAACTGAACTTTTTTTCTTTTTAGTTACTCCAGACGATCCACAGAATAGAGGATGTTGCCACGAAGCCTGCCTCTGTCTTTCACACTCAGCCTGCACAGCCATTGCCAAGCTGAGACCGATGCCTGTAGACTGTGCTGACAAACTGAAGAGCCTAGTTAACACAGGATGACCTAGGAGTGCCTTTCCGTCTCTAACAAGAAACTGCTCATTAGTGACAGTGTCAGTCTTGGTTCTGAATGCTGCAGATCACAGCAGGCGGGATTTCTCCTTTCTTTATTTCTGAAACATTCACTTGACCTTCCATCAGTAAGACTGACTTTTCTAATTTGCTCCAGGAGATATTAATGGAATACAGTCATGTCCACTCAAGACGAGAGGCAGATCAATACTGAGTATGCAGTGTCCTTGTTGGAACAGTTAAAACTGTTTTATGAACAGCAGTTGTTTACTGACATAGTGTTAATTGTTGAGGGCACTGAGTTCCCTTGTCATAAGATGGTTCTTGCCACATGTAGCTCTTATTTCAGGTAAGTACTTTAACCTTGATTAGTTTGTCATTTCAAATGCAGAATCATAGCTTTTATTAGGAATTCTTTAAGCATTGTTTAAATTTTAAAATGATAGATTCTTAACTTTTTACTAGTCTCCTTTTTGTCTGTCTACGTATTTGGACATTTCATATATATGCACTCAGATACCATGTGGCTTTTGTATCTGGCTCCTTTCGCTGAGTATAATGTTTCTGAGGTTCATCTGTGTTATGATACATATCAATACTTAGTTCCTTTTTATTGCCCAATAGTGTCCCATGACAGACCTCGGAGATACTGTGGATTCAGTTCCAGACCACCACAGCAAAGCAAATAGCATAATAAAGCAAGTCACATGATTTTTTGGTTTCCCAGTGCATATAAAACTTCATACTGTAGTGTAGTAGTGTGCAATAGCATTATGTCTAAAAAAAAAAGTACATATTTTAATTAAAAAATAACCTTTCTGAAAAATACTGTTAGGTGAGCCTTCAATGAATTGTAATCTCTTTGCTGGGTCTTACCTTCAATTTGTAAAAAAAAAAAAACAAAACACACCACAGTATCTGCAAAGAGTGGTATGGTATGCCAAAGTGAAATAAAACAAGGTTTGCCTATAAATGAATATTGGCGTTGTCACTCAGAATGGCGTGGTAGAATAGAAGTTTGTATAACTTTGGCACTGGATTGTACTTTCGTGTTGTCTCACTCAAAAGTTTTCCCAAGAAGTTGTTCATCAGCAAATGCCCTAAATCAGCGGTTCTCAACCTGTGGGTCGCGACCTCTTTGGTGGTCGAGCGACCCTTTCACAGGGGTCGCCTAAGACCATCCTGCATATCAGATATTTACATTATGATTCATAACAGCAACATTACAGTTATGAAGTAGCAACGAAAATAATTTTATGGTTGGGTCACAACATGAGGAACTGTATTTAAAGGGCCAGAAGGTTGAGAACCACTGCTAAATAAACATCCCATGTTGTTTAGCTTCTCTTTTTAGCTCTACGTTTGTTTTACACTAAAAGCAAAGATTTGTTTTTTCTCTCTGCTGTAGGGCCATGTTCATGAGTGGGCTAAGTGAAAGCAAACAGACACATGTACACCTGAGGAATGTGGATGCAGCCACCTTACAGATAATAATTACTTACGCGTACACGGGTAATTTGACAATAAATGACAGCACTGTAGAACAGCTTTATGAAACAGCTTGCTTCCTGCAGGTAAGCAGTTTCTTCTGTTTACATTAACTGGTTTCTTTTTTAAAAATACTTTTATTGTTTTAAGAGAAACATCGATTTTGTTCCATTTGTTGGTGCATTCATTGGATGCTTCTTGTATGTGCCCTAATACGGGATCGAACCCGCAACCTTGGCATATCGGAATGATGCTCTAACCAGTTGAGCTGCCAAGCCAGGGCTTTGTGGTTAATGTTTATGTGCCAGGTACTGTACTATATGCTCTATATAGGTTCTATCTAATTCTTACAATAATTATTTGTAGAGATTTCCCCATTTTATACATTTGATACTTAGAGAAGTAGCTACTTGACTAATAGGGTGCAAGTTTTGAATCCAAGCAACCCAACTTCTCTCCATAAATTGCTTCTAGTTAACCACTGTGGTTTTTTCTTTACTTTTTAACCTCTGTGATGTTGAATAAGTATAGTAGGTTAACACTTCTGATTCATCTGAGATCTACATTTCCTTCTTAAGAAAAAACAAACCTAGAAAACTTAGAGTGGCTAGGTTAGGTCATCTAAATGTAGATAATTTAGCCCTGGCCGGTTTGGTTCAGTGATGAGAGTGTCGGCCCCTGCACTGAAGGGTTTAATTCCCCGGTCAAGAGCATGGACTTTGGTTGCAGGTTTGGTCCTGAGGCAACGAATCAGTGTGTCTCTCTCACATCAATGTTTCTATCTCTCTCTCCCCCCCTCCCTTCCCTTTCTCCCATGCTCTATAAAAATAAGGAAATAATTAAATAAAGATAATTTATAACTATACAGAAATGTATTTGTTATTCCTTTGGTTGTCTTAGCTCTCTAGATAAGAAAGGCATATATAACTATTTTTAGTTATACATGGTTTACTGGTTTTATTTGACTATCTTGTCCATATTGATAAAACCAGATTCCAGCTTCTCAACAATGTTCATTTTCTGTACTATGATTTACTTCCATCGTTTTCATTTGGTTTTCTCAATTACACATTTTTAACTTACACGTGAATTTCCTAACGTTTTCCTTTCGTTTTTTAAGAGCCTGTTTAATGTCATACTACTGGCTCCTAAATTAGGGCAGTTAAGTAGGCCACTGGACAGGTGGGAAAAATGCAAAGCTATATGTACAGTCTTCTAATTTTATTATTACAGAAAACATCTCTTAACCAAAAATAAGTATCTAAAAATAAAAACTACAATATAGGGATCTGATTAGTATACCAGTATCTACACAAAATAAAACGTGTCTGTTCTGCCTTTATCAACTTGTTTTCTTTTCTTTTAGGTAGAAGATGTGTTGCAACGTTGTCGGGAATATTTAATTAAAAAAATAAATGCAGAGAATTGTGTGCGATTGTTGAGCTTTGCTGATCTGTTCAGTTGTGAGGAATTGAAACAAAGTGCTAAAAGAATGGTGGAGCACAAGTTCACTGTTGTGTGTCACCAGGAAGCATTCATGCAGCTGTCCCATGACCTCCTGATAGACATTCTCAGTAGTGACAACTTAAATGTAGAAAAGGAGGAGACAGTTCGCGAAGCTGCTATGCTGTGGCTAGAGTACAACACAGAAGCACGATCCCAGTATTTGTCTTCAGTTCTCAGCCAAATCAGAATCGATGCACTTTCAGAAGTAACACAGCGAGCTTGGTTTCAAGGTCTGCCACCCAATGATAAGTCTGTAGTGGTTCAAGGTCTGTATAAATCCATGCCCAAGTTTTTCAAACCAAGACTTGGGATGACTAAAGAGGAGATGATGATTTTCATTGAAGCCTCTTCAGAAAATTCTTGTAGTCTTTACTCTTCTGTCTGTTACAGTCCCCAAGCAGAAAAAGTTTACAAGCTCTGCAGCCCACCAGCTGATTTGCATAAAGTTGGGACCGTTGTAACTCCTGATAATGACATCTATATAGCAGGTGGTCAGATTCCTTTGAAAAACACAAAAACAAATCATAGTAAGACAAGCAAACTTCAGACTGCCTTCAGGACTGTGAATTGCTTTTATTGGTTTGATGCACAGCAAAATACCTGGTTTCCAAAGACGCCGATGCTTTTTGTCCGAGTAAAGCCATCCTTGGTTTGCTGTGAAGGCTATATTTATGCAATTGGAGGAGATAGTGTAGGTGGGGAACTTAATCGGAGGACCGTAGAAAGATATGACACTGAGAAGGATGAGTGGACAATGGTGAGCCCGTTACCTTGTGCTTGGCAGTGGAGCGCAGCAGTTGTGGTTCATGACTGTATCTACGTGATGACGCTGAACCTCATGTACTGTTACTTTCCAAGGTCTGACTCGTGGGTAGAAATGGCCATGAGACAGACTAGCAGGTCTTTTGCTTCAGCTGCAGCTTTTGGTGATAAAATTTTCTATATTGGAGGGTTACACATTGCTACCAATTCTGGTTTAAGATTCCCTTCCAGCACTGTAGATGGGTCTTCAGTAACTGTGGAAATTTATGATGTGAATAAAAATGAATGGAAAATGGCAGCCAACATCCCTGCTAAGAGGTACTCAGATCCCTGCGTTCGAGCTGTTGTGATCTCAAATTCTCTGTGTGTGTTTATGCGAGAAACTCACTTAAATGAAAGAGCTAAATATGTCACTTACCAGTATGATCTGGAACTCGACCGGTGGTCTCTGCGGCAGCATATATCTGAACGTGTACTGTGGGACCTAGGGAGAGAATTCCGATGCACTGTGGGGAAACTTTATCCATCCTGCCTGGAAGAATCTCCGTGGAAACCACCAACCTATCTTTTTCTACCGGATGGGACAGAGGAGTTTGAACTGGATTGAGTAATGGTTGCACTACCACCTGTATAGTTGGGAGTTCAGGAGGTGCACGCCTGATTTATGTGCTTTGTCATTTTCTTTGCTAAATAAGAGAGGCTATGAAAGGACTAATATGAGTACATAAAAATCTATCTTTGATAAATTTTATTTTTATGCCCTACTTAATATTTGCATCAGTATAATATATATCAGTGAGTCTTGCAGAAAGATATGCTTCCATAATATGAAATAGATTATCCAATAATTGTAATAATTTTATGTGTATCATGAGAGCATAGAATCTGGATTATCTAACATTGTTAGCCCTGTGTATGTACAGTTCAAAAAGTTCACTTATTAAACTAGTTTCCTGTTCCTAGTGTGGTATATCACAAATTGTGCTGAGGTTATTTTAGCATATGTATTTCGTTCCTGTGCTTCTGTTCTGAAGTCCTGGAATACAGTTTTTTGGTGTAATTAGTTCAGCTGCACTTAACACTAACGTCCATGTTGGAATAGAAACGTCTCGATCCTGTACTATAGTTGAGGAAGATCTTCCATTTTATGGTATTACACAGGGAGAGCTAGGACTGCAGGACCAGTCTAACTATACTATTAGGTGCATGTACTCTCTTTCTCTTTCCACTAACTTATACTTGTCTCTAGAATACAGGTCTTCCAATCAGCTGGTCATTTACCAGGTATGGACTTAAGTTGCTGGGCTTGCAATGAAATTTGCTAGTCCCTCATTGTGCGGGTCTGGGTGGAGCATTCATCAGTAAATGCCTCCACTTTCTGTATTACATTAACATTGGCTCATGCGTATAACTACCTGCTGCTGTTGTATTTCTCCATCTTAAAGATTCAGAGTGGGTCAACCAGGTCATTACATCTTAATTTAATAACAAGCATTACTGTAGAGTGATTGTGTAGATACCCGTTAGCCGTCAGGGTGTGTGTTTTTAACCTGTTGTGTGTGGGTAGGATTAGAAGGGTGAACTGTTCAGGAATTCTCTGCACTGGCTGTGCGGACGAGCAGGTAACGAGTGCTGCTCTGGCATTCGTCCAGGAACCACTAGCAGTAGCGGCGCTGCCCATCTAACATGAGCACAGGTGCTTCACGACAAACATTACTAGCATGTTCAACTGCATAATGTTCTGGCACTGTATTTCGAATGACATTAATTTATTAAATAAGTTGTATATATTCAGTATTTGTTTTTCTTTTGTGATGGGAATTGTTTAATGGTGTGCTTTTAGTTTTAATTTTACTGGGTCATTTTACCTTGTTAATGTGGTTTCTTCAGAATTTTGAGTATATATAAAAAATTGTGATAGGAGCCTTACTGTATCAACATAAACTACAGATAAAAAGCAATGCCTTTCAACCCTAGTTGCATGTTAGGATCATCTGAGGTGCTTTTAAACCTGGGGGTGGTGCCTGAGCCTCATTCCTAACAAAATGAACTCTAGTCTGGGGGGTGGACCTAGCCACAGTATCTATGAGCACTGTCACACAGGTGTTTCTTTTTGCAGTGCATGAGAGACATTGGTTTAGGCTTTAAATGCAGGCATGCCTTGGAGATTCTGCAGGCCCAGTTCCAGACCACCACAATAAAGCCTTTTGCTGGCGGAGGGCTTACCTTCAATTTGTAAAATTGTAACCTGTGAAACGCGATAAAACAAGGTGTGCCTGTATAAGGATTTGATTTTAGGTTATCAGTCTTCCTAACATCCTTGGTCATGTTTCCAGACTTGAACTGCCTCCCTCTACTGAATGAAGTCCAATTTCTTGTGCTTTTTACATTTTTTAAAACATTGTATTTAAGAAATTTCAACCGATTGATAAACACAAAGTAAAAGTCTTTTTTTAGATGTCTATGTGTAAAACTGATTTTAATGTTGAAAGTTCCATTTAATAAGTAAACACATTTACTATTTGAGGCAAATTATTCTGCAGAATTTCATCATAGATTATCAGAAATTGTGGCTTCGGTCTAGACTAGCACTATAACGGACTGATTTATAAAAGAACTAGAGGCCCAGTGCACAAAAATCATGCATGGACAGGGTCCCTAGTGGCTGCCCGCCAGAGGCGCCTCCACTTCCCCTAGCCCAGAGGTGGGCAAACTTTTTGACTCGAGGGCCACAATGGGTTCTTAAACTGGACCGGAGGGCCGGAACAAAAGCATGGATGGAGTGTGTGTGTGAACTAATATAAATTCAAAGTAAACATCATTACATAAAAGGGTATGGTCTTTTTTTTTTTTTTTTTAGTTTTATTCATTTCAAACTGGCCGGATCTGGCCCGCGGGCCGTAGTTTGCCCACGGCTGCCCTAGCCCCCTGCTGCCAGCCCCGCTCCCTGGTCAAACTGGTTGAATTCCCGGTTGAGGGGACAATTTGCATATTAGGCTTTTATTATATAGGGTGAAAAGTAAGAGATGTACCTCTTTGATCCTAATGACTTTTCACATTTCCTGTAGACACCATAAAAGGAAGCAGGGAAATTGGTAGAAAAATGGGACCTTTGCCCTAAAAATTGTAAAGGGAAAAGGAAATGAGAGAAACATTGGGAATAAGTTTCCAGCAAACTCATTTGATGGAAGAATCCTTGGATCATAACAGCATCCTTCCATGGACAAATGCCGTCTGTGTTTCATGTGAGAAAGTATTACAAGCAGCTCTGGAGGCTAGAAATCTGAAATCGAGGTGCTGGCAGGATTGGTTTCCTCTGAGGGCTGTGAGAGAAGCAGCTGTTCAGGCCCCTCTCCTGGCTTGTAGAAGACCATCTGCATGTTCACATGGTGTTCTTTCTCTGGATGCTTCATCTCGCCAGGAAGCAGCGCTGCCAGCATCTTGATCTCGGACTCCCCAGCCTCCAGAAACTTCTGGGAGCTACAAGTTCCAAACCAAAGTCCGAAAGGATTGGTTTCTGGTGAACCCTTCCTGGCTTGCAGTGGCCGCCACCTCATCGTGTCCTCACATGGTGGAGAGTGAAGTTCAAATTCTTTTAACACATTTAAAGCCCTCAAGATTTGACTTTAAGTTACCTTTACAGCATAGTCTTACATTGTTTACCCATAAACCTTACCTTGAATTAGGTTTTTGCTATACTTTCCTGCCTTTGCTTCTTGCTCTACTCAGAATGGTCTTTCCACATTCTAAACATGCCTGGGACTATCTGTACTACCCAAGATCTGTGTAAGGTAGTCTTAATTTTCCCCCCTTTACTTTCCCCCCACTAAGGTAGTTTTTAAATGAAGCTTCCCTGATAACCACCCTGTGCTGAAGAGTCCCTTCTCACTTCCCTAGAACCTTGCACCTGGGTGTTAATTGACCCCAACCATTTATTGAGCATTCTGACTGGCCTGAGTGCTTTTCTACACAGTGATCGATGTGTTTGAGAGTAAGGACTTATGTAGGGCTGCACCCCCCTATACTGTAGCATGGTTGGTGATAAAAAGTCAAACCCAATCTAACATTCTTTATTCTCATTAGAAGTTTCATTAGTCACCTTCTTCCCCCCCACCCCCATTAACCATCCATCTTAGATCTGTTATCTTAGTACTTCTGCCACTCCTGGCAATTCTAAATTCCTTTGTCTTATTTTATATTCAGGCAAAACCTGAATCTTAGATGAGTATGGAATGGTCTTGACCTGTTCGTAACAGCTAACTAAATAGTTTCATTTCAAACGAATTCCTTCAAGTGCAGTGCTCCTCGCACAACTATTTGAAAGTTATTTCTATTGGAGGGATTTGATAATAGAAACCCTGTTTTAGGCCTTGGATGCTGGGGGTGCAGGGAGGACCGATTGAGGCTGGCCAAGTTCATGGGAAAGGGCACATGAGCCTGGTTTTTCTTCAGGAACAAAGTCTTCTTGGAGGCCTGAGAACTGCTGTTTTCTCACATTTGCTTTTCCCTACGCCCCGGTGGGGTGGCACTCCCCTCTCTCCTAGCGGGTTACATAATGATGCAGGTCAGCATCATGGGCCATTCTGCCCTTGGACAGCACTTTCTGAAACTGCCCGATTTCCACATGAGAACTGTTTATTCTGGATCGGACTTAATTTGGTCAGCTGGACTCTCCTGGGCATGGGAGTTTTTCTTACCCTTGGCCTACTTCTTCTGGTACTAAATATCCTTTTACAGCGTCACCTCGCACTTTGTAAAACAAATAGTTGAAAGCACTGCTTTCTTTCGCTGTGGGACTACGTCATTCTCACCGTGCTCCTTGGAAAGCCACAGGCACGGAGCCTTGCGTTGGAAAGGAAGGTTTTGTTCATGTCACAGGATTAGTCAATTACCTGCCGGGTGCCAGCCTCCCTGACCTCACAGCTCAAAGCCACACTGTTACCCCAGCACACAAGGGTGGTGATGGAAATATATTCAAAGCCACGGGGAGAGAAAGGCACCGGCCCAGCTCCAGGCCCAAGAGGCTCTTACTCACATGCAATGTCTTCTCTGCCTCTCTTGTTTTGATTCTGTCCCCTCCCCATCACAGCAATAGAAGCAGAAGGAAATCACCAGTGTCATTAGCCTCACAAACCAACTCATTTTCCCATGTCCTCAGAGCAACGTGGGAGAAACAAAGAGGAAGGAGGAAGAAGAAATGCAGGGGGGCAAGGTGGACTCCTTTGTAGATGTGCGTTTCCCTCTTCCAACATGGCCCCCGTTTTCTCCGTGATTGTTACAGTATCTGCCTAACACTGCAGTGAGCATCATACTTACTAGTGTTGCGCCCGAGTCTCAGGACTAGCCCTTGTCTGTTGGTTGGCCCCAGTTTTTCAGTATTTAGTATAATAAAAATGCCATGACAGAGAACTCCATGCACAGAGCTTTTCCTCCTTTTGGATGGAATCAGGAAGCTCTCCTGATTACGATTAAGGGCCATAAAAATGTCCACTCCTGCTTTATTGACCATGCTTCTTAGAAATGCATCTCTCTCTTGAAGCAGTGAAACAAGTGTTAGCTCAACATTCAAACACTCAAGAAAGAGCGCCGGTCAGAGTGTGGGAGCTGATACAGTGCAGGTGAGCCTGTCCCAGAGGTCTAAACGAGGAAGGAGCCATCAGTGGTCAGGTGGGGGGAAGGCGGTTTCTCTTCCATCAGAGACGACGTACTCATCTGGGACAGGATTTGATTTGAGCAGTTTCCCATCAAAGAGGGCCTTTGGAAACCTCTAATCTGCCTTCCTTATTTAATTCAGAACACTGGCTCAGAGAGTTCTTTTATTTGACCTGCCCAAGGTCTAGGACTACATTTTGCCTTCATCTTTTGGGGTTCTCCGGACACAGAAATGTCCTAGTAAACGAGGGGAACTGAGGTCGTGAGTGGACTAGGAGCCCGAGGAGGAGTCCAATGTGTGTTCTCTGCGTGTCTTGTCTCCTCTTCCTGTCCCTTCCCTAACTCAGAGGATGAGGGGCACCGTCCTGAGTAGGGTGGGAAGTGTTCATTGTATTGTGATCCTCCATAGCCTACACATCTGCTAGAAATTCGTTTGATTCCGTTGTTAATATAAAGAATGAAAAATAATGGTAATAGCAAGTGCGTATTCAGAGTTAAGCATGTGTCAGATGCAACGCCAGTTTGAGTATGCAGAATAAGTAAGCTACACTTCCTTTGTATATCCTAGTCTATCATTCATGTCTCGTGCCCCCACTCTGACGCCCAGGAACTCACACCATTCTCTTCACTCTCCTTTGTTCCACCTGTGGGTTGTGACCCTTTGTCTCCCAGTTACATAAAACTTCCCTTTTCTCCCCTTTAATTCCGGTCAAGGGCACGTACCTTGGTTGGAGGCTTGATCCCCGCCTTGTTCCAAGCGCATGTGGGATGCAACCAATCGGTGTGTGTCTCACAATGATGTTTCTCTCTCTCTGTCTCTCCCCCTCCCTTCTCTCTAAAAATCAATGGGAAAATATCCTCTGGAGAAGATTAACAACAACAAATACTCCTTTATCTTCACCTGTTAAAACTTTACCTGGGAATTTCCATTTGGAGGGCGTTCGGGGCAGTGAATGACCTACTGAGGGCTCGGTGTCCATGGGATGGTCTTGTACAAAGAGGTGATTCAGGATCGCTGCCACCGAGGATGGGACAGTGTCACTCCTGTCTCCGCGGTTTCTAGGAAGTGCTGCCGAGTGACTTGTTTTCTAGGGCACAGCCAGGAGGGGCAGCCGGAAAGGCTACTGTTCAAATTCTCCACTGGCCTACTTGGACCTCGCCATTCCCCAGAGCCAATGACACCGGGCTCCTCGGGTAAAGTTTATCAGAAAAAAAAAATTAAAAATCCCATGGATTAGGTGAAATATAAATGAAAACCCAGATGTCAGCTGCCAGTGGACTTCTCAAATATACAGCAACGGCCTTCCTGCCTGTAAACTACATGAAGAAAAAGTGAGTTTTGCCCTGACCAGTTTGGCTCAGTGGATAGAGCGTCAGCCTTCGGACTGAAGGGTCCCAGGTTCGATTTCGGTCAAGGGCATATACCTTGGTTACGGGCACATCCCCAGTGTGGGGTGTGCAGGAGGCAGCTGATCGATGTTTCTAACTATCCCTCTCCCTTCCTCTCTGTAAAATATCAATAAAATATATTTTAAAAAAAGAAGAAAAAAGTGAGTTTTACCCAAGTCTAAGCAAATCAACTCAGCCCGGTGGCACGGTCTTCTGGGTCTCCACTTTGCCAGGAAGAGTAAGTTAGATGATCAAGTGTCCTCCAGCCAAGGCCTCTTCCGGCATCGCCCACAATCGCATCACAGTTGCTTCTCATTGACCAGCCCCCTAACCTAACCTCTGGCGAAAGCCAAGGAAAACACGTTCTCATGGTAGCTGGTTTTGGACTGAGGGCCAAGTTTCATTGGAGACCAGTGCGACTTAAAGTCGTGGAGACCTGTGACTGGGCCCTGGAGGAAGGGAAAGGGGCGGCTTGTTGGGTTTGGAGACATCACTGAATTTACAGCTTAGGGCCACGCAGACGCAGTGATGCCCAACCCAGAATGAACTTCCTAAAACGCAGCACCCCGACGGCCACTTACCTGCGGGAAGCCCTCCAAAGGCTTCTCTGGCCTTTCAGATCAAGTCCATGACCCCTGGCCAGGCCGGCAGGGACCCTCCATCCTGACGTGGCCTTATTTTCCAGCCTCATGTCTTGCCCATCCTTCCTTGCCATTTACATTCCGGGCACATCACAGAACACTCCCAAAGAACACCCGCTGCTCCCCAGTCCCTGCCCATGCTGCTCTCCGAAAGGCCTTCCTATCTTACAAACTCTTTCTCACCCCCCTTCACCCCGACACTATCGCCTAGACTCTGGTCTCAGCGTAGGCTCCCAGGAAAGAGTCATCTACTCGTCTCTGTCAAGAAGTTGACCATGATGTGGTTGAACACACCCTGGCTTAGCCTTGACCTGGCCCTCTTCACCTGGGGTGGTAACTGTCTCCTGCTGAACAGCAAGCACCAGGAACTGTGTGTGGGGTGCCTACTACGCGTGTACACAGTAGGCACCAAGAACCTGACTGGGAGAGGAAGGACTTAAAATGCAGTATGAGGGACTTGGGTTCGTCTTAAGAGTGACCTCCCAGGGCAAGTAGCCAAAGATGTGAAAATCCTGGGTGTGTGAGGCCAGCGTGAGCCTGTGGCACGATGTTAAAGTCCTCAGGGTTTTAGGACAGGTCTAGGACACTGGGCATTTGTGTGATTGTTAGACTTGGGGAATGTCAGCCCTTCAGAGTAAAAAACACAAGGTTCCTTCGTCCATCTCCATGAACTGGTGCTGAGGCAATGCTTTGCACAGGCCCTGAAACAAAATGAGAAAAGTAAAACTGGTACAAATCAGTTCATTGTTTGATTAAAAGGATCCTCCTTTACCCTGACCCTAGGCTCTTCCCATATTTTGGTATTAAAATGTCTTTGTAGGAAGTGCCCAAACTTTCTAGCCATATTGTGGAGCAGGGATGGAAGATGGGCGGGCAGTAGAAACTTGACCTCTATTCTATACCATTCTAAAACAGAAATTCCAGGTGGATAAAATCCTAAATGTGAAGGGCCAACTGAGAAACTTCCAGAAGATTATAGAGAATATTCTCATGACTGTGAGGTAGAGAAAAGTTCCTTCTCACCATAAGAGGAAAGATAACTTTGACTACATCAAGAACTCTACTCATCAAAAGACACCATCAAGAATGAAGATGTATGGTCATTACCAAGGCTTTTAGAATGTAGTTTCTCATTTGCCATGGACATGACCACAGAACATTTCCCCAATAGGTTTTTTTTTTTTTCTGCTATGTTGGTACCATAGCATTCAGCCTACTGGGAACATTTTTAAAAAAAAATGAATGAAGATGTCACAGAGTGAGATATTTAGAACACACATAATTAACAAAGAAATAGTATCCAGAAAAAAATATATATACATACTCATAAAATAAAAACTGAAGCAAATAAACAACCCAATAGAAAAATAGGTAAAAGACTTCAATAGGCATTTCATAAAATGGTCAGTAAATAAACAAAGTACTCAACCTCGTTAGTACTCCAGGCCAGCGGTCGCCAACCTTTTGGACCTCATGGGCCACCAGTTGGTGACCGCTGCTCCAGGAGATACAAATTGAAACTCACAATGAAACAGTACTTCACCCACACCTGATCAGCCCAAATTTAAATTCCTGGTGATACCAAGGCATTGGGGACCATGTGGAGCAATGGCTTTCTGATGCCATGCTGGTGGGAGGGCACAATGGTAGCACCACTTTGAACAGCAAGTTGGCATGAACTAAAAAGATCTAAGATGTACATAGTCCCATGTGTACACCTGAGAAATGTGCACAGGGGTTGGGGTCAGCCTCGAGTCCTCTGGGCCATTCCGTAGGCTGCTTCCTTCGGAAGCTGGCGCTGCTGCCCAATGGGGAAGCAGGCCAGAGCCGCCCCCACCACCCACGGGAAGGGGACTTCTCGAAAGACAGGTCAAGTACGACTGTATGCAGGACAAATTGGATAATTTTATTCTCATTTTTCTTTAAAATAAAGATACAGTAGGAGTTTTACAATTCAGTATGATTAGATGCAATTTATAATTTTAACATTTCTTTTTTAAATAAATGACAATAGAAACAAAGAACTGCTACAAATGATAAATCTTACTAGAGCAAAGAGAGAAACTACCTTTTGGATCAAACACGTGCCACAGCTAAACCTCCTTGGAAAACTTTCTAAGATTTCTAAGCTAAACTTCCCTAGAAAGGGTTTGTGGGAAGCCTGGACTCTCAAATCTTGAAACTATTTTTGTGAGCACCTGCCCTTTACTAACTTATTAATCAAAAGCTTCCTACCTGTAGGAGCCCATGACCGAGTGCCCTGAAACAGTTAAGTCTTGATCCTATTTTTCCAGCTCTACGTCATTCATGTTTCAAGCAAACAAAGTATGTTCTAAGCACAGAAGCTTTCTAAAAACTTCAATTACCTTCTCTGGCTCAGTACCTGACTGAAATGTTCAAATGTTCATGTCACACACACACACACACACACACACACACACACACACACACAAAGTTTGAGCAGCATACCGTGTGTGTGAGAAGCTAATGAAAAATAAGATTGGAAAACCCCCTAAATTGTGTCCCATTTACATGATTTAAATATATAGTTTCTATATCTTTAATTAATATAAGTAAAAAGGTAAACTTTAAAACAGCACAGAAATACAAATGCATTAGTTTTACAAAATATATTCAACCCCTTATACGTGCACAATCTTTTAATTTTGGAGTTACAATACAAGGGACCTCGTTTCTTCTCCATATGAAAGCAGGAAGTCACCTGCACAAAGTTATTTACATGGAAAGAACAAAAATCGACATTCCTTTTCCTTGTCCTGGACAACTCTGTATGGAATGTTGGAAATGATGAAAAGACCATCGCAATGTTCGTGAAGTTCAACGACTTGCGATGAGAAACCTGCTAGTGGCTCCTTGCACTCCAGGGCATGACCATCACCTTCTAGAAACCAGGCTGGCGTCTCTGTCACGCGGAAAGGCTGCCACAGAACCGGGGGAAAGGCACGCACGCCGCGCCGCCCCTGGCCCAAGCAGCAGGGCATGCAAACGCTGGGATGTGGATGCCATTCCAAGTCCCGACCAAATCCCCCCTAAATGACAGGCGCCATTTAGCCGCTGCCGTCTGCACAGGCTACTTTCCCAAACTGCGGAAGCGATACATGAGGTTGGGGATCCGTCCATTGGCCTGGCCTCGTACAGAGCTGAGGGCCCCCCCAACGCATCACCCGGGAGGGAGGGAGCAGGACCACTGGCTGTAACTTCCACAAAACACAAAATAAACACAAAACCTGCCTGCCAGGAAGATAACGTTACAGCTTCCCTTTAAACTTGTCACCAGCAGATTAAGATGTTAACGTCTCTGTAAAAGAATTCTTATGACCTTTAGCGAAGGAAACACTGCTCTCAAAATACTTCCATTCAGATTTTTTAGTACCTTGCTTCCCAGCCTTGCAAGACTTCTCACTTCTCCTCTCTCTCTTCCTAATTTGCTTTTCTCCTTGCCTTTCCAAACGAAATTATTCTCCAAAAAAAGTTCAATGCTTATTATAGAACTCGGGAAGCAAGGTAAGGTTGTGGAAATCACGCCACACAGTCTGGTTTGCTGCCCACGGATATTGCTGCCACGTTTCGTTTTTAAAATATATTTTAACTGATTTCAGAGAGAAAGGGAGAGAAACATCAGTGATGAGAGACTCACTGATTGGCTGCCTCTTGCACGCCCCCTCCTGGGGATCTAGCTGGCAACCTGGGCATGTGCCCTGACTGGAATCCAACACTGACCTCCTGGTTTACAGGTCTACGCTCAACCAGTGAGCCACACCAGCTGGACAGCTGCCATGTTTCTTAAAGCAAAAAAAGGAGATGGGGATTGTTTTAAGGCTTGGGGGCTGATAGATCATTAATGGATTTGGAAACAGACAATTCATACCGGTTATAAGGACCAAATGCAAATGCCAAGTAACTCTAAGCCTTACGTGCAACTTTCCCTGTTCACCTAGTCCAAGACACAGTCGCTTTAACTCTTACTTTCCTTGCCTACGTCACTGTCATTACAGTGCCTCGTAGGAATCAAAGTATGCAGGGACTCTTCCCGAACACCACTTTGAAGTCACCTAGACGAACAGTGAGGCCACCACCAAGCTACAGACGGAGCCTGTGTAATGGCACACCTGGCAAAGGCCTGGCTGACCGAGTTCCCTCAGGCCTCCTTACAAATACTCGGTTCTTAAGACACAAAAGGACTAGAGCAAGCACGGCCAACCCACACACACACCCTTCCCAGCGACATGTCCGAAAGCTGGCCCGGTGTCGGCTCCTACGGCTCACAGAGCCCGTGCCTGAAGGGAGCTTACCGCTTCTGGGCTGGAGCCTGCAACCCAAGCCCCGAGCGCTGGACGAGCGGCCAGGCTTCCTGCCGTCAGCCCTGCTGGCTGTCCCGGGGCCCCTGCCCACAACCCCTACAGCCTCCGCTCCCTGGAAACCCCACGCCCCCCAGAACCTGAAGGGAAGAGGACGGTCTTTTGACCATTTCTACGACCACAGTTCTATCTTCTGCAATATTCATCTCATGTTGAAATGCTGAAAGCTAGTTAAAGGACCACTTTGAACTCTTCACTGGAAACATTAATAGAAAGTTCATTGAAGGTGGATGTTAAATGGGGAACATGTGGTACGTGCGAGTCCAAAGGCGATTGGCTGCTTTTGAAGGGTGAGAGATGGGAATTGACCCCAATCACACAAACCATACAAAGTGAGGATGAGTCCTCGGCTGCCCGGCTCCTCCCTGTGGGTTTCCGGCCGCTGAGAGGGAACAAGCCTGCACAATACCCTGTCTCTCCAACCCATGACGCGGCCTTGTGAAACGAGATGTGATGTGAGGAGGGATTCTTCGTAGTCTCAGCGCAACGCTGATTAAAGTACCTCTGAATGGTTTGTTGGTTTTACTTCTCTTCAAGTACTATTTCCTGAGAAGGTAAACTTTCCTGGCAGAAGTGGAATTAATGGAGTTTTCACAATAAGCCCTTTAATTTATCATCACTGACTTTTTTAATGAAACACTTTAATTTTTTATTGCATTTATTGGGGTGACATTGGTTAATAAAATTCTATAGGTTTCAAGGGTACAATTCTATAATACATCACCTGTATGTTGCACTGTATGCTCATCACCCCACGTCAAATGGAAGTATGTTTTTAGATTTGCTGAACTTGTGTTGAAACACAAACTGGAAAATTTAGGAACATCCAGATTATGTCCTATGACTATTTCACATGCCTTAGAAGGACTTACATGACATAAACATTTCCTAAGGGGTAAGTCAGACATAACTGAGTGCCATCCTTAATTAGGCCCCTACCTTTCCCAATACTCTTCATATCACATGTAGATTATGCTCTCTATGTATTCTCCAAGTACCCTTTGTTACTGAGAAAGCGGTCTGTCCCCTGTACGTTCTCCCTGAGAACACCCATCCCATGTCCCTGTGGAAAGCAAACGAGAGCTGAGCACGGCAGACACGAGGTCCAGGTGGGTGAAGCTCTGCGGCACACAGCACACACGTGCATGTCTGACATGAAACCAGGTGTCCTCTACGAAGCAGGACTGATGTCACGGCTGTGGCTTTCTTGTCCTGCTTCGTGCTTTCCTAAATGTGAGCTAAGATGAGATTTCTATTTACTATTTACAGATCATCCTGCTTTCCTTTTAAAAATTCTTTTAGATGGGATTGATTACAGGATTTTCCACCAGGGAAGTAGGAAAGCCAAGCGCCTGGAAAAGCTTACGAAGAATAATTCTTCTAAGACTAAGGAAAAAACATCAGGTCTGTAAACACCCCATGGAAAACTGTTCGAAAGAAGAAATAGAAGGCACAAACCTTGGATTAAAAATGCTTGTAAGAGGTTACAACGTGACTAGAGTCGACAGAAGGAATACCTAGGTTTTCTAGAGTCTTGCCCTAAATACAGATTCGTGTTCAACTGCTCCGACACCGCGGGAGCCCTCACTCTGTTTCTCTGCACAACTGCTTGGACGATCGGAAGAGGCGGAGAAGCACAGTGACATCCGTGGGCCTCAGAGCCAGGGTCAGGGCCGGGAAAGAACACATTACACGGGAAGCAAACAAGCGTCCTCAGAACCCACGCCTGTGACTGTCACGTTTCCGGGAGGAAGCGAATTGATACTTTGTAGGTAGAAAACCAAACAACCAAAAAAAGAAAATCATCAGAGAACTCAGCAAAAACAATAACCAAGGGCTGGGTAGTATGGACCCTTAACTTTATAAGCATATTTTAGGGCCAACTTTAGAGAAATTAAAATACTATTACAACAATTTTAACACTAATAAATTACAATGATCATCCAGCTATTCAAATATCGAAACAACAAAATTTACATACGTAAAAACTTTCCTAAAGTAAACAAGTGTGCGCGGTCAGAACTGGGAATACCATTGGAAGGGACACGGCGTGTTTTGATCAGGCTCAGACTGAAATAAAAGTAGTCAATTCAAACCCCAACCTGGAGAGCCATCCCTGCTGTGGTTGTGACTGAATCTTTCCAGCATCCTGTGACATTCATTCAGACAGAAGGCGACCGTCCGACCATCCATGTAAACAGTTCGACATGTCGGTCCCCGGCTGTGGACCTGTGGCTGATGGAGAACAGCCTGGGGACCCTTTAAACTCAGCCGCCTCTGGGCCTGCTCAAGGCTTCCCGCTGGGCGGCTCCGGGAGGCTGTGGGGGGTGGAACTGGTGAAGGTGGAAAGCCAGGAGGACATGGCTGTCTTTGCGCTGGAAAGAGCTCCTCCCACGGACTGGCCTGGAAGGAAAGGAGGGAGAAACAAAAGGAAAAACGCCTTCATTTTTGTTAAGAGGCAGTGAAAGAAGGACCAATGCTGATGAATAAATGTTATCTACGGTAACGCATCAATATGTTAACGATTACTAAAATGCCATTTAAATGTCTAGTTTCAAAACAATCCCTTTCCACGCTTGTCGAATAGGAGACAGGACAATTTCTGGGTGGGAGAGCCTACCAGCTTCTAAGCATTGTGAAGGCACCCAGCAAACTCTCTCCTTAGAACCCGCTGTGCGTGGCCGGTGGTTCTCAGCATTGGTTGTGCGTCAGGACAACACTGAGAGCTGAAATAGCCCCACCTGCTCTCTGTCCCCTAAATCCAAGCTGATCACTGATAACCACATACACAGGAAGGGGCGGGGGGGGGGCGCGCTGTAGGAAGTTTGCTTGTCATCAAAAAAGACATTGCGTTCAATGAGGACATCCAGAGCCCAGGCTGCCTTAGGCCTGTTTTGTTTTAAAGAACATTATCTCAGAAGTTGACGCTCAAGTGAAATTATTAAGTTGCAGCACATACTCCCACTATTCTTGGAGATGGGGGAGCGGACGAGGAGAACTGACCTTAGAATTTACACATCAGCTGCAGCATCACTAAAAATTGACAACTGGCCGAGGCCGGTTTGGCTCAGTGGATGGAGCGTCGGCCTGCGAACTGAGGGGTCCCGGGTTCGATTCCGGTCAGGGGCATGTGCCTGGGTTGCGGGCACATCCCCGGTGGGAGATGTGCAGGAGGCGGCTGATCGATGTTTCTCTCCCATCGATGTTTCTAACTCTCTATCTCTCTCTCCCTTCCTCTCTGTAAAAAAATCAATAAAATATATTAAAAAAAAAAATTGACAACTGACTCATAAACCTATGTTGAAGTAGAATTTTTCTACTAAAAAATGAGAATGAAAAATAAGTCAAATGCATAATGTTGTATGGAAGAAAATGCTAATATATCTAATTCCATTCCCTTGTAACAAAATGAACCTAGTGAGAGGGCTTTGTGCTCCATGTTTGTCTTCTTTTATTTTTTTAAAAAATATGTTTTTATTGATTTGAGAGAGAGAGAGAGAGACATCAGTGAGAGAGAACCATTGATCAGCTGCTTCCTGCACACCCCCTACTGGGGACTGAGCCCACAACCCGGGCATGTGCAACGCTCAACCAACTGAGCCAGACCAGCCAGGGCTCCTTGTTTGTCTTCTAAGACGAGTAGGTGTTCAGACGTTAGAGCTATGAGGATCCTGCACAGGGATCATCCAGGTCTGGGGCTCCTGAACTGTGTTCAATGAGGGTTAGTCAACCCCTCTCAGGAGCTAAGTAAGGAGATGGGCCCTATTTTTACATATGGATGTGACTCAGCAAATGTAAATAATTGGTGAATCTGAGATAATTAGGAGTTCCTTGTACAGAGTTGTACCACTTCCTTAAGTTTGAAATTATAAAAAAAATAAAAAGGTAGAAATACAGAAAAGAAGGGACAAGAAACTTCTTTAGAATGGACATGAAACAATCTTCAAAACTTTTACGTAAAAAGTGCTGGGAGCAGAAGTGTGTGTTCAGCACACGCCTCGTCTGGCTTTGGTAGCAGGGGTGCTGGCCTCACTGGATGAGTCAGGGAGCATTGCCTCATCCACCACTTTTCAAAAGAGTTTGTATAAAGTCAATATAATTCCTTAAATGTTTGAGAAGACTTGTAGGTAAAGCCATCTGGGCCTGAATTAAATTAAAAACCTTGCAGCAAGGTTTTTTAATATTTAATTCCATTTATTTAATAGGTAATAGGGCTATTCAGATTTTCTTTTTTAAGTATATTTTTATTAATTTCAGAGAAGGGAGAGGGAGAGAAAGATAGAAATATCAATAATGAGAGAGAATCATGGATGGAACCTGCAACCAGGGCATGTGCCCTTGATTGGAATCGAACCCGGGACCCTTCAGTCCCCAGGCTGACGTTCTATCCACTGAGCCAAACTGGGTAGGACCAGGTTTTCTATTTCTTATTGAGTCACTGATCGATAAGACTATTTCAATTGAGTCTTTCAAAAGAATTTGTATTATTTCATCTAAGTTGTCAAAAAATTGGCATAAAGTTATTCACAAAAGTCCTTTAATTTTTATAAGGTCTATAGTGATGGCCCCTCTCTACTATTTATAAAGGACGATGGGCAGATCTGGGGGAAAACTCCACCGAAGCTTGAGTCCTGGTAGCAGGACAGTGAACTCATCAGAAAACCTGTCACTCCCATCAGATGTGGCAAAATGTGCTTAACTCTGATACTATCTGGTGCCAGGACATGTTTTTAAACAAATAAGACAAAAATTAAAAAAACCAACAACAAACGAACCCCTGTATTTGACTATGGGAATCATTTGTATTATGTGATACACAGACCTCTACAAGTTTACATCTTTATCAACAACATATGAGAGCACAGAGGAGATGAGTTATCATTCTAATCTGTTCCTGGAAAAAGGTGTGCCTTACCAACAGCTTTTCCAGTCTGGACAACATTCCGGCTGGTGGTGACCATGACGTTTCCAATTTTTTTGCCGCGTTCACTGTTTTGAACAGAACTGAGTGAAGGAAAGAAGTGTTAAATACAACTTAAGTAAAGCTCCTCTCTCACACACACATCCCTCTATCACCATCCCCCAAATGAGGATAACTGAGAAAGGAAGCTAAATTATTATCTGTTATCCATCAATTAATGTAATGAAGCATGTGAATTTTTAGTAAAATACTAAAAAAACATGCAGAGGCATGACCAACTCTCCCGACAGGATTTGCCGCAGTTCCTTCAGGATAAAAACGGCAGACCCCGCGCTCGTTCACACCCGTCTCCGGGAAACAGCAGTGTTTTCGCTCTGAGACGCACACAGTGCTGAGCCGCAGGCTGCTAGGCTTGTTTGGTTACTATCTGAAGCCCACGTCTATCCAGTGCAGAGAAACAACTCCCAATTAGCCACGACACACATGGCAGACTCAGACGGCAGAACCGTCCTGGTATTTTTCTCGAAATACTCACTGTGAGAATCGTAGCTTCATGTCGGACACCGAGTACTGGCCTTGGAAAGGGTGGCTGCAAAACAAAGCTCCCGTTCAGACCCTGAGTGTTCCACCAGGAGAGCCACAAAGCAGAGTTACCCAGGGGGCATCAGTAAGCCTCGCAGGGGAGGCCTCTGAGCGTAGCATCCATGGGGCTTGGACCCCAGCTCCCCGCCTGCAGTTAGGGGAGCCCCTCTGAGCTTATTTCCTCCCACATGAAATAGGTGTTTTTTCTAGGCTGGGGGTGGGAGGGTTGTGTTAGTGATGTTGATTTATTTGGTTGGGGTAGGGCCCAAGCATTAACATTTTTTAAAAAGCTCCCAACAGCCTTAGCCGGTTTGGCTTGGTGGATATAGCATCGGCCTGCGGACTGAAGGGTCCCAGGTTCGATTCCGGTCAAGGGCACATGCCCAGGTTACAGGATTGATCCCCAGTAGGGGACATGCAGGAGGCAGCCAATCAATGATTCTCTCTCCTCACTGATGTTTCTCTCTCTCTCTCCCTCTCTCCTTCCTCTCTGAAATCAATAAATATATATAGACTAGAGACCCGGTGCACAAATTCATGCACCAGTGGGGTCCCTTGGCCTGGCCTGTGCCCTCTTGCAATCCAGGACCCCTCAGGGGATGCTGAATAGCTGGTTTTGGCCTGATCCCCACAGGCCCGATCCAGATAGGAGGGAGCCCGATCCTGTGCATTGAGTGTCTGTCCCCTGGGGGTCAGTGAGCGTCATAGCGACCGGTCGATTGGTTGTTTGGTGGCTTAGGCTTTTATATATATAGATATATTTTTTTAAAGAGCTGCCCAGGACAGTCAGGGTGGAGTCAGTGACTTAGGCCAGGGCCATGGACTGCTCCTTGATTCTGGCCATCTTATAAACATGTGCCTTTGGTCAGACAAAGATGTAGACAGACCAGTAAAATCTGTACTTTCTGTTAGAAAAGCAGCTCAAAATACAGGTCTTAAAAATATACAAAAGGCAAAAAGTGTATATATAAATAATCAGGCAACATAACCAAAGATCCCTATAAAAAGCGTCAATAAGTATCCAAATTCTTATCTCCTACTCAGGAGCCTCTCTGTCAATGTCTAACACAAGTGACCCTAGTGAAATCCACAGCAAAGTATAGAAACATCAAAAGGCCATTTTTGGCTTTTCAAATGGCAAATTTCTTTATTGTCCATATGAAGCACATTAGTAAGTTCTCTTTTTTTCTGAATTCCTGAACCACAGATTGAAAACATTGAGAGATGACTCAATCATTCTGGACAGTCTTGGGAAGCGATATTTTAGGATGAACCATGCCTGGTGCTTATTAGGGGAAGTCAGAGGACTGCCTTCTCTGATCTGGGGGCTGAGGACAGGCTTTCACAGAACTCAGATCTTACAGTTGAATTTGGGGAACATGTTGAAACTCTGCTGACTGTCATATCTGCATAATTTCCCTACATGCATATTTCAGGTCCTTCTTCTGTTTTCTCTTCAATCTAAATAAACTCGATTTATTTACACATTTTAAAAAGGACTGTTTTACAATCTTTAAAAACCTATTCCAGCTAAGCCTCTATGGTCTTGTGATAAAACCTGCCATGCTGGTGCAGGGTGAGGGCCACTAGAGCAGATGTGCGACTGGCAAAAGACTCATCAGGTTAAGGGTGCCCCAGGGGAAGGGCCGGCCACAGGCTGGCTGAGGACTCGGGAGACCCCACCCCACCAGCACTGTCACAGCAATGCCCTGGCAGACAAGCTCACATCTGTTTCTCTTCCTCACTCTTTAGAATACAGACCTGGTGGTCAGTGAGGGAGAAGACTGAACTCTTAGCCCTTCCATTTAATGCTATTAACATGGTTTTGCCTTTTAATTCTCTGTTTTCATCACATTCAAAAGGCAATATAGGTTTCTGCTCTGGCTCAGTACGATGACTACATTGACCCAAATCAGTGCTGAACCTGGTCACTTCTGTTGATAAAGGATATAAAGTTGAACAGACATGCTCCCCACAACCCTGCCCCACCACCTCATTCGTGCAGTTGCTCCTCAAGTTCCTGTGACATAAACATCTGGATTTTCTGTGTGAGAGGGAATGTCCTTTTAGCACCGCGGACGTCATCATACCCCCAGTCTGGCTAAGTTGACCCTCGCTCCCAAATAACATGGTGGTAGCCCTGGCTGGTTTTGCTCAGTGGTTGGAGCATCGGCCCTTGGACCAAAGGGTCCAGGGTTCAATTCCTAGTCAAGGGTTTGTACCTGGTTTGCAGGATCCCCCCCCTCCCCCATCCCCGGTCGGGGAATGTGTGGAAAGGGAGGGAGGAGAGGGAGAGACAGAGAGAAACATCAATGTGAGAGAGAGACACATCGATTGATTGTCTCCTGCATGCGCCCAGACTGGGGCCAGGAACGGAGCCTGCAACCAAGATACATGCCCATGACCAGAAATTGAACCCTTCGGTGCTTGGGCCAACGCTGCAACCAATGAGCAAAACTGGCCAGCGTAGGACAGGGCTCCTGTGTACTGGGCAATAAATGAATCGCTTTGTGCTCTACCTATGGGTCTTGGAGGCTGTGCTTACTTCGGATTTATTTCCGCGAGTGCTGGGTGCCGGTTGCTGTTCCAGACCCTGTAGTTGTGAGTGTTCTTCCACGCCATCACGAAGGCCGTCCCGTAGTCCGCAAGCACCTTTTCATTATCTGTCAAGTGAATGTGTGAAAGCTGAGCGGCACTGTAGCCGGTCAGGGGTGTGAAGATGAACAACCAGAAAGGGTAAAGGCCCAGTTTCACCCCCTCTGCCCCCCTGCTCTCTGGGGGAGTCTACCAGATCTCAGGAAATCAGGTCTAGCACCAAACGTCCCGTTAGAGGCTGTGTGGTCTTTAGCAAGTCACTTAGCCACGGAGAATGCCATTTCCCTAACTGGAAAAGAAGGGGGCGGGCCCAGAGACCGTCCAAGGCTCCTTACAACGCCAAGATCCCGTTCTCCTTCCCAAGGTCAGGAGGCACAGTGTTATTTATTAAACAAACGGCAGGCCGGACACTGAGACAATGTTCTGATGTTTACATAGGGAGGAGGCAAGTAGGGCATCTTTTATCTGGGCACAAAGTCACTGTTCCTAAGAAAAAATGACAATGAACGCACGAATTGGTTCTTTTAGCCACTATTTTCTCTCCTTTGGACTCTGTCTCGCTATTTGGTGAAACTCACTCCAGAGTTTCCATGCATTTTGCTGTCAAGATACTTAACACAACAAGGGGATTTTCGTATTTAATGTTTAAAACTTTTAGGCTTTATCAGTATCGTGGGAGAGTTTCAATGCGGGCATTTCTTCTACTTGGAAGGATAGAAAAGGGTTGGAGAACAGACTCCAATGGCCATTGCTTCATATTTAATTGCAAGTTGCTTGCTTTGAAGGTGAAAGGTGATGTTTGTTGCTGGGGAAGGAAGAGAAAGGTACACACAGTTCCATGTGCGGCGGGGGAAGTTCTTTTAAGAACATATTCCCCAAGCAGGGCATTGGGCTGAATGTCCTTCAGCAGCACGGAGCCGAGCCGGGCGGCGAGGCTTTACATACCAGCTCAGCCTCTGGCCGGGGGGGAGCGAGCTGCTGAAATCACCTTTCTGTAAAGTGAGGATGACAAGGTGTGTGCCCCAGGACTGCCTGAGGAAGGCGTGGGTTGGTAGGTGTACAGAGCGCAACACAGACCCCTGCACATATGAAATGTGCCCCCCCCCCCCCCATAAAAAAGGTAGCTGGCTCCTATCAGTCAGTTCTTGCAGCTCCCTGGGCAAATGTTTTCAAAGGTAAATGGCTGGTGGGGACTGGGGCTTTCTGACTAGATTCCTGCGTGATCCTGGGTTACAGGCCTGGATTTGGGCGTCTCAGCTGCTGCGTTTGTAGAAGAGGCGGACGTTTAAAAACATCCGCTAACAAGTAAGAACTTGCCCCGAAGCGTCCTTCCCAGTGAAGGACAGGCGGGAGCCTGGGGGAAACGCCGCACACTCTGCGAGGAGCGAGCTTAGGCGGCGGCGGCGGCGGCGGCGGTGCTGGCGGGTGGCTGATTTGGTAAAAACTCGCTGAGGTGACGATGTGAATGTCCTCAGTGCCACCGTAGAATACACTCAGGCATGGTTAAGCTGGTACATTTTAGATGGTGTGTGTTTCACAGTGAAAAACAAAAGCAGTGGTAGAGATAATTGGGGGCGGGGGTGGGGTGGGGGGGTGGGGGACAAAAGCTCCACACTTTGAACAACGACAACAAAATCTACCGACCATCTACGGGTGCCCACGGCAGAGAGCTCACTGCCCGGGCTCCGCGCGGTCTTTCTATGCCTTTTTCTCTTCCCTGTGGGGAATGAGGTCGGTTTTACACAGGAGTGAGCCGGTGTTTCCCTGCCCCTTTGCTGCAATGGCATTGCATTTCGCACATAACCGAGGCGTCAGGATGTGCCCACGGGGAAGCGGCGCCCTCACCTAGCTGCAGCGTGGCGGCCAGCAGCGCGTGGATGTAGACCGCGAACTGCGCTCGGATCCACTCGTCGCCGCCCTCCCAGCCCGTGCCGTCCAGGAAGACGTCGTCGCGGTTCTCGGTCACGTGCTTCACCAGGTAGTCGGCGAACCTGAGGTCGGCCGTGGTGGGGCTGAGCAGCCTCCTCAGCTCGGGGTCCTGGACCTGGATCAGCGCCTCCTCCACCTGCAGGGCACCCAGGCACAAGTCAGCGCGGCTCTCACGCGGTTCCCAAGCGACCACTGGCCCGGCTGGGGTGGCCCAGTGGTTGAGCATCACCTATGCAGCAGGAGGTCCCGGTGGGATTCCTGGTCCGGGCACAGGCCGGGGTTGGAGGCTCGATCCCCAGTGTGGGGCGTGCAGGAGGCAGCTGATCAGTGATTCTCTCTCATCATTGATGTTTCCCTCTCTCCCTTCCTCTCTGAAATCAATACAAAATATGTTAAAAAAAAAAAAAAAAAAGCAACCACTGGGAAGTTGGAGCCGGCAATAAAAAATACAAGTAACAGCATTCTCAAAAGGTGAATCTAAGAAAGAGCATGTTTCTTTCTATACTTAACAAGCACTCGCTTTCTATTTTCAGAAAACACATGCATAAGTATTTAATTTTGAATTATAAAAGGAATTCATGTTGATTGTACTGTTTGGGGAATGTGAGTCACTTTTATTGCACAATCAGAAATGAGTGCAATTAAGGAGAATTTCTAATTTTTTTCTTTGAGTGCACAGATACTCTGGAATATTTTTATCAACCAACTTCAGGAACTGAATGTTACCAACGCTGCCTCCACAGCTCCGTGGTGCTCCCACCTGTATCCTTGAAGGTCTGTGTGTGTTTTTCTTCCTCACACTCGTAACACCTAAAGCTTTGCACTCCAGTTCTTCGTTTATATGTTATAAGCATCTTCCCAGGAAGCATGTTTCGGTACTTTCTAAAAACCTTAAGATGGCTTAATCTCCCCCCCCCTCCCCCATTTAAATTACTTCAACTGTAAAGTTGAACAAATGATTTAACTTCTATACTGATAAGATGTCCAACAGTAATCTCTAGCTCCTTGCTCTTGACCTCAGAAGCATATTACACAGGCTAGAAGTATTTACATCATTTAAACAATAAGCACATTTTAATTGTAAGACTGTAGTAGGACCAGGCTGCCGGGGTTTGGGGTCCTGGCTCCCCCACTATGCTTGCTGTTTGATCTCTCTGGCCCTTTGCTCCCACAGGTATAACAGTAACAGGATGTACCATGTGGGTGGTCATGCGAGTTAGATCAGTTAGTATGCCTGAGGCGCTCAGAATGCCCGGCGCAGGGAGCAGCTAGCACCGTTACTAGTTAGGACTCTGCCCTCCTCATTCCGAATCAGAAAGGACCCCAGGGCTCAGCAGCGCCGAGGACACTCAGACAGACACCTACTTCCACGATGGCATCACTGAGGTGCTTCTGTTGTCGGAAAAGGATGTTAGTAGCTCCAGCCACAAACCCCCGCACGGTGACATCCGAGAGAAGGTGGTGCTGCTGCAAGGCCATGTAAGGCAGACACAGGTAACCCTGAGGATCACAAGAGTAACACAGCATCAGAAGAGCCCGGAAGCATCGCCTCCCCTGCAAGCCCAGGGAGCCGAGGGGAGGAAAAGACGCTGCCGGTGTTCTCCCACGCCTCGCCGCCCCGAACGCAGCCCACCCTGGGCTCCGTGCAGCCATGTTCCCGGCACCCTCCGGCTGTGACTGCACAGACTGCACAGACGGTTGACCTCGGCAAGGCCATCTGACAGGAAGGCTGTCTCCCTTCGATCACTTTGTTCTCGGTTCAACTTAAAAGCCTCCACAGTAACTAACAAGCCGGACTTTTTCACCTAGGAACTGAAATATGAAGCCCATTCACAAGTCTGTTGTTCGGCAGAAAGCCGTTAGCTCGCCTAGTACCATTTACCCCTGCCTCTGCACAGTCTCTGATGCATGAGCATGAGCAGTACGCAGCACTCATCATCCTGTTTTAGTGTCTTCCCTCTTGTGAAAAATTATGCAAAAATATTTCAAGATATTTGCTCCTACATGCTGAAAGCCAAAATGACACGTGGCAGTACTTGGGTATTTAATTAATTTCCATTGGAATTGTATGTGAAAATTTCACTGCCCTGAAAGTTAGTTACAGTTGAATTGCCAAACCACAGCAGGCAGGTAAGTGTGCAAAAAGCAGCTATCTCCTGGCAGTGAGGGTGTTAACACTGGACTGACGCTCTGGACGAGGACATGGGATTTCTGCCGAAAGATTCGACATGGAGCTGGGTTGTCAACAGGTGGCACGATTTGTGGATGAAGCCAGGGAGGCGGGCTTGCGGAAACCCTGGACTTGTTTTCAATCTCAAGTTCTGTGACAGTTTTACTTAATTATTTTTAAACTTCTCCTCACTTTTCTAAAAACACAGACCTGTTCCCTGGATGCTGTGTTGTTTACGTCACAAGATGAGAGCAGGCGCTCTCTATGCCTTTTGCTGCTGCATGTTCTGCACCGCAGCTAGGGTGCGCCTTGGACCTCACAGGTGGTGGTGGGAGAGGAGACTTCCAAAAGTCGGAATATGGGTCTAGTAACCTGGTTTTATTCTTAGTCTTGACAATCTCTTCCTCTACCTGATAAAATGCTAACTAAGAGCAGCAAAAGGAAATCCACGTCTATGCAGTAGAGATACTCAGCACGGGGCTTGTACCCACGCCCTCTCGTGACTGAAGGCTGAAAGGACCCCGCTCCTCCTGCAGGAACAGTCCAGAGGGCTGGCCAGGGCTCGGGGTTCACGCTCCACTTCGTGTGATAGGTATTTGAAAACAAGACTCCCCTCGCCCCCAGCTCCCTGTTGCTAAACATAAATATTACAGTAGTGAGTGGACTTTCAAACAGAATACTCACTCCCCCAACTAGCACTGAGAATCCTTGCTAAAGGCACCCTCAGAACGGCCAATTCTTACAAGAGATTTATACCGCAAAACAGTAATAAGAGAATTTAATTGCTCATAGTATTACATTCATAATTTATGCTGTAAGAACAGAAAAGTCTATCTCAACAATGGAATCTTGGCTAAGTCTCTAAAATCATGAAAACTCAAAAGTATGTTTTTAAAAAATCCATAGTTCAAAGCTTTTTAAGAATGGGGAAAAATACATCCCTTAAAAATACATATTGAAAGTAAATAAGAAAAAAAAGAACAAACCCCCCCACCACCAAAAAATACATATTCATACTCTTTGACCCAGCATTACACTTCTTGTAATTTACTCTACAGATACACCTGCTCATGTGTGAGATTTGTAAGAAAGTTCGTTATTGCATCATTGTTTATTACAACAAAAGACTGGAACCCTCACTATTCATGAACAGGGAACTGAATAAACATTCATCTGTGCCATGAAACACACCCTGCAACGATTAGGAGCAACAAAGTTCATCTCCAATGAATAGTTTGTAAAAAAAAAATAAATAAATAAGGGGCATAAAAATAGGGATAGTCTGCTCCTATTTGTGTAAAAAGGGAAGGAAAAAGATCTCTGCATTTGTTTACGCATGACATACCCCTAGAAGGAAACAGAAGGCACTGATGATGTGGCTGCCAGTGGAGTGGGCAGGTAAGTAGCAGGGGATGATGGAATGACAGGGAGACTTATTACAGATGCGGTGGAACCATCTGAATATTGAACCATGTAAAAGTATTACATATTTATAAGATTATTTAAAACACTAGTTGAAAATAGCTTTCACATTTTGCTATCATTACTTTTTAAAAAAAACACGATGATCAAATGAGCCTAAACCTGTTAACAGCCTTTAACACACAGTGGCAGCAAGAACTTGCGTCCTTTCACATAAAGCAGCCTCTATACCCAAGCCCATCCCGGTCTTCCATTTTCCTAGGGTACTTTAGCTTCCATTTGGAGCTGCCGTATATAATGGTAAAAAGAAAAATGAAAAGTTGCTTACATACCCAAGTTCACAGCAGCATTATTCACAAAGCCAAAGCATGAAAGCAACCCAAATGTCCACCGAAGGATGGTGGATAAATAAAATGTGATGTGTACTTACAATGCAATATGACTCAGCCTTAAAAGGATGCAGTCACAAAAAGGTAAATTCGCTATGATTCCACTCATAAGGTATTTAAAGTAGTCAAATTCATAGAAACAGAAAGGAGGGGGGTTGCCAGGGGCTGGGGTGAGGATAGAACGGGGGAGTTGGTGCTTAGTGGGTATAGACTTTCAGTTTTGCAAGATGACAAAGCTCTAGAGATCTATAGCATAACAGTGTGAATATAATTTAACATACCGAACCGCACACTAAAAATGGTAGAGAGGTAAATGTCATGTTTTTTACCATAATTAAAAAACAAGTCAAACCCCCATCCCCGCCCCCCACCGAACACACCCGCTGAGCTTGGCAGACCTGGTAGAACCACTGGGAGCTGATCTGCTAAGAGCAGCAGAAACGCAGTGCGCCTTCCCTCCCTCCTGCGCCTGGAAAGGGCTACAACTGATCAGGGCCAACGGCCACTCCTCATCTGGCCTCTGGTCAGGGAGGATAAGCACGTTCACCAACCAAGAGCCTCTTTATTGCAGGGCTGCCCATTCTCCCCAAGATTCACCTAGTATTTAAAGGTAATCCCTATCCAAATGCCAACCTGGATGAGGAGGAACTTAAGTTGATCCTAAAATTGATGTGGAAGAGCGTAGACAGTCTTATTATTATTACTATTATTATATTAGAGGCCCAGTGCACGGATTCGTGCACTGATGGGGTCCCTCTGCCTGGCAATCCAGGACCCCTTGGGGGATGTTGGACTGCTGGTTTCGGCCTGATCCCCATAGGTCAGGCCAAGGGACCCCAGCAGTGCACGAATCAGTGCACTGGGCCTCTAGTCTATGTATATAAAAGCCTAATATGCAAAGTGCCCTCTCAGGAGTTCGACCGGGAGACCAGGAGTTCAATCGCTTGCTATGATGTGTGCTGACCACCAGGGGGTGGCGCAGAATGAAGGAAGGCCCTGGCCAGCAGCCGGGGAAGGATTGCTCTGGCCGGTACCCGGAAGGCCCCAATTGGCCCTGATAGCTGGCCTGGCCTAGGGACCCTACCTGTGCACGAATTTCATGCACCAGGCCTCTAGTATGCATATAAGATCTTTGGTTAATATCTTCCCCCTTTCCCCCCTTCCCTCTGAGATTCATCAGTCTCTTCCATGTTTCCATGCCTGTGCGTTGGGCATCTGCCCCCTGGTGGTCAGTGCACATCATAGCTAACAGTCTAACGGTCATTTGGTCACTTAGGCTTTTATATATATAAAGTTTCACTTTAAAATAATTTTTTTGGATTTATTTGGGTGACATTGGTTAATAAAATGGCATAGGCTTCAAGTGCACAACTCTATATAATACATCATCTATAGACTTGTGTGTTCAAAGTCTCGTCTCCTTCCATCACCATTTATCCCCCTTTTACTCTCTTCTACTTCCCCCCACCCCCTTTCCTTCTGGTAATCACCATACTGTCGTCTGTGCCTATAAGTTGGTTTGTTCTTTTCTTATTAATCCCTATGTCATGTTTAAGTCATTTAAAAAATTGCAAAAAGAAATAATAAATAAAAAATTACAAATACATTTTGAATGGTTTTTCATAAAAAGATAAAACCTAATTTTATGGGCAAGTTAACCAAAACACTAAATCTGTGAGGTGTACTAATGTTTAAGTTAGCCATCTATGCAGTTTTTCCTCATAAGGTTACAGCTTTTGGAATTGTAGTATTTGATATATATTCATTAAGTGTAATCAAGACTGTCTAGCCCAGGGGTGGGCAAACTTTTTGACTCGAGGGCCACAATGGGTTCTTAAACTGGACCGGAGGGCCGGAACAAAAGCATGGATGGAGTGTTTGTGTGAACTAATATAAATTCAAAGTAAACATCATTACATAAAAGGGTACGGTCTTTTATTTCAATAGTTTTATTCATTTCAAACGGTCCGGATCCGGCCCACGGGCCGTAGTTTGCCCACGGCTGGTCTAGCCCTAGCTGGTTTAGCTCAGTGATAGAGCATCGGCCTACAAACTGAAGGGTTCCGATCAAGGGCACATACCTGGGTTGCGGGCTCAATCCCCAGTAGGGGGGTGTAGGAGGCAGCCGATCAATGATTCTCTCTCATCATTGATGTTTCTCTCTCTCTCCCTCTCTGAAATCAATAAAAATATTTTTTAAAAAGATGTCTAGAGTTTCTCCATTCACCTTTTTTTCACAGATAAACCTGAATGATTAAAAGCAGACCCCACTCAGTGATGGCTGACCTCATATTTACTAAGATTCCAAATTCTTTCCAGTCTAAACCGCCTGAATTAATTCCCTATAGTCTTTCAACTATAGTCACAGATGCCACCACAGTACACATTTGGTATGTGTTTTAGTTTTCAAGGAAAATTTTCAGATCTGAAAATGCGTGCAACACGAAAAGCTAAATTCTGAAAGGACGCTGTCAGTCTTTAAGGACATTACACTTTACCTTGGTGAAGATGGCCAGGGGCATGCCGTACTGGTCCTCTTCCAAACCGGAAATGAGCCCTGGGAGCAGGACCACCTGGCCCATATTGGCTTGAGGCTGTACAGTAATCGGAGCACTGTCTGAGGGCACCGACTCCCTGGGAAAGGAGTTTGTCTGTTCTGACCCCACCTGGTCCCTTTCTTTCAAGGTGGGTTCCTCTAAGACACTAGGATCCAAGGTCTCCCAGTCACTTTCTGAAGACTCTGGAGATGGACGAGAAGGAGGTTTCAAATACGGACTGGTCTCACCGAGTCCCTGCCCTTTGCTGCTGTCTTCTACTGGGAACAAAGGTTCTTCCGTTGTGATGGCAGCATCTCCACCGTGGTTTCCTGTCGGCATTTTCTGGACAGTCTCCGAGTTGGTATATGCAATGTTAGGAGCAGACACAGACACAAAGTCATCTGCAGGGGGGGTGTTTTCCTGAAGCCCAGCGTCCTCAGACATACTCTTTCGAGGCTTGTACTGAGAACAGTCCCTGAGACCATGTTCGATCATGCCTAGGACATAAACGATGGGAGGACAGCTTAGTTTATAATGAGGAGGAAGAAAGTAAGAGTTGTGTATTCTATTCTAAGCAGCAGAACTCTCCTATAAAGATGTTAAAAGCTACGCCTGCATACATTCCAATGAAAATGTCAGACAACACAAAAAAAACTACTGCCAAAACAAAAATGTCATATTAACCCTGATGAGTTTATCCTTCAACACTTTTACCACTGAAAGTTCCAGCACAAGCCAAACAACAGAAAGAATAGATACTGCTACCCTCTTACCTGGAAAAAGGGATAACACAGTCATCAGGGCACCCACCAATTTATTCACTGGAGAAATATAAAAGAGAACCTGAAATGGATTCAATGACAATCAAATTAGAACATCAGAGTCCACAATGATACTTAAAAAAAAAAAAAGAGGGAGAGAGGACAAAACTCTTCGTTATAGAAGATTAACAGCTAATTAATGACAGAATTAGAAAATCACCAGGTAAAAATTACCAGTGGACATTAAAACTATTGGGAAGGGTTGCTGGACAACAGGATATTCACAGAGATTCAAATTCATCATCCCATAGGTAATCTATTAATTGTGAAGGGAAAACCAAGTACCTGACTATGAAGAAATCTGGCAACCACCACCTTACTCAAACAATTAAACTTCACATCAAAAATAATAGTACAGGAGGTAGGTGGGAAGAGATCAACCGAAGGCCTTGTATGCACGTATGCATAACCCATGGACACAGACAATAGTGTGGTGAAGGCCTGGGGTGGGCTAGAAGGGGCCAATGGGGAAAAAAGGGAACATATGTAATACTTTCAACAATAAAGATTTAAATAGTACAGTTATGGGCCCCTTGAAGTGGCACCCTGAAGACACACCACCACTTTGGTCCTCAGATTTAAAAAAAAAAAAACAGCCCTGACCGGTTTGGCTTAGCGGATAGAGCGTCGGCCTGCGGACTGAAGGGTCCCAGGTTCGATTCCAGTCCAGGGCATGTACCTTGGTTGCGGGCACATCCCCAGTGGGGGGTGTGCAGGAGGCAGCTGATTGATGTTTCTCTCTCATCGATGTTTCTAACTCTCTATTCCTCTCCCTTCCTCTCTGTAAAAAATCAATAAAATATATTTTTTAAAAAACCAGTTTATAGGACATTATTATGACATATGTGGAAATTTAAAAATGGACTTCGATATTAGGTATCATTGATTGTATTAATGTTAAATTTCTTAAACCTAAAAATGATATTTTGGTTATGTAGGTATATACCCTTAATTCTTAAGAGATATATCCTCAAGTATTCAGGGATAAAGTATCATGATATCTACAAATGACTTTAAAATTATTATGATTTGGGAGTTAACGAACATATATAAAGCAATAATGCAAAAGTGACAAAATGTTAACAACTGGTAGATACAGAGGAAGAGTGTAAAAGTGTTCACTATGTTATTATTCTATCAACTTTTCTGTAGGCTTGACGTTTTTTAGAATAAAAATTGAGAAAAAAATCTGAAACAGGATTCAGTTAGTGATTGCATTGAAACACTGGTAATAATTAAATTAGTTGAAAAAAAAACAAGCAAAGATTTGCTTAGGTGAGTTTTTTCTCTTTTAAACAATTACATCATTTAGTGACACTAAAGTGCTATCTCACAAAGCATAGCACCCACAATTGTGTTCTCCTTACACACTGGTCTTCTTTGAGGAGTAGCTTGCAAGCAAGAAAGCAAATCTTGCATTAAAAAGGATGTCCTCATTCTATTAAATTGCTATAAAGAATGCAGGGGTGAGTTGCCACATTAGATAACGTTTATCTTATCATAAATGCCATTGCATGTAACTAGGCTAAGTATTATTTTGCAAAACTTTTGTTTCAGATACATATATCCCTGTGTGCTCGAGGTTGCCATGTAAAACATTTTTATTAGGGTTGCAATAAAAAAGTCTGAAACCTGTAACTCGACAACAAAAAAATAAACAACCTGATTAAAAAAGAGGCTATGGACTTGAACGGACATTTCTCCAAGAAAAATATACAAATGGCTGACAAGCACCCGAACAGGTGCTCCATCTCACTGACCATTTGGGAATGCAACTCAAAACCGGGAGGTCCTGCCTCACCTACTAGGATGGTTACTATCCAAACCCAGAAAATGACAAGTGTTGATGAAGATGTGGAGAAACTGGAACCTTTGCGCTCTGTTGGTAAGAAGGTAAGAGGTGCAGCTGTTATGGGTAACAGTGTGGTGGGTCTTCATATTGAAAATGGAACTACCATAGCATCCAGCGATACCCCATCTGGATATAAACCCCAGAGAACTGAGAGCAGAACTGAATTCCGTAACACTGTCTCCTCAAAAAAGAGCACATGAACTTATGCTTCTATGGCAGTGAACAGGAATATGGGCTTCAAAGGAAAAAAGAAAGAAACAAAATAAATGAATAAATAAATAAAATTAAATTAAATTAAAAAGAATGTAGGCTTCAGCTCATCATAATTTGATAGGCAAAAACATTAGTTTATACTTTATTATTAGTTTTAATTGTATATAGTATTTAAGAAATGTCAATAAATGTTAAGTATTCCATCCCACCAAATCTCACCTTTTTTTCAAGAAGAATTAATTTAAACAGAATTAAGACCTAAACAAAAATAGAAATGCTGCATTAACATAAGGAATGCAAGCCTATTATTTATTTGCCTTTTCCTGTCTACAAAGATATCATATATCATTTAATTAATAATATTAAAATAATTACAGTGCTTTAAAAATTACATTGAAAATCATGAATTTATACTAAGAAATTAAATATTATCGCTGTCCTCTAAAAAGTGTGAAAACCACTTAAATCTCTAACAAATTGTGTTTTTGGAAGGAGTTGTGCCATTTTTGCTTGAAATATTGCAAGCTCCTAAAAGGGTGGGAACTACTCATTTATTTCTGAACTAGAGGCCCGATACACAAAAATTTGTGCAAGAGTAGGTCTTCTTAGGGTCTCAGGCTCGATTCCAGTCAAAGGCATATACCTTGGTTGCAGGCACATCCCCAGTGGGGGGTGTGCAGGAGGCAGCTGATGGATGTTTCTCTCTCATCGATGTTTCTAACTCTCTATTCCTCTCCCTTCCTCTCTGTAAAAAGTCAATAAAATATATTTCAAAAAAAAAAAAAGAGTAGGCCTTCCTTTCCTCCAGCTGCCAGCACCAGCTTCCCTCTGACACCTGGCACCCGACACAGGCTTCCCTCCTCCGGCCACCAGCAGGCACCCGGGACCCCGGCTTCATCAGGAAGGACATCTGGAATGATGTCCGGAAGACATCTGGTCTAATAAGCATATTACCTTTTTATTATTATAGATATGTCCAGAGCATTCACCCAACAGATACCCAGTAAATGCTTGTTAAATGATCAACGTGTGTAGGCCCTAGTCAACACATGCTTCAGTACTAAGATCAGAAGTAATACATATAGATATTCTACTGGAAAATGTTTCACTCGTAAGGCAACAAATAAAATATTCTGCAAGATTAAAACATGTGTCTTCCCACTCTAACTTCGTGGTACCTGAAATTACAAAGACAATGGAAAAGAGTACTCTATCCTGTATCACTGACAGTATTTGTATACAGTTAGAAATTTCTCTCATACAAGCACTACCAGCACTTTTGGCTCTGTGTCATCACGAGCGATGTCTTAGAAGAGCTGAGACGTGGCTATGCCACAATCTGCATTTGACCGTGTAGCACAGGGGATCTGCCCAGTTAAATGTGCACACTTTTAGGACAGAAGTTAAATACATACCTTGTGTCGAAAATGAAGCACAAGATCCCGAGGAGACAGACCTACAAAGTTAACAGAAAAGGAACCTGTAACTACACCCTGCTGTTTTTGTCAAAAAAGCTTTTTTTTTCTCCTCAAAGGTAAATCAAGGAAAAAAAGAAAGTAGGAATATGCAAGTATTAAAATATTATACAGTATTTGATCACGAATACATGTACTCAGAATTTATCACATTACTAATAGTCAAACACAGCACTGCAATGATGAAAAGGTAGAACTGTCCTAACCGGTTTGGCTCAGTGGATAGAGCGTTGGCCTGTGGACTGAAGGGTCCCAGGTTCAATTCCAGTCAAGGGCATGTACCTGGGTTGCGGGCACATCCCCGGTGGGGGATGTGCAGGAGGCAGCTGATCGATGTTTCTCTCTCGTTGATGTTTCTTTTTTCTTTTTTTTTTTTTTTTAAATATATTTTATTGATTTTTTACAGAGAGGAAGGGAGAGAGATAGAGAGTCAGAAACATCGATGAGAGAGAAACATCGACCAGCCGCCTCCTGCACATCCCCCACCGGGGATGTGCCCGCAACCCAGGTACATGCCCTTGACCGGAATCGAACCTGGGACCCTTCAGTCCGCAGGCCGACGCTCCATCCACTGAGCCAAACCTGTTTCGGCTCTCGTTGATGTTTCTAACTCTCTATCCCTCTCCCTTCCTCTCTGTAAAACATCAATAAAATATATTTTAAAAAAAAGAAAAAAGAAAAGAAAAGGTAGAACTGTCTGCAGTGAGGGCAGTATCCTAAATCTGGGTTGCCCAATCCAGTGGCCACGGAGCCCTTGAAATGTGCCAAGTGGGACTGACAACCTAACCTTTAATTTTATTTAATTTGTATTAAGTCTAATATAAATGTCAATACTAGTCATGCCCTGGCCGGATGCTCAGGTAGGATCCCCAGTCAGGGCACATACAAGAACCAACCAATGAATACATAAATAATTGGAACAACAAATCAATGTTTCTCTCTCGCACTGTCTCTCTCAAATCAATTAAAAAAAAAAAAAAGAAGTTAAATGTAAATAGTCACGTCACTAGTGGCCACTGCTATGGACAGTGTAGCTCTAACACTTTCTCCCATTCTACAAACAAACATCTTACAAATGACACAGGCTTAGAGAGCATGAAGCTGGTACTAAGGTGGAATCAATCATTTAAACGTACTTTTTTGCTCACTACACTCCATAGGCTCTTATTTCTGAGTCACAGTCTTCTCTGATCATTTGTCAGAGGACAAGAGAAAATGATTTAGAGAGAAATATGTTCTCGGAATGGGAATTTTGTTACCAGCTTTTGCAGCACAGGATTACAAAACTGAACTACCTGTTTGGCGACTTCATGCTGAAATAGGAATTGAGTGGGCATAAATCACTTTTGTTTTAATCATGAAAAGGATATTTACTGAGTGCCCACTAAGTACCATGGACACCAAGGCAGATTCTGGGTTGTCAAATAGTGCAAATTACACAAACCCCCAACTTGGAAAACCTTAAAATAGAAAAGTGCTAAGCAGATCTCTCTCTTGCCCTCCCTCTCTGTTACACCATGGAATTGACCTGGTCAGCAGTAATGTAAGGAAAAGGAAAAAACTTCCATTGTTATTCTGAAAAGCAGACATTTCTTTAAACAATAATAGTTGCGAATATTGGTACAGGTATGTTATACTAATGAACAAAATAAACTGATAAATAAAATAGATCCAGAGGCATGGATACATGGAACAGACTGACAGCTGGCAGAGGGGAGGGGGAATGAGGGACTGGATGAAAGAAGGTGAAGGGATTAGCCAAAGAGCATATATGCATAGCCCCTGGACACAGACAACAGTGTGGCGATGGCCAGAGGGAAGGGGGGTGGGGGCTGGGTGAGGTGGGGAAAGGTGGGGAAAATGGGGACAGCTGAAATAGTGTCAACAATTTTAAAAAAGTAAAAAAAAAAAATCCCGTTATAACCTTTGCCAATATAAATACTGGCTAAGAAGATGTGTAAGGAAGCAGCAGCATCAAACGTTGAAGAGTTTAGAGCCATACGGAAATGTAATTCTGATCATGAAGTTTCACATGCAACTAACTCGGTGCCCCAAACGAAAAGAAGTGCGGGCGCTTCTTCCCACTTGTCAAAAGCTACTCACCAAGATACACTTGGGACCCCTCCAATGACGTTCCTCCCAAGGAGCTGTTCATATGTTCATAGAGTTCCTACAAAACACAGATTCCGTTTAGACATTTTGGGCACTGAATTAGAACTACGTTGATCAGGAAGAAACTGGTTCTTTAGTTGAGGCCGTTTGTTTTGCCAGGCCCTAAATACATTTCTTTTTATTTTTAAATATATTTTTATTGATTTCAGAGAGTAAGGAAGCGGGAGAGAGATAGAAACATCAATGATGACAGAGAATCACTGATCAGCTGCCTCCGGCATGCCCCCTACTGAGGATTGAGCCTGCAACCCGGGAATATGCCCTTGACCGCAATCAAACCCGGACCCTTCAGTCCGCAGACCAATGCTCTATCCACAGAGCCAAACTGGCTAGGGACAGGCCCGAAATTTAGAAACAATCAAGGTCTCTCTGAAGACGTGCCTTGTTCTTTCCATCCCTGCCTCTACATTTTAGACCTTGATTCATTCACATGGTGCTAAGGACTCCTGGATAAATTGCCCTACTTCCCTGATAAATACCTAACTGTCCTACCCTCACTAGAATCCATGAGAGACCCATGTTCTACCTACTCATGGCAGCCTTGAGGAAAACATGCTCTCCATTTCAATGAAACAGTCATGGAGTTTTCCAGGGTTCTGCAATGGGGGTTAGGAGCCAGAAGCCAGATACATAAGCATCCTGAGCAGGGTATTAATAAGACAAGCAGATTTGGAGAAGCAATGCCATAGCAAAAGGGCTTTTATTAATAGAAACATTTATGTCAGTTGCAGTCATTTGCATTATTTCCTAATAAAAGGCAGTTTGATTGCATGTAATAAGTATGAACTGTACATTTTGGGCCGATCTCTATCCCTTCAATAGTATTTTCAAAGAAGAATGTCTTTCTTAAGGTAATACGTGATTATCTTTCACAATATTACTGACAGGATTTACTCGATTTATCCATCTGTCTTCAGCCAAACACATCTGCAGAGGAGTACAAATTTACCTTTAGAATGGAAATTTGGGAAAAATCCTTCTCTTCAAAATATGCATGTGTAATGAGCTGAAGTTTTGCTTGGAGCAAGCCATAGAGAGGCTTAAAGAAAAAAACAAAGAAAACTGCCATTAGTATGATAAGAGTTAAAAACAAACACCCCACAGCCTTTCAACTTGAAGAGAACAGGAAGAAGGAAGTTAGTAACTCTCAACGTCAGGGTCCTATTATTCACGACTGAGAGCCCTGACCTCACTCCTGCTCGCTGCCTGGCTGTGCTGAAGGTGCCGGACCCACACAGAGGGCAGAGGTTGAGTGTGGGCACCAACCTCCTGGGTCTCCCCGTCACTCACCCGCATAACTGGGCACGTCACCCCTGCATACCTGCTTGCTGCTGCGAACAAGGGTATCTGAAAAGACACCACCTTAAGGAGCTGCTTTCAGAATCAACCAACCAGGGGGAAGCAATTAGTAGAGTATTGGGCACCAAAAGGACGTAGATGTTAGCTATTATTCTCATAATTTGAATCATAGCTAATTCTGCACACGGTTCTGCTGGCTTGTGGAGACATTTAGCCATCCTGGAAGCAGCAGTTCTTACAGCTAGCTGAACACCCACAATTACACTTCCGTTTTCTGTCCTCTGTGGAGGCTTACCTCTAGTCTGTGTCCCTCTATCATGACATTTTTCTATGTACTTGGACAAAGTTATTCCTTAGTTCTCCTATTGAAGACCCTCTCTTACCATTTCCATCCTTTTACTCTTAATCTTCTTTTCTAGATGTTTTCTGATTCCTGTGTCCTTTTTAGAATGCAGAGGCCAATGCTGCATATTTTTTTAATTAATTAAGACAGGTAATACTGGAATAGTTCCCCCACTACTCCCAGTATTCCTGCTACTATATCATTATTACCATCTGCATATAAAGTCAGCATATTTTAATCCATGCACTATGAACCACCCACCCCCTCAGTGTGAGCTGGCTCTCCCCGCTCCCCATGCCTGTTGAGAGACAGGCAGGACGGGTTTTCAGCCCATTTTACCACTTAGTAGTTATATGTCTATGAGAGACATCGCTTTCTCTGAAATGTATCGTTATTTGTAAAATGAGAACAGTAAATATTTATATCTCACAGTTGGTATGAGGATTATATCTAAAATGACAATTATATCTAAAAAGTGTCTGATATAGAATTAATACCTGACACATAGGCACTAGATAAGTGACATTTATTTTCATTATAACTGTTCTTTGAAGAATGATTACTGAGTAAGCTTTTCAGCACCTTGCATTTGCTTTAATACCTCGTACTCCTACGCTTTCTTTTCGTTGGTCATCTGACCCAATATAAAAAAAGGATTTCACTGATGTCTATATTTCAGGCCACCCTTCTAGAAACTGTACACGGATCAGGTTAGCAATCTACCACTTTCCTGATATTTATAATCATTCCTTTTCTTGACTATTCTTGCCCTATACTTAAAATTACTGTCTTGGAAGAAATATTCTGATCCTCAAAATCTTATTGTTAAGGCCAGTAAGTATTAAATTATTATTATTCAGATATTTTCTTTGTTTTTAAACTTAGTAATAAAAACCAAGATAAATTATCTCTTGCAAAACTCAACTTATATTAAACAAACTACATTTAAATTGTCTGTGGGTATAAGAAATTGGATAGTTGCAGGAGAAATAATTGAACAGAATCTACACACATTTGGTGACTAAGCTACTAAAATATTCTCATCTTTGGTTTAGGTTAATGGCAGAAACATCTATACAGTAGGTCCTTGGGTTACGTCGGAGATCCATTCCTACGGCGCCACGTAACGCGATTTTCACCGTAAGTCGGAAACCACCTATATAAGCACCTACGTCACTCACATGGAGCACATACACAGCAGTAATGAAGAAACAGCAAAAAAAAATTTAAAAGAAAGATAATAATTCCTGACCTTTACTTGTGGTAAATAAATAATAAAAAACATAAAGCACATATGTACATACGTCGAAATGACGGAACTTTTTTTTTTAATAAATAAATGGGAGATGGCGACACAACAACGAAACGACATACATCTAGTCCGATGTAACCCGAGGACTGTCTGTATTCAGTAATCATATAGATCTAAGGTAATTAACATGATAGAGATCTGGATTTTCCCCACAAAGGAAGTTTGGGTATTATATATTACATGTAGGCTTACGTATCTGGTGTTATTGGTAAAGGTGTTATTATTCCATTAGTAATAAAAGTGGAACATCACACTTTTTTCCGTGATTTAATGAAAAGAGATATAAAAGAGTAAATGTTATATATTCCTTTAAAAAAATAAAGTTAAAATGATGATACACTTGCATCTGATCAACTTGTACACAGAAGAAGCAATTTAAAGCACTGTTATAGTGCATTTCATTATGCACTTCCCTTCCTCAAACATTTTCAGTTTTTAAAGAGCAGGTTAAGGCTACAATTTCATCATAAAAGAGTCATGCACTTCTAGTATCGTCAATAAAATCTGAATATGATTATAGTACTTTGAATGTTAGTAAAATGTTATTTACTCAAAGTCTTGGGAACAAAACAAAAATGTATAAATGAAATGTACATTTCGATCAAGTGCCACCTCCTGCCCCACAGCCTATCTATGAGATCTCCTTCTCTGGGCGGAGGGCACATGAGCATGAAACTGCTGAAGGGCAAAGAGAAAGAGGAGCCGCGAGAGCCTAAATATTGAGCCACTGGAGAATCTGAATATATTGTCTGGAGCTGTCCTTAGACTAACAGTGCTGATCCTCGAGTGGGACTCTGTCATGAGAGTTTAACAAACACGTTAACAGGGAGCGATCTGGTCTCTTACCAGCTTGCTTAGAACACAGACGCTTTTCTGCACGGTCTCTCTGGTGACATCTGCATGCCGGACTTTCAACGCCTATTACAAATAGTCATTATTAGAAATACTTAAAAATAACCATTCTTCAACATAAAAATAGCAAGTAGATAGAAAAAACATTTCTTGCATTTGGTTAATTACATTCAAAAAGCATTTACTGAGAATCTCAGAAAATGTTCATTGGATGAATAAGTGTTCGTCGGCCAGGGCACTACATGCTGGAATACGGCAGGCGAAGGGAACAGTGAGAGACAGTCTGTATTTATGACGGAATTTACAGTCTGATGGAGAATACTTTATGTACAAGTTGCCACACTCAATGCAAATCAACCATCCTTGTTCTGGTTGTAAAATGGGCTGCCCTTTCGAAGCCACTGTTTCTGGTGAGGAGATAGTTTAAGAGACGACAAAACAGCTTCGTGAAGGTGGCTGTCCTCGGCACCGGGAGTCTGTTCTGGAGGGGGGTATTGCAGCCAGCTCTGAGCCGGGGACACATGCCTCCAGGATCCCGAGGATGACCCTGCGAGCTCTCTCCTGCTCTCCGCTCGCAGAAAACAACCTGTTGAGATCAGCCGCAGGCGAGGCTGTGAGGGAAGTGAGAATGACTTCCCTCCCTATTCACTGCCTGGCAGCTCCCGGGATCTGTCCTGAGGACCAAGGAGCTTCCCTGCCTTCCACTGGCTGAGGACTAGTGGTCGCATGAAGCCAGGAGTGGAGCCTTCCCTCAATCTGTTTCTCCCTCTCTACCTTGCTTGGATTCATTCATCAGATCCCATTCCTTCAAAGGGAATTCAAGTCCTTTTCTTAGGCTCTGGGCCCCTCTGATATCTGGCTTATCTGTCTGGTCATCAGAAGAGGCTAGAAAAACTTGGAGGAAAGGGCAGCCCCAATATACTCGGGAGTGGGTCAGACCCGGGGGAGGGAGACAGGCAGTATGAATTGCCACCTCAAGGTTACGCAGAGCATGGGAACTGCTGATGAAACTGTAGGGGAGTAGAGGGAGTAAAGGAACGGGCTCCCAAGAAAGGACAGTAGCTCAATTCATCTCATAGAAAAGCGTGTAAGGGTAACAGTCTGTGAAGAAATCAAATGCACAAAGCTACCATACAGAATCCCCTCCCGCAAAACCCCAGGCTGCTCAGAAGCAAACCATAAAAGGGGAAGCTGCCCACTGTGATGCATGTGAATTTATTAATTAGAGCTATTAAGCTGGCAAGTAGTTTAAGAATGATCACAATCTTAGCCATAGATAATTAAGATAACGGGCAAGTAGTTTGGAGCTACTCTAAGTACTTTCTACTACTTCTAAAATGCTGCTTAAAAAAAACAAAAAACAAAAGACACCCATTACCACTCCATTTCTCTAAGTTATACACCAAACACTAGAAATAGGAAGTTCAAGGACATTATGAAATTTAAATACAGTATTTTGCAGACAAATGACTAAGTTTGGTATCACTATCTGAAAACAATGTGCAAAATATTACACGATACAAATATAACTATAATCACCCATATCAACTCACAAAGACATTTATGTGAATAAATTGTTACTATTGGGCAAACAGCTACAAACCGCTTATAAAAATTTAAAAACAATATCACAGGTCCCACGTATGCATGTCCCCAAATTTTACATTTTAGGTGGGCAATAGCTAAGAAAGAATTTTCAAGGTTCTTTTTGTTGTTCACTATAACTGTCGTACCTTGGCTTCAATCTGCCGATAGCAAGAGATACCATATACGGTGGCTCCATTTCCATTTCTGGGTGGCAAGTGAAAAAACACAGTATCTAAGAGATACACAGAAAAAAGTAGATACTAAAGTGATTACCCTTATGAGTGAATAATGACACTGAAGTTGTTAAAATGCAGTCATTACAAACAGGAACCCGTGCGCACTTCCTCCCAGCACCACTACCACTGGCTGTGAGAACCCCTCTCACGGCCTTACGGTACACACCCATCACCAGAGCACAGCAGGCTGAATCAGAACAGGTCTCACTGGGACGACGATCACTTATCTCAGAAAATACTTGATCTATACAGGATTCTTCCAGATTAAAACAAAATAGAGAACTGAGAGACTAAAAGCAATGCATGATTCTTGGCCAGAAACTCCTGGACGACTGGGGAAATCTGAACACAGCCCGGGTATTAGGTGGCATTATGGACTTACTGACACATCTCTTGGCTGTGATACTGATATTGATTATCCTGGGAATGACCTTATTCTTGGAAATGCATGCTGAAGTAATAAGAGCTAAGGTGTCATGATATTTACAACCGACTTTCAAATAGTACAGGCAAAACTGTACACAAACACAAATACAAAGAACACTGTGGAATATTCACTATACTAGTCTTTCAACTTTTCTGTATGTTTAAAAGTGTTCATAAGTCAAAAAATTGGGATAAAAACATCTGCAAGGTTAAAATTCGATATTTAAAGTTTATTAACCTGCATAGTAACATTTGCTCCATTTTACCAAAAATTAAACAGGTAACCCAACCAAGTTCAACCTAGTCTTTTGGTAGAGCCTCTCGTACATGATAAAATGTCGTTCTTCACGGAGCCTGCCAACGCACTCCTTACGGGCGGCAGGAAGCAGTGCTGACCTCACAGCCGTGCTCTATGGGGTGCTGCTGGTCTGCACGTACAGGCCGGCTCTCAGGCAGGGCGCTGGGATGACAGTGGCCCCGGGGTGGAGACGCAGTGCCGGATGTTTCCGGGTGGGCACTGGGGCACGACCTTGTAAGTTTGCAGGCAGAGCCCCAGTCAGTCTGCTGGTGCAGGTGAGGCCTTACGTTTGCCTGAGAGGAGTGTGAAGTATAAATGCAGGAAGTGCTACCAGCAGTGAACGTCCTAATCTGGCTAATCACTTACTTTGGCCAGGTTCCTGGCAAGAGAAGCCAAGGTTCACCAACCGTTACAATGCAAGCCTGGCGCTCAGCTGGAGATCCTCTGGATCCTTTAGAGCAGTGGTTCTCAGCCTTCCCAATGCCGCGACCCTTTAATACAGTTCCTCATATTGTGGTGACCCCCAACCATAAAATTATTTCCGTTGCTACTTCATATCTGTAATTTTGCTACTGTTATGAATCGTCATGTAAATATCTGATATGCAGGATGTATTTTCATTGTTACAAATTGAACATAATTAAAGCACAGTGATTAATCACAAAAACAATATGTCATTACATATGTGTTTTCCGATGGTCTTAGGTGACCCCTGTGAAAGGGTTGTTCGACCCCCAAAGGGGTCGCGACCCACAGGTTGAGAACCATGCTTTAGAGCATGAGGAGTCAGCTCCAACCAGATTTTAAACATTTTATAATTAAGCACAATCAACTGTCCTCTCATTCATTCATGTATTTATTTGTTTGTTAATCCTCGCCTAAGGATATTTTTCATTGCTTTTTAGAGAGAGTGGAAGGGAGGGGAGAGAGAGAGAAACATCAATGTGAGAGAGACACATAGACACACTGATTGGTTGCCTCCCAAATGTGTCCTGACAGGGGTGACTGGGGCAGACCAGGGATCAAGCCTGCAGCGGAGGTACGTGCCCTTGACTGGAATGGAATCCGAGACCCTTCAGTCTGTGGGTCGATGCTCTATCCACGGAGCCCAACTGGCTAGGGCCAAAGGCATTTCATTTACAAAGTACTTAGCATCTAAGACGTCTTGTCAAATTAAAAAAATGACACCAACTGCCCCACCGCCTGTTCACGTACCTTCCTGGTAGTTGTGTGCGCCATCTGGTAAGGCCAAGAAGGGCAGGTACTTCCATTCCTCAGGTATGGTGGGGCTGTCGTGTCCATCTCCTGGAATCAGGGGCGGGTAAGAGAATTCCACCTGAAATGGAGAGGAAAGTTGTTAGCCAAAGGTTGTTGATCAAAGGGAGAATTTTATCTTGAAAGGCAGAAATGCCTTTAGACGCTGAAAAACAGGAGTAAGGGTAAGCCACACTTGCTGACGTCATGTGACATCATCAGCAGACCTATGAGATAGAGGGGAAGGGGGAGGGGGAGGGAAGGAAGAAACAAGGAGTAAAAGAAGGACTTGCACGCCTCTCCCTTTCTGATTTAACAGGCTGCCGCATCTTAATGTGCACAGGAGGGTGGTGGTGGCAGTGAGTGGGCTGAGATGTACATCTGGGAGCTGCCATCAGACAGGTGGTAACTGCCGCCATGGAGCCCTGAGGAAACCCAACATCCTATGGAACAGAGTGGAGGAGGACGTCCAACAAAGGAGCCTGAGAAGTGAGCCAAGATCTAGGTTTGCTTCGCATCCATTGGCTCCCTTGTTCCCAATACTTAGACCTTCAAGTTTATGGTTTTTTGTTTGTTTGTTTTTAAATTATATTTTATTGATTTTTTACAGAGAGGAAGGGAGAGGGATAGTTAGAAACATCGATGAGAAAGATACATCGATCAGCTGCCTCCTGCACACACCCCACCAGGGTTGTGCCCGCAACCAAGGTACACGCCCTTGACCGGAATCGAACCTGGGACCCTTCAGTCTGCAGGCCGACGCTCTATCCACTGAGCCAAACCGGTTAGGGCTCAAGTTTATGGTTTTGATGGCGGGCTGGTGGGGTGTGAGGAGGCATTAAGCAACATTTCAGATTTATTATTATTTTTTAAGATTGAGAATTGACCAATGAAAGTTCAATGAAGTCTCTTCAACACTGTGTCTCACAGAAAGAACCAAGTTTTTTTAAATATATATTTGTATTGATTTCAGAGAGAGGAAGGGAGAGGGAGAGGGAGATAGAAACATCAACGATGAAAGAGATTCATTAATCGGCTGCCTCCTACACGTCTCCCACTGGGGACTAAGCCAGAAACCCAGGCATGAGTTCTCGACCGGAATCAAACCTGGGACCCTTCAGTCCACAGGTTGACGCTCTATCCCCTGAGCCAAACCAGCCAGGGCAAGAACAAAGTTTTTAATATGTGCCCCCAGGTGCTGGCATCCCCAGGCTTATTAGCATTTTCTCTGAGCTTCTAATTATTTTTGTTATTTCAATGAGACTTTTGGAGAGGAGGGCAGAACAAAATACTCGTTAGCTATTTTAAAATGTTATAATTCAGCCTGGCCAGTGTGGCTCAGTTGGGGTCACTAGTTCAATTCCCAGTTAGGGCACATGCCCAGGTTGCAGGCTGGATTCGATCCCCTGTAGGGGGCGTGCAGGAGGAAGGCAAACAATGTTTCTCTTGATGTTTCTCTCTCCCTTCCTCTCTCTCCAAAAAAATAAAAATAAAAAAATCAATAAAAATATATTTAAAAACAAAAATATTATAATGTTGTAATTCAGTATTTCTTAATAGGAAAAGATATTAATGGTATATTGTTACATAAAAAGGCAAATCATAACACTTCATTATCGTATAGTATATTTTTTGGAAAAAATTATGCCTATTCATAAAAAATAACTGGAGTGTGCTCTCCCTCCTGGGAGCATGCCCACCCTTTACCCCTCCCCTCTTTTTCCCCACAGGTGTGTATCTCCTAAACTCTAAGGGGCCCCACGAGACTGGCAAACAGGGGAGCAATGGGCAGTGACAGCTTGTCCCAGGTTAAGCCCCTGAGCCTGTCCCAGGCCCCCCGTTCTCTGACTCTCCAGTGAGTGACAGCCCATTCCATTGCTAGAGCCAGAGCAGCCCCGCCTGGACACTCTCCTGTCGCTGCTTCTGCCCTCAGCCCCTCCTTGCCCACTGCCCCGCTTTGACAAGGTGCTCTCAGAAGCAAACCCCAACAAAGTGGGAAGGATATTCACCAAGCTGTGAAGAGCAGATTTCTCCAGGACTTTAAGTGCTAGTTTTCTTTCTTTCTTCTCTATATTTTCTCACTTTTCTATTTACAGTGAATATATATTACTTACGATAAGAAATGTTACTTTTTAAAAACAACTGGAATATGACTTGAAATTTTTTTAAAAATATCAATTTTTATAACAGCAGAGGAGCTGTATCGGTGTGTTGGGGTCAATAGATGTTTAGGTTCTTTGGTAGAACAGGAGGAAGGAATCAAAGATCCTCCCCACTCTCTTCCCTGTCCATCTCTGTCTCCCTCTTGTGGTGCCCATCCCTAGACCAGCCTTCTGCAGCCCTCCCTTATCTTCTAGCAAAGGCTGAGATCAGCAAAGGGTCTGAGTCACAATAATATGAAAGAGTTATCCGTGATGCATAAGCATCTCACTGGAGATGAAGACTTAAGCCAAAGAAAGAAATGTAGGCGCTTTCCAGCTACTGGGGAGGATTATAAGAGGACAAAAGCATCCTCCGGCTATTTCTAAATTTCCATTATTCAGGTTGACACCCACGCTGCTTAGCTGCGATGCCGAGGCCTAAATGACAACTATTCCACTCTCTACATGTTAATACCGCAGCCCTCCAAAGCCAGGCGTGTTCATCATCGCAGCAGATGGAAAGGATGGTGAACATCAGGAAGAAACCTCTGCCAAAATATTAAAGTTCAAGAAATAAAAGTGCTGGGGAGGAGGGGGGCGAGGCAGTATTGTTTCACAAGTTCTCTGAGTAGCGAAACCATCTCTGGACTTATTCTTCCCTAACCTCTAACTCTCCAAAGTTTGTTCTTCCTGTTCCAAAGGCCTACTTATTCCAACAAGAATCACGAAGGATACGCCTTAGTGTTTCATCATTGTCACCACAGGATTCCATCAGCAGCAGGTGCCAAAACTCCATACGTCAGCCAGCCATCTGTCACCAAAACCTGAATTGGTCAGAGCTTGCCAATATCACCCTAACATCACACACACACACACACACACACACACACACACACACACACGCCCCGAATCTCCACAACCCATCCCTGAATTTGCAACACAACATCCTGTTACCCAAGGAGATGTTCCCAGGATGGGACCACTCAGAGCAACAGGAAAACATATTGTTCTCTCCCTCATTCTACTTGCTTTACTCACCGTTGGAAATAGTGTAAACATGAGTTCTAGTATTTTCATAATTCTACTTTTTGAAAAAGTACAATCTGATAAAACCAGTTTATTCAAGAATTAAAACGTCTAGCCATGTATACAAAACCATCAACAGAACAAAATCAGAACAGCGGTCAAAAATCAAGTAATAATTCCAACTTTTCAGACATCACTTTGGAAAATAGCTATTCCCTATTAATTTGGGTGCTTTTAAAAAAGTTCCAAACTATGAAAGAACCAAAAGGTTTAATTGATATACATTCGATTATATTATTTTGCTAAAAAATACACTAATCTGACAAATAGTTTATATTATTTAGTGCCCAAAAGCAAATAAAGGACAAATAAAACTCTGGAACACATAATGTATAACAAGCAAACTATACAGAGGAGGAGCCATAAATAATATTGTGTCAAAGACTAATTTCAGATGAGTTTTTAAGGAAGAAGGGTCCTTTGCTAAATACTAAGTTTTTTAAAAATTTCAGAAAAAGAATTGGAATAGATAAATATCTCAAAACTATTTTAGATGTCTGGGTAGTACTTTCACTTACTTAAAAAAGTGTTCTAAATGTGAAGTATAGCCATCAACTAGAATTATCATCACTAGAAATTAATATTATCTATGAAAGAATTCACTCCCACAAATTATCCCAATAAACGTGAAAAAAAAAATGGCCAAGTGATAAAAGTTATTAGATGTTCATTTTAATTTAAATGGAGGAATTTTTCATTAAAATATATTTCATTAAAATATATCTGAAGGCCTCAAAGGTGAAAAAATTGGAGATAAGATGACGGGACATCTGTCTACATGCCTCGCTTGGGGGTCCTCAGCACAGCTATACTGGAAGAGAGCTTCACCTTGTGGTCCACGTGAGCGGACCTCACTCCTGCATCATGGCAGTCGCTCTGGAGCAGCTTTTTAACAGAAGGGCCTACGGAGATTTAATGGAAAGTTATCGCGCTTAATTAGCCCTGCAGACTGCTGCAAGCCATTTCTTTACACAAAGGTTTTACTTTGGTTCCCTTGGATCTAAAAACGGGAAATGACACCCAGTTTGGGAATTTTCGCTATGAATAATCTCAGTGCACGGAAAGAACTGGTGATGAGCATGACCTGCGGCATCTGGAACATGGGAAGGCCCTCCGCTATCTAACCGGATCTGAGGTCAGAGTCACAGGTCCATGACCGCGCACTCAGTGCCCCTCACCTGGAAGGAGCGTCTTAAAATGAAGAAGGTAGTCGGTGAGTACATCCCGAGGGAAATCTTACACACTTAGACGCTCTGAAACACCTGACATACTGATTTTGTCTCTGCACTGTCTGATTTTAGCAAGAATCCTGTTTGGTTTAGCCAGAGACCCCCCCTTCACCGCTGATGTAGTCAATTCCCATTCATCGACCCCCACTCTGCTCCTTGCCTATAAACTCCCACTTTTCCCTGTTATATTCAGAATCGAGCCTAGTTCTGTACTGAGATCTCTTTTTCCCTCCGGCAACAGCTTTTCTGAATAAAATCTGGTTTTACCGCTTTAACTATTGTCCAGCTCTGGTTTTCCTGATAGCACCAAATTAGCTGCAAGTACGCTTAAGTCAACTAACCTTTCTGGGTTTCAGTTTACTCATGTGTAAATTTAAGAGGGATGGAGTAGATGATCTCTAAGGATTCCCGCCAGGTCTAAACTTCTCAGGAAGAAATAAGGTACAGAAAAAAATCAGCAATTTGGATTTGCTGGAGGTCGGGGAGCTATGAGGCCAGGACGCCCTGACTCCCAGCATAGTGTTCATTTTACAGAACCAGTCACCATTCTAAAACTCAGTGCTGAAACCCCAAACCAGACACATCCAGGGAAACGCCAGGGTGCTACTGCAGCCCAAAGGGCCTCTTTCATCTCACAATCTGTTGTACAGTTGTCTTTAATCTCCAAGCAGAAGCAGCACTACATTTTGTTTTCTAAAGTAAAGTAAGCCCAGCCAGTGTGGATCAGTGGTTGAGCGGCAACCTATGAACCAGGATGATTCCAGGTCAGGGCACATGCCTAGGATGTGGGCTCGATCCCCCCAGTGGGTTGAACAGGAGATAGCCGATCAATGATTTCTCTCTCTCCCTCTCCCTTCCTCTCAGAAATCAATAAAAATATATTAAAAATAAAGTAATTTTTCCTCTCTGGAAATAAAAAGTATATTCCTTTTGCCCATAAAACAGATATACAACATAGTAACTAATCTCGACTTTAGATGACAGCAAAAATGAAAAGATCTCATTGTATCTCCTACCAATAGTTCCTTCTTTTTTGTCTTTAAAACTGTTTGGTTCTGAAGTGGGGCTGCCACTTCTTACTTTACCTGGAAAGACACCTAAACGCCACATGGTTCTGCAGAATGAACACAGGACGTGCCAGAGCGATTGTAAGTCTGACTCCTGGGCTGTCCAGCAGTGCGATCTCTGCGAGATCATTTTACTGCCTGCAAGCTTCAGTTACTGCACCCATATCCAAAGGAAGTTATACAGGGACAAGATGAAAGCTGTGAACTTTAAAGATCTAATGGTGATGAACACTTTGCTTGCACGCCATGATGCAAACTCAAATATCTGTTCTCTCACCTGTAAATATAGGGTCACATTTTAAAACCTTATAATCTACGGCTGCTTGGAATGTTTCAGATATGGCACCGAATAACACCACTCCTCTGTGGTCTCTTCCAATGCCATTTCCACCCGAGGAACAGATAAGGAATAGCAAGCAGTCTTTACAACACAAACACAACCATCTTCTCACTTCCTCCATCATTTTTTTTCTGTTATCATCCTAACGAACTTAAATTCTGCCCATAGACATCTTCTAAAATGTTATATTCCTGTGACATACAAGAAGGAAAATGCTCCATTACTTAGTGGCAGCAATGAGCATTTTCGATATTTTAAACATTTCAATTTCCCGTTCGCTAGCACGCTGTGACATCACTGCCTTCCAGTGTGTGGGCTCATTCTCTAACCCTGTTCCTATTTTGTCCCCTCGCCTTCAATGCACAGGTGCCATTGTTCCCTTTACCATTCAGTGAAGCAGCTTAAAAATGACTTTGTATTTGCACATGGCTTCGCTCGGTAAACACCCGTCTTCCCTCGCGCTTGAGCTGGGGCGGTCAGCCGCGCACCTAAAGGCAGGAGCTGGACGAGATCAAATAGCAAAACCGAGGCCCAATGGGAAGGCGGGGCGGGGTCAGCCCACCTCCCCGGCCGCCCGCGTCCCGGGCTCCCAAGATAAACAAAGGAAGTGGACGGTGTCACCGCGGCAGGTGCTGCCACCGACCCGCGGCACCCGTGCGGCAGCCCGCCGAGCTCCACCCGTCCACACGCGGCCCGGGTGCTGACTCCTCCTGCGGGCTCCCGCCCTGGGTGGGCACCGAGAAAGTCCACGGAGACAGAGATGGACGGGGGGGGGGGGGGGGGGGGGGGGGGGCGGACCTTCCCTTCCTTCCTCCCGCTCCACCAAAGAGCCTGAACACCTACCCACCCCAACGCCCCAACACACAGCGCCTCCGCTGCTCGACGCAATGCATGTCCAGGGGCGGGAGAGAGAGGGAGCGTGGGGCCGGCGGCAGGTGGGGCGAGAGGGGGTCTGCAGAGAGGAGACGATCGCAGAGGCCAGAAGGACCGAGGGCGCTGCCGGCGGGAGGAAGGGGCGGAGGGGAGGGGCGCAGCCGGCGGGAGGACGCCCGGGCGGCCGCGGGCGGGTCGGGGGCGAGCGGGGCCCTCCTCACCTGGCAGCCCTTCTTGTGGTGAAAGCCGACCACCACGATGTGCAGAACGGGCCCCCGCGGGGCGCCATCGCAGCCCCGCCCGGCCTTCTCCATGGGCAGCCGCCGCGGGCGCGCACGACCACGACTTCAACCGCCACGGGCGGCGGCCGGGTGACCGGCGGTCCCCGGGCGGCCGGCGATCCGTGGATTTCGGGGGTCAGCCGGGGCGCCGCATGAGGCCGCGCCGGGGGCCTGGAGAGGCCGAGGCTCCCGCAGCTCCGCCCCGCCCCCCGGCCGCCGCCGCGCCGCGCTCAGCAGCCTCCGCTCTTCCGGGCCGTCAGCCGACGCAGCCGCCGCCGGCGGGGAGGGGCGGGGCCGCAGGGGAGGGGCGGGGCCGGGGGCGGGGCCTGCAGTGACCTCCGGGCACACCTGTCCCCCCTAGCCACCTGCTTCCTCCTCCGATTCCTTCTCTTCTTCCTCCTTCAATTCTCCGCCCCTCCCCACATCGTTCCTCAACTTTACTTCCTTTTTAACGTGCTTTCCGTTCATTCCTTCACTTCCTTTCCTTGGATTCGCTGGCCTAGGGTCTCTCTAGCCTTTCTTCTTAAATATTGGATGACATATTGGTGCTGTTCTGTCTGTGTATTCAGTATTTAAATGCTTGCCCAGTATTTCTCTTTTGCTTCGTTCTATGCTTTTGTTTTTCTTCCTACTTAAATATTGTCTATAGGAATTCGGAAGCGACGTAAGGCCTGAAGCAGAATATCCTTGACAAAAAGGAAGTTTACAGGGACCCATATAAAATGCTTATTCTAATCCTGCTATTAAGACAACAACATTAAAAAGAAGGAAAGAAAAAACAGCAACAACATTATTTTCAGTCCATCTTGTTTCTGGGTTTAGTACTGAGGTCAGCACAAAATATATGGGAGCAGTTGTCACTAGAGTTTTTAATTTCCTTGCTGTTGTACTACTTCAATTTTTTAACAAGCATTGAATCTCACCCTATGCCAATTTAAAGTGCATAATGGAAAGACTAACCGATTTATCAAGTCTTATCCAGGGCAGTTTGGAAGTAAACTAAAGATAGGTGCCTGCTTCAAATAGAATATGAGATCACTACAGTAACTGGCTGTAAAGTTTATCATTATAGTTGCACCTCCCTTAGTTTAAACAACCTTAGCAGTTGATATGGTCCACTGTTGGCCTTGACATTTAAGAACCTGCATTCTAATCTAAGTAAAGCTGAGAAAAAGAGTAAGCTTCCTGTGACCAAGTTTAATTTCTATGATTCAGTAGAACTGTTTTGATGCTAATAAAAATACTGTAGAAAATTTTCAAGATGTTGCTATCATTTCTATATTACAAAATTCTTGGCGTTGGCTCAGAACTGTGAGAAACTATATTATTCCCTGTATGTAGAATATGTTACCATTTTCTTCCATCTGACTTGATATTTTTCACAATTGGAATTGCTAAAATTAAAATGTAATTGAACATTTAAAAAAAAACTAAGGGTAGGGCATTTTAGAACTCTGTATCTACAGCGAACCCCAGTTGTTTAATTCATTGTGCAGGAGACCCAGTAACAGTTTTAAAAAACTCTGTATCGCTTTGCATCCTAGGGTTCCCAACTAAGATTACATAATTTGTTCATAACTATTGCATTGCTTAACTGTTTAAAAATTATATCATTTAAAATATGCTATAAGCAAAGAAGCTACATTGTGGGAGACATTGGGAGTGAAAGTAAGCAAGGGAATTTCCAGAAATTTTCCATCTCTAAACATACAGGCTGGCCCATTTAATACTGTAGAGCAGCGGTTCTCAACCTTCTAGCCCTAAATACAGTTCCTCATGTTGTGACCCAACCATAAAATTATTTTTGTTGCTACTTCATAACTGTAATGTTGCTACTGTTATGAATCATAATGTAAATATCTGATATGCAGGATGGTGTTAGGCGACCCCTGTGAAAGGGTCGTTCAACCACCAAAGGGGTCACGACCCACAGGTTAAGAAACGCTGCTGTAGAGGAACAACTTTTATATTAATTTTTTAATATAAGGAGTAAGAAATGTGAAAGTGAAACAAATTCAAAATTATTTGAGGACAGAACAATAAAACTTGCATGATCTTCAGATTTTTAATCATGATGGGCAGAAGGATTATGGAGAGAGAAAGAAGTATAAATTCTAGGAAAAGATCAGTCTTCTGTGATTATTCATTTATGTTCATTTTAAACCCCAAATCCAATGGGCACATTGTCCTTTACCAACTCTCGTCTCACTGATGAAATGGAGAATGAATATCATCCTATGATTTTATAAGCTTACATAACTGCTTTTATAAGTGTCCCAGTACATGGTCACATTTTAATACTAAGAGGGTTGTTGGTAGTATAGAAAAATATTGCTTTTCTATATGAATCATTGATTAAAAAGCAGTCAAAATTAATAAGAAACTGAAATATGTGCAGCCTTGTGAAGGAGAATCAAAAAAATAAAAAAAAGCAAGACTGAATGATAAAGGAAGTGGAAGTAGCAGTAGCCGACCCTTTCAAGACATATGGACCGAGATGTACAGGATTGTCAACAGAAACAACAGATCATTGTGCATACTGTGTAATGAAATGGTAGTAAGCAGAACGTGGAATGTAAAGAGACATTTTGAAACTAATCATTGTCAGCTCTTGAAAAAAAGTATCGATGAAAGGAAGGAATACAGTTCTAGGCAGCTACACCTCTATAAAAGTCAATCAAATTCCATCATTAAATTTGTAAGATGCTCTACAAATTTAACATCAGCAAGTTACTGTATTGCTCACTCCATAGCTCAGCATGGAAAAGCCCTCAGTGACGGAGAATTTATTAAGGAAACATTTCTAAGATGTGCACCAGCTCTATTTCACGATATGAAAAATAAAGATGATATTATTAAAAGAATTTCTGAGTTACCACTCAGTTGAAATACTATCAAAGACAGAATAATAGATCTTAACAAAAATGTACAACATCAATTAAAAAAAGACTTAAATAGCTGTAAATATTTTTTGATTTCTCTTGATGAAACTACTGATGTCACATCAAATGCTCGGTTGGCCATTATTGCTAGATATTCTGATGGTCTCACAATGAGAGAAGAGTTGATAGAGTTAGAATCAGTGCCAAAAAGTACATCAGGAAACGAAATATGTAAGGTTGTTATAAAAACATTCAGTGACCTAAACATTAATATCTCTAAAATTGTGTCAGTCACGACAGATGGGGCACCAAATATGGTGGGGAAAAATGTGGGATTCCTGAAATTGTTTATGGAAGCTATTAGACATCCACTTGTACCTTTTCATTGCATTATCCATCAGGAGGTGTTGTGTGCCAAATCAGGATTCTCAGAATTGAATGATTTAATGTCAGTTGTAACAAAAATTGTGAATTTTATAGCTTCTCGACCCCTTCACAAGCGAGAATTTTCTGCACTTTTACAGGAAGTTGATTCAACCTACAGTGGACTACTGATGTTCAATAATGTGAGATAGCTGAGTCAAGGTAAAGTACTTGAGCGATTTGTGGAGTGCTTTGAAGAAATTACGGTATTTATTGAGAATAAGGACCTGGCAAACTTTCCTCAGATCAATGATCATAAGTGGGTCAGCAATTTGATGTTTTTTACAGATCTCTCTGTTCATATGAATGAACTGAACTTAAAATAACAAGGTTTTGGCAAAAGTATTGACGTTGTGTTTGGATACATCAAATCTTTTGAAAGTAAACTTAAAATTTTCAAGCGAGATATTGAAACTGAAACTTATAAGTATTTTCCTCGGATAAAAAAGTATTTCGAGCCGAAACCGGTTTGGCTCAGTGGATAGAGCGTCGGCCTGCGGACTGAAAGGTCCCAGGTTTGATTCCGGTCAAGGGCATGTGCCTGGGTTGCGGGCACATCCCCAGTGGGGGATGTGCAGGAGGCAGCTGATCAATGTTTCTCTCATCGATGTTTCTAACTCTCTATCTCTCTCCCTTCCTCTCTGTAAAAAAATCAATAAAATATATTTAAAAAAAAAAAAGTATTTCGAGAAGGCCACTACAACGAGTGGAATGGAGTCCATACTTATGTACCAGAATATAGTAAACTCGTTATTTCAACAGTTCAGTGAAAGATTCGACCAATTTAGAAGCCTAGAACAGACCATTAAAATAATTAAGTATCCGGATGTCGTTGTTTACTGTACTTTGGAATTAAAGGATTTCCAATGGATGCAAATTGACGATTTAGAGATGCAACTTGCAGATTTTCAAGGTAGCATTTGGACTCATGTGTTTGTCGACTTAAGATCGAAACTTGAAAATCTGGAACGAAATCGTTTGAATAATGAAGAAGAGTGCAACTACAAACAAGAAATTTTGAGTGCTTGGAACAGAGTACCTGACACTTTTAGCGACATAAAAAATCTAGCGCTGGCTTTGCTAACAATTTTTTCATCAACATATTTTTGTGAGACTTTGTTCTCAGCATTAAATAATATTAAAACGAACAAAAGAAACCGGTTAACAGATGAAGTTAGTGGCGCTTGCTTGGCCTTGAAGTGCACCAAGTATGAACCTGCAATCGAAGAATTAGTAGACAAACTTCAGCACCAAAAAAGTCACTAATTTCTAGTTTTTATACCATTTGATTATCATTGTTTTTATTATTACTTTTCCTAAATGTACATTGTTTTTCTGTTTTTGTTCATTTTATACATATTTTTGGTTGATTTTTCTTTGTTAAATGGCATTTAAATATATAAAATAAATATGAAAAATATAAATTTTTTTTTACTATTGTTGCAAATATAAAAAAAAAATTATGAATATTTCTATATGTGACACGGCACCAGAGTTAAGTTAGGGTTTTTCAAAATTTTGACACGCGGAGCTCAAAAGGTTCTCCATCACTGCTCTAAGGTGACAAAGGGCTTTGCCAGGGCCTTCAGCTTGCCTTTTTCATTGCACTTGTCTCTTTATTTTGTAATTATGTTTGTAGTCTGTTTCCCTAGTAGACTGTGAGTTTTGTTTTATTCAAGTATGTATTCCCAAACCTTGCACAGTGCCTGGTAAGCAACCAGCGATGTTTTTTGAATGAATGTCAGAAAAAGCATTGCCCTCCTTGACTAAAGTCTGGGACCTTCAAGGTTGACATTGGCCCTACAAGTGCGAGGGAAACAGGTGAAAGAACAGGAACTGTCATGGCCCAATCCGAGTGCCCTGCCCTGACGGCAGGATTTGAGAGAGCGTCTTGGAGACGTTACCTGGTAACCAATCTGCAGGAGGAAGGCGGGAAGGGCAGAGAGCGAGCTCCTCGGCGTCCAATCAGGACCCCGCATCCCGGGAGCCCCGCCGCCTTGGACTAAGCAGCTGCCGTAAAGTGGTTCCCTCAGCACGACTGTGGCCCCATCTACGAGCCGCTAGGGTCCCGGGGCGCTGCCGCCCCCCAGCCGTGGGAGAGCGCCCCCGTCCTCGGAGGGCCCTGTGCCCTGGGTGGCCGCGGGGCAGGAGGCGCCAGGAGGCGGTGGCGGGGTCCGCACGGGCCGCCGAAAGCAGGGCCATGGAACCCAGGGAGTCGGGGAAGGTAGGCCTGGAAGGGCCCGAGAGCCGCCCCGCCCCTCCCGTGAGTCCCGGGCGGAGTCCCCGCCGGTGAGCCAGCCTTGCAGGGGAGGACTCGCCTGCTCGCCCGCCGCCTCTTCTGACGCCACTGGCGGCTGCCTCCGGGCGCATTGCGCCGGGATCTGCGGACACCGCGGCTCGAGCCCCTGGTCCTCCGGCCAAACCACCCCGCCCAGGGCCGCTCGGTGGATGTGGGAGGGCGGGGGACGGGGGGCGGGGGCGACCCGCTCAGTGTCATGATGGAGACGTGCGTCGTTTCCAAGAGGCCCAGCCTGGGATGAAACGCCAGTGGGAGCCAAGGGGTGGGCTCCCCCAGAGGCAGGGTCGGGGCTCGCACCTGCCCAGCTCCGTTCCCAAGGAGGGGCTGAAAGAAAAAGAAAGCATCTGGCATATTTCTTGCCGACTTCTGTTTCCAGCTTCTAGCTACTGAATGGAGAGTCTGAGCATTGCTCAAAATCATAATTCCATGCGCTTGCTTCAGGCTTTGGGCGGAAAGGTGGGGGAAAATGCTTGAAGTTAGAGTTCTGTGGGTTTGACAGGATTGCTAGAGCTCCAAGATGATTGTGGGTGGCCTTAAAACACGTTTTCTGCTTATTTTTAAACTTTCTGCAGTGAACATGTATTGACTCGTAAGAAAAATACTCAAATTATTTTTTAAATATACAATCCAATAGTGACTGATAAGAGTTATCTGTATTGTTTTTCTCAAGATGCTTCTACTTTTGAAGTTAAAATAGGTATTTCATGGGCTTGAAATTTGAGTATAAAGTTACAAGGCAATTTTAAACAAACCTATTAGAACTTGTTATAAATGGAAATGAATATGTCCCCCTCAGAGTCACCTCAATGGAAGGACTTAGACCAAGGAAGCTATTTCCCAAAATGCTCTTTTTCTTTGGGGGTGGGAAATTATTTTTTGTTGATAATTTTATTTTTTTATTTCTTTGACTGGGTGATAAATGTTCATGGTATAAAATTTAAAAGGATAAATAGAGCAAATTTATCTGACTACTTCCTTTTCTGACTATTTCTTTTATAACTGATGGCTGCGATATCTTAGCTCTCTGAGGCTATTAATGATATATATATACTAGAGCCCTCCTCGGGGGAACGGGCCTAAGCTGGCAGTCAGACATCCCTCTGGCAGCCCGGGAGCCCTCGGGGGATGTCCACTTGCCAGCGGGGAGCAGGCCTAAGCTGCAGTCGGACATCCTTAGCGTTGCTGAGGAGGCGGGAGAGGCTCCCACCACCACCGCTATACTGGCAGCCATCAGCCTGGCTTGTGGCTGAGCAGAGCTCCTCCCATGTGAGAGTGCCCTGACCACCAGAGGGCGGCTCCTGCATTGAGCATCTGCCCCCTGGTGGTCAGTGTGTGTCATAGTGATCAGTCATTCCCAGACCTTCTGCTGTTAGGGTCAGTTTGCATATTACCCTTTTACTATATAGGATAGAGGCCTGGTGCACGGGTGGGGGCCGGCTGGTTTGCCCTGAAGGGTGTCCCGGATCAGGGTGGGGTTCCTGCTTGGGTACCTGGCCAGCCTGGATGAGGAGATGATGGCTGTATGCAGCTGATCACACCCCCTTCAGGGTGGGGGTCCCCACTGGGGTGCTTGGCCAGCCTGGGTGAGGGGCTGATGGCTGTTTACAGGCTGGTCAAGACCCCCACTGGGGACCCTCACCCCATGGGGTGTGGCCAGCCTGGGTGAGGGGCTGAGGGCCGTTTTTCAAGCTGGCCACGTCCTCCGGCGGCCCAAGCTCCCAGCCTCTCCTTTTTTTTTTTCTTTTTTCTTTTGGTGGGCTGGAAGCAGGTATCTGGGATTTATTTATCTTCTATAATTGAAACTTTGTAGCCTTGAGCGGAGCCCAGGGCCGGCCAGGGCAGGTGGGAAGCCTGGCTTCCTCCATCACTGGGGGCAACGCAAGCCTTCTGCTTGCTCCAGCTCTGTGGCCGCCGCCATCTTAGTTGGGTTAATTTGCATACTGGCTCCTGATTGGCTTGTGGGCATGGCTTGTGGGTGTGGTGGAGTGATGGTTAATTTGCATCTTTCTCTTTTATTAATATATATATATATATATTTTGGGGGGGGGTAAATTTTTCTTCTCCATGTCTCACCTCCATTTCCTCAGTTCCTCTCCTGTCCCCTCACCTCCTACCCCAACCTGTTTTGGTCTCTGTCTGCCCTGTTAGAGTTTATCCTTAGAATTTTGGAAGTCCAGTTGTTAGTTAACACCACTCCACAGTGGAAAAACAAAATTCTACCTAGAAGCTCTGAGCATGTAGTAGGAGGGGAGGTCTTTGTCAGCTTCTGTCATCTTACTGCGTCTTGTTGGGGACTCTCAATAGGCATTTGTTGGCAAACAGATTTCCCTAAAATTCTTATAATTGTGGCCTCACTGCCTTTGTTCCCAGGCCAGAGGTTCGAAGTGCTGCCTCAACCTGAGTCTTTTGAGGAATTAGTGGTATAATTTGAGTTGTTTCTCATTTTGTCCACTGCTGGGTGAGGATTCCATTTTCTTACATCAGCTAGTTATTGCTCTTTCTTTTATTTAAAATTTTAAAAATATTTTTATTGATTTCAGAGAGAGCGAGAGAAACATCAATGATGAGAGAGGAACATTGATCAGCTGCCTCTGGCATGCCCCCACTGGGGATCGAGCCCGCAAACTGGGCATGCGCCCTGATTGGGAATCACACCATGACCTCCTGGTTCATAGGTCAACACTCAACCACTGAGCAACACCGGCTGGGCAGTTATTGCTCTTTTATATTCCCCAAATCATTGCCTGCACTCCCTGTCGCCTTTTCTTGGTGGGTCAGAGCTGCTTTATAAGCTGATGGGATGTGGTTCTCAGCTCCAAAGCTTTTCCTGTCTTGATCATCAACTTCATTCAGACATAATTCTGCTTGACTTTCAACTAGTTCTAGGTTCAGGTACATCTTCCTCAGGGAAGCTTACATTGTTCAAGATTTTGCAAAAGAATGTGCCCTGAGGCCCTGGTAGCTCAGTTGGTTAGAGCATCATCCGGATACGCTAAGGTTGTGGGTTCAATTCCCGGTCAGGGTACATATAAGAATCAACCAATGAATGCATAAATAATTGGAACAACAAAATTGATCTCTCTCTCTCTCTCTCTCTCTCTCTCTCTCTCTCTCTCTCTCTTCCTCTTCCTCATCTCTCTCAAATCAATAAGTAAAAATAAATAAACTTTTAAATAGAATGCCCTGAGTTGTTGCTGAGGCTGAGAACTAATGGTTCCCGTGGGAAGCCCTTGAAGAACAGGCAGGGAAGGGATTATGGAATTCCCGATTCAGCCTTCTTTATGGTTCTTTTGTTTCAGTGCATTGCCTTTCCTAGAGGACTGAGCCTCACTGACATTGTGATTTGAAACCAGGTGGTGAGACATGGGATGTAGTCTTGTATGTTGATTGACAGTGCCCCCTCCTTCAATCTGTTACACTCCCAGAGTAGGAGATGACCTTAGGTAATCATGAACACAGGTATGAAAGACTGATCTAAGGATGAAGTTGGTCCTTAGCTGGTATAATTTTTCCTTTCAGGCTCCTGTGACATTTGATGACATCATTTGTACTTGCTTCAGGAGGAATGGATGCTGCTGAGTCAGCAGCAGAAGGAGATCTGTGGTTCTGACAGGCTGGTGGCACCCCAGGGTGTGGTTTCACTTCCCCCCACCTGAGTGAGTCTGGATTGGCATTCCCAAGTGCATCCGACTGTGACATACTTGAGAATTTTATGGAATCCTACCATTTTTTTCCAGGCATCTTTTTACTGTTTATATCTGCTCAGTCCCTTTTCTCACTTACCTAACTTACCTTTTCTACCTGGTCATGATCACTCACTACCCTTTCTTTAAATTGGCCAAGAGAATTGGGGAAAATTGGGCTACGCCATGATGCCTCAGGATATCCCAAGTTGCCAGATGGGAATTCCTACCTGTGTTATGTTGGACTGCAAGGTGAATTCTGTTGCCCACAGGACACGAGGTAGAAAGCGTGTCAGACCTGGAGTGTGGAAATCTGTTCTCAGTCCCAGCTCTACCATATGACACTGGTGTGGCCTTTTTCAGCCTTGACTTCCCTCTTCATAGGATTGTCATAGAGGTTGAATAAGATAAAACAACTTAAAATTTTGTGCCCATGTGTTATCTTTCTATTTTCTGAATGTCCTTTCTCTGCTTCTATGGGCAGACTCTGTGTACCATGGACAGCGGCAGTTGTATTTCAGGTGTGTGCTTGCATAGATACTATTTTCTGATTTCAGTTTGATGGCCATCTGTCATGCCTGTCCTTTCTTCTTTTCATCTTGGTCTGTGTCTAAGAGTTATGAGAATGACAGTCTTCGCTCTCTGTGAGTAGGGGATTGTTGCTGGGTTGGGTCTTCTTCCTGTGCTAAAACACTTGAAAACCACTAATTCTTCTAAACCAGAAGTGGCAAAGTAGTAGCTCATGGGCCAGATTAGGCTTGCAGATTATTTTATTTTATTTTTATTTATTTATTTATTTATTTATTTATTTATTTATTTATTTTTAATATATTCTATTGATTTTTTACAGAGAGGAAGGGAGAGAGATAGAGAGTTAGAAACATCGATGAGAGAGAAACACACTGATCAGCTGCCTCCTGCACATCTCCCACTGGGGATGTGCACGCAACCCAGGTACATGCCCTTGACTGGAATCGAACCTGGACCCCCCAGTCCGCAAACCGACGCTCTATCCACTGAGCCAAACCGGTTTCGGCAGATTATTTTATTTTTTTGCTTTCAACACTTTTGTTTGGCTTCTTAAAAAAATACTATATAAGTTATCAGTATTTAACCATTGTGAGTTTTCACATAAAACTATGGATTTCTGGCTTCTCTTGAAAAATGGGATCATCAGGCAGTGCCGGCCCTGCGCCCGCCTGGTGGCCTCCTCCCGGAGTGGAGTAGCAGCTGTCCCAGTACACGGTTGGCCACAGTTTTCTCAGTTGTGTTATCGCTCTGCTCCTTCTCAGCCTTTGAGTTTGAGCCTCTGTTCTGAACCAATAGTTTTCATACCTTGCTGTGCCCCTCATTGCTTTCACTGGTCCCTTTCTTTTAGGGGCCTCATGGATACCGGCATTTCTAAACCATTATGCTAAAATATTGAGATTTATATTTGCCTCCTTAACCAATTATCCTACAATGCTGAGAGGATGTCACAGACGGATCTTTCCTTAGTGTTGTGATCTAGATCCAAGATCTCATGCTTCTCTCTCTCTCTTCCTGACTCAGGACCAACTATTGCCAACCCAGAGCTGTTCTGTGAGTTTGAGCAAGGGTCCGAACCATGGCAAGGCAATGTCCAGGGCCAGAGGCATCTCCTGAGCCACTACCCAGGTGAGTGTGGACCTGCACCGGGGTCAGGGGCTTAGCTGGAGAGAGGACTCCCGTCTCATCCTCTGCTTCTCCCTGTTCTCTACCAACTTACCCATGAATGTTCCCCCACCCCCACCCCATCTTCACCATAACTAAAATATGCACATGTCCCCTGGCATAAATGCCATGAAGGCATGACTTGCTCTTCTTATTTTTTTTTTTTAAATATGTTTTATTGATTTTTTACAGATAGGAAGGGAGAGGGATAGAGAGTTAGAAACATTGATGAGAGAGAAACATCGATCAGCTGCCTCCTGCACACCCCCTACTGGGGATGTGCCCACAACCAAGGTACATGCCCTTGACCGGAATCGAATCTGGGACCCTTCAGTCCGCAGGCCGACGCTCTATCCACTGAGCCAAACCGGCTAGGGCGACTTGCTCTTCTTTACTACTGTATTCCCAGTGCCAAGAACAATGCCTGGCACATGGTAGTTGCACAATAGATAATCACTGAATAATGGATGGATGGATGGATGGATGGATGAATAGTCATTTACTAAGTTCTAAGGATTTAGCTATGTTTCCCTCCTTGGATAAACCTGTCCTGTCCAGGGATTGGCTTGGTTCAAGCAGAGCCGGGCCATATGGTAACCTGTTACTGTGTAAGAGACTGAGTTAACCCAGCCCCTCCTGAGGGAGGAAAAGGGGGTGGGAACAAGTTCCTCTGTGAATTGAGTCACAGAAGTTTGCTCTCCCTCATGGTCTTTCTCAGACGGACCACAGGAGCCCTAGGCTTCTTTTTTTTTTTTTTTAAATCCTCACTTGAGGATATTTTTTCTATTGACTTTTAGAGAGAGTGGAAGGGAGGGTGGGAGGGGGAGAGAGAGAAACATTGATGTGAGAGAGACACATCACTTGGTTGCCTCCTGCGTGTGCCCCGACCCAAGCCAGGGATTGAACCTGCTACCGAGGTGTGTGCCCCTGACCTGGAACTGAACGCAAGACCCTTTGTGCTTGGGCTGGCGCTCTAACTACTGAGCAACACCGGTCAGGGCAAGCCCTAGACTTCTTGATACTATTCGTTTTGTTCTTCCATGCTTGACTCTTATTCGGAGTTTTGTACTCCTGGGTTAGCGCAGTTCTATAGGCTGGTCTCTTAAGCTCTTGGCCCTGGGCATCAGAACTTACATCGATGCATAAAAAAAAACGTCTCCAGAGGAGTTTGAGTTGTCTAAGCTGCATTTCAACTAAGGAGCAAATAGAGAAACTTGAAGAAGGAAAATCTTAGTGAGGTTATGAGGGTTTCCACCTCTTTGAAGGGTTGTGGTGTAACAGAGGAATGGACTTTGTTTCTCTCGAGGGGCTGAAGCAGCCCCCCAAGGTGGAAGTTATAGAAAGATGGATAGCAGCTTAAGGAAACTCTGGGACCAAAGCTGTCTTGATGCCTGTCTGTCAGAGAATACTGTGGAGGGGACTCCTGCTGAGTATGGAGTCGCAGCACAGGCAAACCTTGCTCTCTTGCACTTCACAGATGCTGCTTTTTTTTCTTTTTTTAAATAAATTGAAGGCTTATAGCAGTCCTGCATTAAGCAAATCTATTAGCGCCATTTTTCCAACAGGCTCAGGTGATGGTTGGCTTTTTATTTATTTTTATTTTTATTTATTTCAGAGAAGAAGGGAGAGGGAGAGAGAGAAATATCAATGATGAGAGAGAATCATTGATCGGCTGCCTCATGCACGCCCCACACTGGGGATCAAGCCCGCAAACTGGGCATGTGCCCTGACCGGGAATCGAACTGTGACCTGCCGGTTCATAGGTCAGTGCTCAACCACTGAGCCAAGCCGGCTGGGCGATGATTGGCTTTTTTTAAGCAATAAAGTATTCTTTAATTAAGGTACATACATTTTTTAGACATAATGCTATTGCACATTTAATAGATTACAGTATAGTATAAACATAACTTTTATATGCACTAGGAAATAAAAAAATTTCTGTGACTCACTTTATTGCGATATTCACTTTCTTGTGGTGGTCTGGAACCGAACCCGCACTGTGTCTGAGATACAGCTATATTTGGCTTCAAATCTCTTTTTTGACCCTATGTTCTATTAGTTCAGTTTCTTATCTATAAATAAATTTGAAGTCCTGAAGATTGTGCCACTGTCTCGGGTTGCAGAGATCAAATTGCACCAATCTCCTTTTGGCCAGATGTGTCTATCCTTTAAATTAAAAAACACACACACACACACACACACACACACACCAAAAAACGTCTGCTTAAACCCACCTGATTTCCTCCTGGAGGCAGTAAGGTGGGCCTGGGAGCTGGGGGACTGAAGGAAGAGAATGCGGGGAGAGGCTGTCACTTTGGTGTGTGTGATCTTCAGCTTTCGTAGTTGATGTGTCTATGATTGGCAGTGGCTCTGACTCTAGGACTTGAAGGCAATTCCCTTTGTCTCTTTTATCTAAAGGAAAAAACAAGATGGGCTACTTGGAGGAAGTGGACATGCATGGGCCAGCCAGAGAAGCTGGACCGGACCTCCCCCCTCAGACGAAAGCCTGTCTTTCCCATTTCAGAGCAGAAAGTGGCACCATCAAGGAAGGCTGTGCAGGAAAATGCAAAAAGCCCTTGAAACCCCGGTCCATCCAGAAGTCCTGGTTTGCACAGTTCCCGTGGCTGGTCATGAATGAGGAGAAGACGGCTCTCTTTTGCTCCGCTTGCCGAGAACACCCCTCCGCCAAAGACAGACGGTCCCGACTGATAGAAGGCTACACAGGACCGTTCAAGGTGGAGACTCTCAAATATCATGCCAAGAGCAAAGCTCACCTGTTCTGCATCAGTGCTTTGGCAACACAGGACCCCATCTGGGCAGCCCGTTTCCGGAACATCCGAGATGCCAGCCCAGAATATCCCATTCTGCAGCCCCCGGTGCCTCTGGGAGCCTATGGTGATACGGCCCAGCTCCTGCCCAGCTCTCGAGCTGAACGGAAGGAGCCTGCGGGGAATGGAGCACTTCCTGCATTGTATGTAGACTGCATTTCCCATGTGAGGCATAAAGAAACCGCCAGTGACGTCAGCAGCTCCTCAAACACTAACATTGTGCGCAATGACTCTGCTGAATCCTGCAGCCAGGTAATATGTTCATAATGGTTGCTGCATCTCCAGGGGAGGATTCCATACTGAGAACAACATACATTGTGTGATGATGATGAAGAAATTATATGAGCTTACCTGCTACTAATGTTACCATGAGCTAAGATGCTTGTCATGTCTTAGGCATTGTTTTAAGTGCTCTCCACGAACTCTCATTTATTTAAGACAACAGCCCTATTATTATCATCTCCTTTCTGCAGATGACAAAACATAATTAGTGGGACAGAACATTCTAACTTCTGATAGCAGGGAAGCACCTAGACTCAGAATAGTAATCTTTATCCAGAATCCAAAACAACCACAGAACAACTGCAGCATGCTTACTAGTAAATCATCAAATTCACATTTCCTTTTCAACTTGGACTGCGGAATCATGGAGCACTTGTAAACACTGCCACGGCTCTTCACACACGTTCTTTCGTGTAGTGATTTCAGTGCTGCTCTGAGGCTGGGGGAGCAGCCTGGTTGGACGCACCATTGGGAGTGACGTGTCCAGAGTCCGAGGGCTCTCATGGTGTTGACCTCCCCCCAGGCCTTGCCGCCAGCGCAGTGTTTTCCTCCCACTCTCTGCAGCGCTCGTGGGTCCTAGAAGACTCAAATTCTCGGTTTATTTTGTAATTTTCTAATTCTTTGGAAGGTCGGCCTGTGAGAAAACTGTAAACTGGAATCTTTGAGTAACTAGAACCCTCCCCATTTTTCACTGTTCCCTATAAATAGGATTTTGCTACAAATCTGTTTGAGCACCCCCTCTAGTATACCAAGGAGCACAGCTCAGACGTTCCTCTTATCTAACATCGGAAGGGCGCAGCTAAAGTTCGTAAGCTCGAATTTTTCCAGAATCCAAAAAAGTGTCAAGACTTATTTCTCTTCACATTCATGTTCCTTCTAGTTTTTAGATTAGAAGCTAATAGACAGGCCAAACCTCTTATAATCTGAATTCCTATAGCAATAAAGCCTGTGTAAGCATAGTCGCATCTTTAGTTGCTTTTTACTCCTTCCTTTCCACCCCTGTGGGAAATTCCAGCAGGTGCTCCTAGAGGCAGAGGTCACCTTAGTAGTCACGGCTGAGTAAGGACACCCCTCAGGACTGGAGGAGACAGGGTGCAGCCATAAGGCTCTACCAAGACCCCTATTCTTCCAGCGTGTTCATATTTCCTCCCAGGAGACCCTGGGATCCCACTGAGGCTTATTTGGTTCTTATTCACTAATTCCAGGCCTCATGAATTTGCTTAGGTCGAAGGATAAATTAGTTCCTCAGAGCACACCTGGCCTCTTGGCGAGCTTCCTAGGAAATGCAGGCCCTGAGAGGCACCCGAAAGTGTCATGCCAGTGTCTGATGCAAGAGGCGCACCGCGTGACGGCTGCTCTTTGTTGCAGGAGCTCCCGGTGGTGTTTGAGGAGGTGGCCGTGTATTTCACGCGGGAGGAGTGGGGCGTGCTAGACCAGCCGCAGAAGGAGCTGTACAGAGACGTGATGCGGATGAATTATGAGCTGCTGGCCTCCCTGGGTAAAGATTCATGTAGACCTTTGTTCATCACCATCATCTGATGTGAGAAACCCACAAGGGCACTGTGGCTGTGGTCATCTTCCCATTTCTGCCCTTTCCGTGTTTACAGGCAGAGAATGAGTCTATCTTCCGCACCTCAGATCTCGCCTTGCTTTGGGATATACTGTACTTTATCACCTCCGCACCCAGCTATCACCCGTCCTCCACCAGACATTTATTGAGTACCCACTATGTGTCTGCCGCACCTGAACTCGTTCTGCTTCCAAGGTCTGAGCAAGGTCTCTGCTTTCGAGAGGCTGGCGGGTTTTGGGGAGAGGCAGATACTTTAATAAGAAACTAAAATAACACAAGCTCCATAAGAGGTTCATGCCCTGGCCGGTTCGGCTCAGTGAATAGAGTGTCGGCCTGCGGACCGAAGGGCACGGTCAAGGGCACGTACCTCGGTTGCAGGCTTCTCCCTGGCCCCGGCCCTGTGGTCAGGTGTGGGAAGGAGGCAGCCAATCAATGCGTTTCTCTCACATCGGTATTTCTCTCTGTCTTTCCCTCTCCATTCCACTCTCTCAAAAAATCAATGGAAAAATATCCTCGGGTGAGGATTAAAAAAAAAAAAGGTTCAGGAAAAGTGTCCAGGGCTGCCAAAGAGAGTGACTTAATTTTCCTGGGCAACAGAGGGAGAGATCAGCAAAGTCTTCACCGAGTATGAATTGTTTTAACTGAGTTGAAAACTAGCTGGACAGGGAGGTGGAAGGGCATCTAGACATGACAGCGGGAGGGGACAGCGTGAGCAAAGGTATGGAGGCAACAAAGAGTATTGTGTATTGTGTCCTCCACTTCGTCTGTGCCAGGCTGCCTTATCTTTCCAGGGGCCAGCAAGGGTTGGTGGCCAAGTGGCCCAGGTGCCGCTAGACTAGGCACGAGAATGATGCAGGTCCTAGTGTTTCTTACCTTCCCCGAATATTATCTCCTCCATCTGCTTCCTGTTCGTCTTTTTCTGTCAAGCACCCAAGGTTCTCATGCATCAAAGCAGAAAGACAACTTTTCATGTTATAAAGCTTTTACTTCTTTTTTTTTTTTATTAGCACATAATAACAGAAGCCTTACAGAACAGGCTGCTGAGCATAACTTAGGAATTCCAGCAGCAATTGATGCTTTAAAAATCACCATTAGTTTATGTTTTGGGCATACAGTGTACATAGATGTAATTTTGTGACATCAGTAGTCAATAGGGGTAAAGGAGACGAAGCTGTAAAGGAACAGCATTTTTGTGTGCTATTGAAGTTAAGCTGGTATAAATTCAAATTAGAATGTTACAACTTTAGGATGTTAAATGGAACCCCCATAGTAATCAAAAAGAAAATAGTTATAAAATATACACAAAAGGAAATGGGAAAGGAATTTAAACATTTTACTACAAAGAGTCAACACAAAAGAAGACGGTAATCCTGGAAATAAGGGACAAAATAACTATAAGGCATAGAGAAAACAAATAGCAAAATGACAGAAGCAAGTTCTTCCTTATCAGTAATTACTTTAAAAGTAAAAGTGGATCAAATTCTCCAATCAAAAGACAGAGATTGGTAGAATGGATGAAAATGCATATTCCAACTATATGCCATCTATAAGAGATTCACGTTATATCCAAAGACACAAATAGATTGAAAGTTAGCTGATGGATAAAGATAATTCCATACAAATAGTAATCAAAAAAAGGCAGGCATGGCTCTACTAATACCAGACAATATAGACTTTAAATTAAAAAAGATTGCCAAAGACAAAGAATAACATTATATGTTAATAAAAAGTTTAACACAGCAAGAAGATATAACAATTAGAAACTGTTATGTACCTAATGACAGACTATCAAAATATATGAAACAAAATACAGAATTGAAGAAAGAAATAGAAAGTTCTACAGTAATTGTTGGAGACTTTAGTGCCCCTCTCACAATAATGGATGGAACAACCAGACAGAGATAAATTAGGAAATAGAGGATGTAACACAATAAATCAGCTAGTCTAACAGATATATACAGAGCACTCTACCCAACAACAGCAAACACATCCTTACGTACACGTGGAACATTTTCCAGGACAGACCACATGGTAGAACAATGCTGAGGGACTCACGCTTCCTGAATTTAGAACTTACCACAAAGCTACAGTACTCAACGTGGTGTGGTACTGACATAAAGACAGACGATAGACCAATGGAATAGAACAGAGAACCAAGAAATAGAACCTCATGTATATGGTCAGATGATTTTTGACAAGGGTGCCAAGATCATTCAATGGGGAAAGGAAAGTCTTTTCAGCAGTTGGTCCTGGGAAAAATGGACATCCACATGCAAAAGAATGAAATTCAATCCTTATCTAAACCATATAAAAATTAAGTCAAAATGTATCAAAGGCCTAAATGTATGACATAAGAAACTCTCAGAAGAAAACACAGGACAAATGCTTCATGACATTGTATTTGGCAGTAATTTCTTGGATATGATGGCAAAGCACAAGTAACAAAAGAAAAAGTAGACAAATTGGACTTCATGAAATTTAAAATTTTTGTGCATTGAGAGATACTGTCAACAGAGTAAAAAGGTAACTCAGAGTGGGAGGAAATATTTGCAAGTCATACATCTCATAAGGAATTAATATCCAGAATATATAGATAGCTCTTAAAACTCAGCAACAAAAAGCCAAATAACCTAATTTTAAAAAAATGAACACAGGACTTGAATAGACATTTCTCCAAAGAAGTTATACAAATGGCCAATAAGCACATGAAAAATGCTCCACATCACTGATCACTAGGGAAATGCAAATAAAAACTACTGTATTGAGATACCACCTCACACCCACCAGGATAGCTACTAGCCAAAAAAACAACAACCGCAAGTGTTGGTGAGGATGTGGAGAAATTAGAACCCTTGTGCACTGTTGGTGGGGATGTAAAGTGGTACAGTCATTGTGGAAAACAGTGGGGAGTTCCTAAAACAATTAAAAATAGAATTACCACATGATACAACATTTCTACTTGGGATTGAAAACAGGTTGTTGAAGATAATATTTGTGCAACAACGTTCATAACACTGTTATTCACAATAGCTAAAACATGTAAGCAACCTAAGTTCCCGTCAGCGGATGAACAGATAAGCATAATGTGGTCTATCCATACAGTGGAATATTATTTTAGCCTTAAAAAGGAAGGAAATTCTGTAGTCTGCTACAATGTGGCTGAACCCTAAGGACATTACCATTATGCTAGTTGAAATAAGGTAGTCTCAAAAAGATGGATATTGCTTGATTACCTGTAGCTGAGGTACTTAGAGTAGTGAAAATCATAGAGACAGAAAGTAGAATGATGGGTACGGGGTTCTTGGTTTGGGAGATAGGGATGTTATTATTTAGTGGTATAGAGTTTCAGTTTTATAAGATGAAGAGTTCTGGAGATGGATGGTGATGATGGTTGTACAACATTATGAATACATTTAATATCTCTGCACTGAACACTTAAAATAGTTAAAATGGTCAATTTTATGTTACATATATTTTACCACAGTGAAAAGAAAAAAGAAAAAGAAAATAATGCCTTGATAACTAAAGACAAAGAAGGGCTGACAAATGGGACCCAAGATACATGCCAACTAAGTGTAGCTTATGATCCTGGATTAGTTGCTGGCCTGGGAAAGATAGACATATAGATAGCTACACAGGACATTTCGAGACAATTGAAGAAACGTAGTTGTGGACTGTGGATTAGATAGTAGTATTATATCCATGCTCTATTTTCTGATTTTGATCTTTATACATACATTCAATCACCTAAAAGTTGATTAGTGAAAGTAATCTCCCCGTGACCTCGTCTTTTGCTCCTCCCCAGTAGCCCCACAGTCATCAGTTGTCTGTATGTCCTTCCAAAGAAAGTGTATACACACATTCACATAGACACGTACAGAACCATCTAAGTGGACACTAATGGATTTTATTTTAAATCAAGAAAGTGAGTTCTTTGTATACCCTTGAGGGATATTCACATTTTAAATAAAGGGCAGTACTTAACCCAAAGACATGAACCTCTTCTAGTCAGATTTCGGGTTTCATGGCAGGTGGTGGACATTTTTAAGGGGCCTTTCAAGTGCACGGGACAGTAGTTGGTGGCACTCTTCCACTTCTCGGCTGGCTTTCTTTATCATCCTTGTCTTCTCTCTTTTTACTTTAGCCCCCATGGTTCTTCCTATTTTCATGCTTTCCACTCTAGATGCATTTGGCTGGCCTGTGGCCCATGGATCTAAGGAAGCTATTTATCCTGGCTAATGGATACACCCTACTCTGGGTACCTCTTGGGTTTTAAGAATAAATTGGCACCCTAGATGAATGGGCATCCATCATGCCCCTGGCTGAATAGACGATTAAGAGATAGAGCCAGAGGCATCCCTGAATATTTCAGGAACCATAAATAGCTTCACACGGGCTACTTGACTTGATGGTCCATAGCAGTGACATCAGTATGACTCTTTGTCCTTGCAATAGGGCCTGTGGCTACCAAACCAGACTTGATATCAAAACTGGAACATAGAGCTGCACCCTGGACTAAGGATCCAAAGGGGACGAAGTGGGGGAAAGGTCGTTTTCCAGGTGAGTATCGATCTACTGAGTTCTGGAGGGCACGCCCAAGGGCCCAGGTAGCTGTGGCAAGTCACACAGAGTTAGTTCAGCCATACTTAACTTGAGCCTATTGTGCACCAGGCCCTATATCAGACTCTGGGTAGACAGAGATGAATATGAAATTAACCCTGACCTCAGAGCGTAGAAAACTGGGAAACCAGGACAGTATGGAAATAATAAGGAACTCTGATGAGCAGAAGTGCTAAAGGGACCTGTGGTTGAGCTGATGGGAGGAGGGGTGTGGGAGGTGCTGGTTCTGATCAGCGATGTGCCCACAGGCCTGTGAGCCTCTCTCTCTCTCTCCTCCTCTGGTTTTTAGCACTGCTGGCCTGTGGGAGTTAGTTTTTTGCATATCTCCAGCAGTAACTTGTTGGCTAGTGCTCCTATTTATACTTCTGTGCCTCCCTTCTTTCAAAGGCTCATAAGGGCTTATGGATGTTTAACCTCATTTCTTTGTGATGCCTCAGAAGAGGATTAAAGCCACCTGTTTATCCAGTAGCATCTATGGCCAAGGTGGTCAACTAAGCTTATTAGTAGCTGATGTCACATGATCCTGGGTCACTGTGTGGATAGAGAGGGGGAAGCTGGCTAAAGAGCCCACAGGGATTAGCAAACAATTCTTGACTTCCATAGATAATAATGGGGAAGTCAGTGATGCTCTCTAGAAAGGTGGACCACATTCATCCTTTCTGCTTTGCATCAGGATACGTATTACATTGGGGGTCTTAGCTGATGGGAGACTGCAGAGATCTGGGCAGCAAAATCAAGCAGTTTGATTTGCTCCCAAGGGAAAAAGAAGATGGTGGCTGCCGGAGAGGCAGACACGCAGGCCTCGGCTGTGGAATCTGCGTTGCTTCTAGCTCCTCCCGTGGAGACGTGTGCCTCCTACTGCAGGTCCAGCCTTTGTGACGTGGAAGCAGATGGGCCTAGGAAAATCAAGAGGACTTACAGACCCCGCTCCATTCAGAGGTCGTGGTTTGGGCAGTTCCCATGGTTAGTCATTGACTCAGAAGAGACCAAGCTCTTCTGCTCAGCTTGCAAAGAAAAACCGAATCTCCACGACAGGTCATCGCGGTTAGTCCAAGGTTACACGGGGCCATTTAAAGTGGAGACTTTAAAATACCATGAAGTCAGCAAAGCACACAAGCTCTGCGTCAACACTGTTAAAATCAAGGAGGACACCCCTCAGGCTGCCCTAGTCCCAGAGATCTCCAGTGACCTGATGGCCAACATGGAGCACTTCTTCAGTGCGGCCTACTCCATCGCCTACCACTCGAGGCCACTGAATGACTTTGAGAAGGTCCTGCAGCTCCTCCAAAGCACAGGGACCACGATTTTGAGCAAGTACCGGAACCGCACTGCGTGCACCCAGTTCATCAAATACATCTCTGAGACTCTGAAGCAGGAGATCCTCGAGGACGTCCGGAACTCCCCCTGCGTGAGCGTGCTGTTGGACAGCTCCACCACCTCCTCAGACCAGGCCTGTGTGGGCATTTACATCCGCTACTTGAAGGGGACGGAGGTGAAAGAGTCTTACATCACGCTGGCCCCGCTCTACAGTGAGACAGTGGATGGGTACTTCGAGACCATTGTCTCTGCACTGGATGAGCTGGACATCCCCTTCCGGAAGCCTGGTTGGGTCGTGGGTCTGGGAACCGATGGCTCAACCATGCTGGGCCACAGAGGAGGCCTTGTGGGAAAGTTCCAGGAGGTCATCCCCCAGCTGCTGCCTGTCCATTGTGTGGCCCACCGGCTGCCCCTGGCTGTGGTGGATGCCTGTGGGGGCATTGATCTGGTGAAGAAGTGTGACCGGCACATCCGAACTGTCTTCAAGTTTTACCAGTCCTCGAACAAAAGGCTGGCAGAGCTGCAGCAAGGCGCTGCGGCACTGGAGCAGGAAATCACCCGCCTCAAGGACTTGAATGCAGTCAAGTGGGTGGCCAGTAGGAGGCGCACACTGACCGTGCTCATCTTGAGCTGGCCTGCCCTGGCTCGGCACCTCCAGAGTGTGGCAGAGGCCGGGGGCCAGATTGGGCACAGGGCCAAAGGCATGCTGAAGCTCATGAAGAACTTCCATTTCATCAAGTTCTGCCACTTCCTGCTGGACTTCCTGAGCATTTACAGGCCGTTGTCGGAGGTGTGCCGGAAAGAAGTGGTGTTGATTACGGAGGTGAACTCCACGCTGGGACGGGCCTATGTCGCTCTGGAGACCCTCCGTCACCAGGCAGGGCCCAGAGAGGAAGAGTTCAATGCCAGCTTCCAGGATGGGCAGCTGCATGGCATTTCCTTAGACAGAATGGAGATGGCAGAGCAGCGTTTCCAGGCAGACAGGGAGAGAGTGATCCTGACGGGGACTGAGTACCTCCAGCAGAGGTTTGACACACACCGTCCCCCACAACTCAAAAACATGGAGGTGTTTGACACCATGACCTGGCCAAGTGGCACTGAACTGGCCAGTTTTGGGAATGATGATATCCTTGCCCTTGCCAGGTACTTTGAGCTCTCAATGCCCCCAGGGTACAGCGAGCAAGCCCTCCTGGAGGAGTGGCTGGGCCTGAAAGCCACGGCCAGGAACCTGCCGCTCTCCATGCTGTGTAAGAGCGCCCTGGCCCAGCCCTGCCGCTTCCCCTTGCTGAGCAGGCTGGTGGCAGCGGTGGTCTGTGTGCCCGTCTCCACCTCCTGCTGTGAGCGTGGATTCAGTGCCATGAACCGGATCAGGACCGAAGAGAGGACCAAGCTCTCCAATGAGGTGATCAACATGCTCATGATGACAGCAGTGAATGGTGTGGCAGTCACCCAGTATGACCCGCAGCCCGCCATCCAGCACTGGTACCTAACCTCCTCGGGCCGGCGCTTCAGCCACGTCGACGCCTGTGCCCCGGTGCCACCCCATTCCGATGCAAGTAAGTCTACATGGTAGAGTTCCGGGATGGGGAAACACGGTGGAAGGGAATCTCATCTTCCCAGTCCCGTGTGAGCAGGAGCATCTGATAAAATCAGCCATCACAAGGGGCTTGGCCTGAGGTATTGGTGAGCTTCTGTAGTGTGCCCCACCATTCACTAACCAGTGGCTGCCTGGGATCTGACCCCTGCCCTCCAGGCGCTTATGATCCAGCTAGAGAGGCAACCGGCACTCACTGTAAGCACAGATACAGTGCTGAGAGCACGAACTTCCGGCCCGCTAACTAGTGTGTGACTTTGGGCACGTTAATCACTCTGTGCTTTGTTTTTCATCAGTAAAGTGAATTAATACATGTCAAGTGCTTAGAACAGTGACCAGCAAGCAGTGCCAACTATTTGGAATAACCAGATGGCTGGACCAGTTGGGGCAGCAACATCACATTCTGAATGGGCTATGCAGAGTTGGAAGGTTGGAGAGGAGGTCAGTGCAGGTCAGAGGTTGCGGAGAAGGTGCTGGTGAAGAAGGTGGGGAGGGTGGTCCAGGCAGGGGGGCAGTCCTGAGGGCACTGCCTACTGGCCTGGAGGCCGGTCCAGGGACAAGGCTTGAGGGGGATGTTACATTATATGGGAGGCAGCTTACTGGAAGTCCGAAGCAAGAAATTGTTTTCTTTGCAGGTGGTCACTGAAAACCAGAGTAAACATGATAGTTACAGAGGTTCCCTAGGCTCCTCATGGTTTATTTAACAGAGAAAGAGCTGTGATTGGTCTCTTGATGGCTCTTACAACTGGCCTCCTGCTTCCTTCCTTCCTTCCTTCCTTCCTTCCTTCCTTCCTTCCTTCCTTCCTTCCTTCCTTTCTTCCTCCCTCCCTCCCTTCCTCCCTCCCTCCCTCCCTCCCCCTCTCTCTCTTTCTCTCTCTCTCTCTCTCTCTGTCTCTCTCAGTGTATGTTAATTCTCACCTGAGGATATTTTTCCCACTGATATTTTAGAAAGAATGGAAGGGAGGGATGGGGATAGAAAGAGTGAGAAACATCAATGTGAGAGAGGCACATTCATTGGTTTCCTCACACACACGCCTGGCTGGATCAAACTTGGAACCCCGTACATGCCCTTGACCGGGAATTGAACCCGTGACCCTTTTGTGCATGGGCTGATGCTCTAAGCACTGAGAAACACCAGCCAGGGCTTCTGCTCTCATTTCTCACCTCTGCATCTGTAGTCGGCAGCAGTGGACTGGGTCTCAGGGTTGACAGAGGCTCCGTAGGAAGTAGGGTGGCCCTGACCTGTAGCTGGGTGGAGGGGAGTCCTTCATCCCAGCATTTGTTGTCATGTCCCCCCCCTGTGGGGGAGGAAACAGAGATGCTCCCAGCTGTGCCCTTCTGCAGGTGGTTCTCCTGGGGACACAGGGATTTGCACATCTGAAGCAAATAGCGAACCCTACTAGATGTTATATGATAAAGCCTTCCCAGCGGGCTTTCTCAGCCTCAGCACTGTTGACATTTGAGGCCAAATAGATCTTTGTGAGGGCCCGTCCTGTGGGTTGTGGGTCTTCAGCAGCATCCTTCGCCTTTACCTGTTACATACCCACTGGATACCCGTAGTGCCCTCCTGGTTGTAGCAACCAACTATCTTCAGACTTCAAGGGACAAACAGCCCCTAGGGGAGGTCCTGTGTCCCAGCGTGGGCATAGATCAGCTTGCAGCCCTAGTCATGTCTCCGGTCTGTGCTGCCACCGTATTTTTCCACTGGATATACCTTGGGGTGCAGTTGGCAGTGGGAAGGGGATCCTCATGTACTGTGTTTTCCCCAAGTCTGATGGTGCCTTCTCTTTCCTCCCACTTGAGCGGCGGTGCCCAGGACGGAGAAGATGGGAGTGCGCCATGTGGAGGAGGCCGTGACCCAGAAGCCGCCCATCCATCCTGTGGGAACGGGTGGAGATCCTGACGACTGCCTCATGGACCCTCCTGACAGGCTCCTGTACCCCCACGCCAGTCAGGAGGCCCCTGTGCTGTCCTGATACAGGCTCTGCAGGCGCAGGAATCTTAGGATTGCCTGGGAGACCGCTACCCTGCCCCTTGTGGTCATGCTGACAGGCTCTGTGCCCTGGAATCTGCCTTTGGTAGGGACTCTAAGCACAGGAAGTGGGCAGTGACAAGGTAGTTACACCCACATGCCAGAGAGGCAGGGCCATCGGGGGTGCACAGCTTGTTCACCTCTAAATGGAGCAGGGGCAGCACTGACATATGCCGAGGCTCTTATCTCAAGTTCATGTTTAAGGTGCTTCAGGAAATAATCCCATTGCGAAAGATTTCACCCCATATGCTGGTGGCAAGAGGATTTTTCTGAAGTGGGAGAGACTACTGGGGGTAGGAACTTAAAGGAGCACCCCAGCCCCCTGGAACGTTGGGGAGCATTCCAGTGGGGCTGTCCACAGCCTTGGGGGCCTGGGGAAGACACTGGGTGAGGGGCAGAGGATGACCAGCTGGCCTGGCTCTGGGGTATCACCCTGGCTCTATAACAAGCAGGTACAGTCTGATTTCAAAATGGGAAACTCATCAGAGAATCTCTCTACCTCCTCCTAGGACTGTCCTTTAGGGTGAGACAAGCAAAGCCCTTTGCACAGAGCGCGCCAGAGAGCTTCTTCTGCGCCTCCAGGCCAGTCGAGAGAAGCATCTCCCTGGAGCGGGCCAAGCCCATGCGTCCCATCCAGTCCCACAGTTGCGGCCCTTGTGTTTGACCTGCATCATTCTGGAGTGCCTTCCTAAGCAGCAAACTGGACCGAGTTGCCCTCAGGAGGCTGGGATCCGGTCCCTGCTCTACTACAGGCAGTTGTTCAACCATGATTAATCATTCCTCTTTGCTGTGCCTCAGTTTCCCCCTCCATTAAATAGCAGAGAGTCCATGTGCCTGCTGGTTCCCAGCATGACACAGAACTGGCACATGACAGTGCATCCACCTACCTGCAAGACAGCCCTCAGACTGCACAGAGGGGACTCAGCTGCTTTCAGCCTTTGTTGTCATCCTCTGTCCCGTCACCCATGTCTTTACTGTGGGAAGAGGTGCTCCTAAGATGTGGCATCGGCATGATGGTCTCGTCCCGTGGTCGGCAAACTGCAGCTCGTGAGCCACATGTGGCTCTTTGGCCCCTTGAGTGCGGCTCTTCCTAAGCCTTAGGAGTACCCTAATTAAGTTAATAACAATGTACCTACCTATATAGTTTGAGTTTAAAAAATTTGGCTCTCAAAAGAAATTTCAGTCGTTGTACTGTTGATATTTGGCTCTGTTGACTAATGAGTTTGCTGACCACTGGTCTAGTCCATTCTTCCCAACGTTGTTTTGGGGATTCAGCCTGGGACTCCTTGGGGTGCTTGTGAAATATGTACCCAGACCTGCTTGCTCAGACCCCCAGGCCTGGGGCTCAGGGCCTGGCTGTAAGGTCCCTCCGGAACTTGTGTGCCCACTCCAGGCACAGAAGGGCCCCCGCACTGTGAGTTTCCTGCGTGCTCTTGCCCATCTGCCCTTCTTCCCCAAAGTAAAATACTTTCCTTCCGGGGCAGCTTCCTTCAGCAGGCTCCTCGGCTGCTTCTCTGGCTGGAGATGGTGTGTCCGCTCCTGCCTACCTAACCGCTGCGGGGGCAGGGGCAGGGTTTCTTTGCCCCTGCCTTGCTTGTTCAGGCTCCTTGCTGGCCTTGCTGCCGGCCCCAGCTGGGGTCCCTGCTCTGTTGCAAGTTGAAGTGGTCTGACCCTCAGCCAGCAGTCTGCCCACTCCCCCCTCCGTAAAGGTGTTGAGAGCCCCTGCAACACTAGTATCTGAAAGGCTCACTAGATGGCTGACCCCTGGTTCCCAGGATTCTGACTCTCCCTTCCTGTCTCCCCACCCTTAGCACTTAGCCTTTGTGCCAGGAATTCTGCTCTCACTTTCTGCCTTGAACCCGTGGAAATGTCTCTTCCTGCCCTTGGGGCAGGACCTTGGGCAGTGTGTTACACGGCCAAGATGGAGCCCACTCACACAAGTTTCTGTGTGCAGTTCGGGAATCTGCCCTAGGCCAGGCACTGTGGGGGTGAATTGGTAGGATGGAAGCGAGAAAGGCCCTGTACTCTTAGCCTTGCCCCCCCCCCCCCCCGCCCTGTCCGCGGGGTACATTGGGGAGCATAGACTACCGGACTCTTGCTTCTCTCCCAAGCCCAGGCGTGCTCAGTGTGGGCAGGACAGTGCGAAGATTGGCCAATTCCCGCATCCAGGTGTCTGCCAGCCAAGGACTCAGGTGTGTGTGTCCGGGGGGGGGGGGGGGGGGGGGGGGGGGTGGATGACGGCCCAGGAATGTCCTCCTTCAAATATGTGCAAATGAGGTCTATAAAACCACGATTGATTCTCAGTGTTTTATCCTGAATAAAACATTTCGACACAGGCCTGTGCCCTATGAATTCTTTTAGAATTAGGGAACTGAATAAGCTGATCGAAGCTAAGTAGATCGGGCTGCACAGAAAGCCCGCCCTCAGCCCATAGCCCGGACCCTCTCCCCAAGGATGCGCGCGCGCCTGCGCAGGTGGGGCTGCCGGGCGCTCCCCGGGCGGCCGGGGCCTGGTGCGCATGCGCGGGCGCCCACTCAGCGGCCAGGACCCGCGCGCGCCGGAGCGTCTGCCGCTGACCCCGCACCCCTGTCCGGGCGTCCCGCGCCCCGCCATGACGGCCCACTCCTTCGCCCTCCCGGTCATCGTCTTCACCACGTTCTGGGGCCTCATCGGCATCGCCGGGCCCTGGTTCGTGCCCAAAGGACCCAACCGCGGGTAAGGGACGCGCGGGCCCAGCCTCCCCGCGGACCCTCCAGGGGCGAGTGCGCCCGCCGCGGTCCGGGACCCCCGCCCGCTCCTCCCGGGTCTGCGCTCGGCCCCGTGCAGCCGGGGGAGGGCGGAGAGGGTCGGGGAAGGGCGGAGAGCCGACTGTCGCGGGAGATGCTCGAGGGTCACCCCTCTGGCCAGTCCCGCTGTGGCTCGCCACTGTTCACACCGTACTGGCTGTGACCTTGGAATGTCACCGCTCAAGCCTCCCTTTCTTCATAGGCAAAATGGGGATGATGATGATGATGATGATGGCCTTTTTAAAAAAAAAAAAAAATATATATATATATATATATATATTATTGATTTTTTACAGAGAGGAAGGGAGAGGGATAGAGAGTTAGAAACATCGATGAGAGAGAAACATCGATCAAGCTGCCTCCTGCAAACTCCCCACTGGGGATGTGCCCGCAACCAAGGTACATGCCCTTGACCGGAATCGAACCTGGGACCCTTCAGTCCGCAGGACGATGCTCTATCCGCTGAGCCAAACCAGTTAGGGCGAAGGCCTTTTTTAAAAAAAAAATCCTTACCCGAGGACATATTTCCATAGACAGAGAGAGAGAGAGATGATGATGATGATGATGCGAGAGAGAAACATCGATTGATTGCCTCCCCTACCGCCCCTATGGGGGATTGAACCCGCAACTTAGGTACGTGCCCTGACCGGAATCCAGCCGGCAACCGTGAGGTGTATGGGAGGACGCTCCAACCAGTGAAGCCACCCGCCCAGGGCGATGGCTGCCTTTTAAGGCTGCTGTGAGGATCACACCAAATAACCCGTGTAAACTCCTAACGATGCAGCAGTGGTATTATGTATTGACTGTTTTGGTCGGTATCATTGGCCTGTGGCGGTCCCAGAGCAGATTTCTGTGCCTGTTACACCATTCGCCGGTTTCTGCTTCATGTTGTTGTCAGTTACAAGGTACTGTCTCCCCTGGATGACAAGATCCTTCATGCTCCAGGTGGGCGTCTTGGCCACTGTAGACCCCAGGGCCCAGCACAGGACTGTGCTTGGTAATGTTAAAAGAATGGATCCAGTGCTAATTTCTCTGGTGCAGAGTTCAAGTGCTTTCGGTCAGAGGTCATAGGGTCTGGTTTGGATTCAGTTCAGCTCTGGCTGGAGTTTTGGACACGGGTGTTGCCTCTGTTTTTCAAGATCTGCAGGGCTGAGGACCACAGCTTCTTAGTGTCTCACCTCTCGGGCAAACCGTGGTGAGTTCTTTCTTCTAACAGAAGCCTCCCCTGCTGCCCTGTGAGCTTCTGTCTCCAGTGGTCTGAGTGGACACAGCGCAGCCACCCCTGTGCTCTTGTAGCCACTCAGTCTGCCTCGGAGATGGTGCACAGCTCCCTTGCTTCTTGTCCTGTCTTCTAGTCTTACGTTTTCCTTCCCCTTGCCCAGTGAATTTTGAATTCCAGAGACTCCTCCACAGTGGGTTGCTGCAAATGCAGCTCTGTGAGTGCCTAGTCCCAACATGGCTGCATTAAGATGGGGACATATTGGGTGACAGAGAAGGGAGATGAAGGGAAGGAATCATAAGGTGATTCTGATATGGTCAAGGCCAGCCTCCCCATGAGGTGACACTTAGCATTTTTATTTTCCATCTGAAAAGAACTCAGCCTCCGGTGTGCAGGTGACAGGGGGAAGACCAATGGGAAAGGGGCTGACACCAGGAGCTCTTTCCCTGGCCCTGGCCAGGCTTCTGAGGGCGCTGGCTCCATCCCTGGCCCTGACCTGACATCCTCTCCCATTGCAGAGTGATCATCACCATGCTGGTAGCCACTGCTGTCTGCTGTTACCTCTTGTAAGTACCTCTCTCCCAGCTCAAAATCAGCCAGTGCCTTTCTCCTCCCCTCCTCCTCCCCTCCCCTCTGTCAAACACAGGAAAGGAGGCGGTTTGGAATGGCAGAGAGCAATAAGCTAGAAGTCATGAACTCCAGTTCTGGGTCTAAATGGTCACCCGGACAAGCTTTGTGGTGTCCACGGGCTGCGGCTTTCTCAGGTGTGAAATGAGCTGGGCCAGCTCAGTGCTTTTCATGCCCAACTTGGCATCAGAACCACCTGGAGAGGCTGTGAAATGCGGCTCTGAGGGCTGCACCCGAGACCCACCCAATCACAGCGCTCAAGGTCTGCGCTTGGGAACCCGAACTTATAATGCACGTCCCTGGGGGGTTGTGATACAGCCACTTAGAGCCCCCAGATGCAGTCTCCAAACCTGGAAGGGGGCCCTGGGTACATCGAAGAGCATCAGAGGGACTTGAGAACCTGGACAGTTCAAGGGAATCAATTTCCAGGTCCTCAGCGCCTAGACCAGTGATGGTGAACCTTTTGAGCTCGGCATGTCAGCATTTTGAAAAACCCTAACTTAACTCTGGTGCCGTGTCACATATAGAAATTTTTTGATCTTTGCAACCATAGTAAAACAAAGATTTATATTTTTGATATTTATTTTATATATTTCAATGCCATTTAACAAAGAAAAATCAGCCAAAAAAATGAGTTCGCGTGTCACCTCTGACACGTGTGTCACAGGTTCGCCATCACTGGCCTAGATGGTCTCTTTCTAAAACTGCTGTTCATGATAGCCCCTCCCACCCCTCCAGTCCCTTTGTGTTTCCTTGCTTCGTGTTTAAATCATCCTGGCTGCCAAACCGAGGAGTAAGTCCACGTTCTGGTGTTAGGGAGGCCTGTCTCATTATCAGTCAAGCCCAGTGAGGCCTCTGTGGCTTCCCATCTTCCCGGGTCTCATACACTATTTTTTGGGTTAAGACTGGTGTAGTTGGGTGTTCAAGGTAGGACAGTAGCATGATAAAATGCTGATTCTTTAAAAGGTAGCTGATTCTTTTCAAAGTAACTAGGATATTTCTTAGGATTGCCAAATTTTTCAAATGCATAGGTTAATACCCACATTTAAAAAATTTTGCTTGATTGATTTCAGACTTGGTGCCTGTTACATAGTTAAAACCTGTTTTGTCTGATGAGATCATGAGCTAGTTATTCCTATTAGTCAATTCTAATTTCACTTTATATAATGTTTAATATTTCTACTTCCTATTAACAAAAAAAATAAAACCTGTTAAAAAAAATAATGACGACTTTCAGATGTTAGTTTAAATACATGAGGCATATGGTTTTCCAGAATTCTCCCTGGACAGAGCATCTCTGAGGCCCTTTCTCTGTGCTGTTTCTTGGTCTTTTAGGGCTGGACAGATGTCCCCATCTCTCCCAGGGAGGGCCTGTGAGGGGCTGAGATTTGAAGGCTCAGAGTCCAGGACAGAGGATAGTGACTGGGAAGGTGGGAGACCGAACATAGGCAGCGTGTGGGTATTTGCAAACACCACATCAGCATAAGGGAAGGTAACCTGGGCTGCAGATCAGATGCACATGGGCAGAAAGGTGGGGCAACTTAAGCAAATGCCATGCCTAGGAATTATATTTACAAAACATAAACTTGGGGTAACGCCAATGATAAGCGGGTAGCCATTTCTGACAGTGTCCTGGGCAGCAGGCAGGTGATTGGCTGCCGTGGGGATTCAGAGGTGGAAGAGCTGGATCCTTCCTACAAAACCAGACCGAGCCCCATTGGCACCAGCATTTTAGGCATGCGAAGTCACGCACCTCCAGGGTCTTTGGGGCCTGCTTCTGTGGGCAGACGATGTCATGATGATAGGGCCTGACACCCCCGACCCCATCTGTGCAGCCTGTGGTCGCTGGAAAGCTCTGGCCTGAGAGACAGACCCTGTCGTATCCTCATCGGGCCTGGGAGTGGGGCATTCTGGTCCCCGCTTCCTCATATTGGGGTAGTTCCTTCATCTTGTTCCTGAAAGGGGGTGATTCTGACATGCCTCCCATCAGAACAACCCTGTCCCGCTCCCAGGTGCAGACTGGAGTGGCCCGCACCAGGGATGTATTGGGGCACAGCTAGAATCACTCCCGATGAGCCCAGGAGGCTGTCTTACCTCTTCCCTCACCCCAGAGTCCAGCCTCAACTCAGAGACCTAATAAATCTACAGAACATCAAATCAAACCTAACCTAAACCAAAACCCACGAACCCCAGACCCAGCCGACCTGCCAGCTGGAGTGTGGGTGGCTCTGTGGGCCCCTTACAGACCCTGCAGCTGGTGTTTGGGTGGGTCATGTGACCACAAGCCTCGCAGGAGACATATCTGGGAGGTTCCTGCTGTGTCCCAGCTCACCCTCAATGTGCTGTCCCTGGCAGCTGGCTCATCGCCATCCTGGCCCAGCTGAACCCTCTGTTTGGGCCACAGCTGAAGAATGAGACCATCTGGTATGTGCGCTTCCTGTGGGAGTGACCGCTGCTGCTTCAGCCCAGGTACTGGGCCAGGGCAGTGGGTAGGGGGCACCTGGGGTGGAGGAAGAGAACAGGCAGGACCGTTTTAAGCGTTTACGTTTGGATT